CCTCAGGTGAGGGCGACCAGTCACCATCAACTTGGATATCCCAACTTAGACAACCAACAAGGGCCTTTATTTCGAAGGGTGATGAGGATCACCTAAAAACCAAGCAGTTGACTTGAATGCATGTTTCATTGCTCACACACAGGAAGGGAACACATACACATATATAACTGCACATGTGGGCAGAGATATTTAGATAGATATTGAACGCGTGCAGCTATTTAGACAACAGCTACTACACATACATATCCATTTGCCAGTATCTACCTATCTAGCTGTCTGTCTATCTGTTTGACTGCGTATGATCTATCGGTTTGTCTGTCTGACTGCTTACTGTATCCTCTACTACTGATCCATCCATCTATCCATCCATCTAATCTACCAATTGATCTATCCATCCAATCTAATCTATGTATCCATCTCTCCATATCTCTCCATATTTATATACCATTTTAGCTCTGCCATGCTCTGCCCATTGCAACATCTCCATCCCTTGCAACCCACACGAGCATTCCAAGCAACCGCCAAGCGCTGGGTTACACATGTGATTCCTGGATGGACGTGGGCAAGCGTCAACGGGAACAGCATAGATATATTTATTTCTTACAACAGGGGATCCCCAAGTCACCATGGGTTTCAAGTTTCAATACTGCCATTGTTTAATTTTGGATGATTTAGAATTTTAGGAAAATCAAGGTGGCTGTGTCCGAAATACCCAGTACCCACCATGATCTGTTGGGCATCAGCCACATCCACGAATGAACCTGGAAGCCACTAGGCTCTTGGAATTTCACAACAATGATAGAAAATTCAGGGATTCAAATCACCCAAAGATCGGTTACTGTAATTGTGATGAGCCGGCAAATATCCTGATTATAACCATTCAGGCTTTGGCCATGCAATGTGCGGATTCCAGCCGGAATCCCCACGGTGACTGAAGCTATTCAATTCATTGAGGGTTCCACCCTGACTTGGGCAAACATCAACATGGGTCAGGGTCACGATTGGTCAGCTGTAATTATACCCTCCCGAAAATTACAATTTTATTCAATAGGTCATGCACCATTTCCATAGCTAAGTTAAATATCACGAGTGCAAGTAAACTTTGAAATCTTGCGGGCCGAGTCCATATATGCATAATAATGGCTACCTACACACACAAAGCAACCCTTCAAGAAATAGACCAGTGGAACCCGACTGAAATAGTGATAATTTATGATAATTTCTGTCCATCTGTCCATAATAGGTTGCAATGCATCAATCTGGAAAAAATCAAAACATTGAACACAAAAATAGACATTCTACATCAGCTTAAAGGCTTTGTAGGCTTCATTTAGACACACCCAGGGTCAGCTTGCGCAGGTGGCTTGCCAAGTATCAGCATCTCATTGGGCTTGTCGTGCCTTGGGAAAGGGACACCTCCTTCCAACTGGTGGCATCTTAGGGGAATACAAGGTGGTGCCTCCCCAGTTATAAGTTGGTTTATAACCATAGTACCATAGTGAAATTGGAGTCATTGGCACCAACTTAGCTAACGAACTGGGGCGTCACTTTGTATGGTGGGAATATGCTGGGACTATGATGGGAATATACAGAATATATGGGGATATGAGGATCTAGTGGGATATAATGATGGGAATATGAGTGGAATATCACATGGGAACCATATGGCCATATGGAATGTATGGGGATATAGTGGGATATGTGGGATACCATAGCTAGCTACCTACTTAGCAACTGATCCCTGGAATCGTATATTATGATATATAATATATCATATAGGTTCACACCAGTTAGTTCTGCTGACCGATTGAAACTTAACGCATGGAAAATGAACACCCGCAAAGCAAAACAATGTTGTTTATTGGTTCAAATTTCTCACTGTTCCCCCAAGCAATGAATCAACTTCTGGTGGGCAACCCAAAGCCGGGTACCTGTGGTCTCCTGTCTTCGACAGCTTCCGATATTTCCAAATCTGAGGCCCCCAAGGGTTATTGGCCAGCCATAACTGCAAGCAAAGCACAAACTAATAAATCCTCAGTGTCAAGGGCAAGGCCTACCAAGGCTGGCCCTGTGTGTTTCCAAGTTGAGTCAAGCATCTTTGCTATTGCTTGTTCATGATTTGAGGCTAGGTTCAAAAACATAACCTCGATGACTTTGAGCATTCAGTCGGGCAAGCGACAATCTACCCACTAAAATGTGATGCTAATGCTATTGCAACCTAAAACCAATCATGGGTATGCACCGTAGCCATAGAAATAGTTTATTATAGTAGCTTGAAGTGAGTGCGTCCCTCATTTTCATGGTTCCTGCGCAAATCTCCGTTGGTTCCACAATCCCAATTGTGGTGGCACGAAAGAACATCGGCTCATCCACGCCGGGTGTCGTAGAACAGAACGGACCACGTCACCCAGCCAGCTGTCGTCTTCAGTCAATCTCCAGAGTGTACACATGTCTCCTGAGTGCATTGCGCTGTGGTGAGGGGTGGTTCAATGGTGAAAAAATGTTATATAGGATCATGCAAACAGCGCATACAGTACTGTTTCTATGGGACATACAGTACTGTTTCTATGGGACTTGTGACATGCATCTCTTGGTCTTCTCAGCGTTTTCTTGGGAGATTTCTTGGGTGGTTGCGGGAAGATATGGTGCAAAGTGGCAGCATACAATTTGTGCCCTGTCAGTTTGTAAACGTGATGTAAGCCGTATACTGCACTTTGTGCATGCCAAGCTGTCTAGTTTCCCCAAGTCACTGTTGGAAGAAACGTGAAAACGTGAACCAAGCAAAAAAAACATCACTATTTACCAACAACGACACCACTATCACAATCTGCATCACAAACATAATCATGACAACCATCATTTTATCCACATTCACCTTGTATCTTCCCATCCGCCCTCTCTTGCACCCTTTGCCCTTTCCCACAGCGAGAATCGAGCCATTGGCAGTGTGTCGGTTCTCAAGGAATACTCGGTGACCTGTGGCTGTTGGCGAGCCATTTCATGAGGCACAGCCGAAAAGTTCAGTGAACAACTCTGTTTTTTTGTTGTCCCGGCAAAACGATGACGCGTTGAAGTTCAATCAGCCATGAATGCCGCATTTGAACTATGAAAATCCTTTGGGGCATGTCTCCCATTGCAAGATGCAAATTTGGAACCGATTCAAGTGGCACCTCGTTTTATACATGACCGTTGGTGAACCTCTATTTAACACGGCGTGGGCGAAGCTGGAGATGTCATACTATAATTACCAAAGAAGGGAGCCATTTTGGTTGTGACTTTCAGGTTTCCTCCCGTTCATATCCGCTGATATTTTTCCGGACAGGGGTTGCCCATAGTTACCTCAACAACCAACAACCAGAATTTTGGCACATCCTTCCCATGCCGTGTCTCCCCCATGCAATGGCTCATCAGCCGCGGCGCCAGAAACTGCCGGCAGTAGAAAAACGTGAAGACTGCGGACCTTGTTCAAACCCCATTGCTGCGTCAATGGCCGTGGTTACCGGTTGAACCTCAAAGTTTGTCTATTTTTGCGGGCTTTGTTTCTTCAGCTTTTATGGAAATCTGCGACAGGCTGCACAGACATTTGGGCATGTTGAGTGCCAACAAATCCAATGAATCTACTAACCAAAAGCTGACTCAGCCCAAGTGGCCATCACGGTTTGTCATTAACCCTCAGGTTCATGAACCTAATAAAAGTTAGCACTGAGTTACGACTAGGTACAGAAATCCGGGTTAATTAAGAAGTAACATCATCGATTTCTCTTGTCATACCTATCATCTACCCACAGTCACATTCCCCATCAATCATCGAAAGGGATCAAGTTGCAAGAAGCCAGCTACCCATCCAAGATTTCTCCATAAACCTTGGCAGTTACTGTACCCTCCAGTAAACCAAGCTATAGAAAATCCACCATTTAGTTCGATGATTTACCTACTATGTTAGTGGTGATTTTCCACTTCGCAAACTGTTAGTTTACCAGAGGTACATCCATTATCATATCCCCAATCCCCACAATATCCGCCAATATCCTCAAACGATTTTAAAAAATGTATCTATTAATTTCCCATACTGCACCTCATAAATCTACCAGATTCCCATAATGTATCCATAGATCTACCAGAAACCTTGGCATTTCCCATCATTCCGCCTTCATTTACCCATCACTTGACCCATCGACCCATGCCTTCCAAGCCACGTGAGGCATGCCTCCACCGCTGGGGCGCCATGTAAGCGATGTAGCCAACTCCGGGGACGGATCTTCAGCCAGGCCTCTGTTCTGGGATCATGGGGATGTTCTGTATGGGCTGTATGGGAAAAGAGATTTTTTTGGGGCTATTATGGGGAGATTATGGGATTTATATGGATTTGTATGGATTTATATGGATTTATGATTTATGGGAATATGAAAAGGCGATATTGATGGAAGTATGATAGAGATACTTTATGGGATATTCTGGAATATTATGGGGATACGATGGGAATTTCATGGAGATACCCTCTGGCAATTTAACCTAGCTATTGAACATCATCCTTCTTGATAGGTGAGTCGTCTATAAACAGGCAACTTTCTAATGGTCATGTTAAATTGTCGGATGGTAAGTGATATAGCTGCAGCTCAGCTAATCAACAACATAACGTAATACATGGAATTCTCGCATTTTTGCTAGATATAACCTAACTAAGCAACAATACATTATATTTGGGTTTTGTGTCTGAAGATGAGGTTTACCACCATTAAATTGCGATTTCAGGGGAACATGAGGTGTCAAACCATTGGCTTTTGGGGTGCCCTAGTTTCGAACAATCTCAACGAAACCAATCAACTTAAGCGATAACACTTGAGAACTATCCAATTAGTCATGTCACATTTTGTTGGGGCACCCCGGAATTTGCTGTAGCCAATTTTGGAGTGTCCAATTTTTTATCCTCATCCAGACTTGGCACGGACTATACCACGTGGTGGACTTTTGCTGGTTCTTCATTTTTTGGACTTCCATTCCTGGTTGACTTCATTTTCTCTGCAGGTCTTGGCTTTGACACTGGACCACTTGTCACGGATCATGGCCTCCGAAGAAAAACCGCAAGAGGTTTGTTGTTCCACCAAGAAATATCTAAGAATCCTGGCCGAACAACACCAAAACAGTCAAGTATCATAAATCAAAATATACTGTACATATATATATATAACTTCCGAATAAGTCATGACACAAGCCAAGCCTACACAAACACATGCGCTTGTCAGAAAATAAGGTCAATTTTCCCCAAATCCAATGGTTCATTTTTCCATTCAAAAGCCTGTTTTCCCTCTAAAATCGCCATAGAAATAACCATTGGATTTGATACAAACATTTTTATGGCGATTTTATGTTAATTCCACTCGAAAGTAATGTCGATTTTTGTGGTAAATCTACATGACTTTGGAAGAAATCCACAGCGATGCACCTTCTGGGCGGCTTCTTGACGTTCCTCCGGGGAACGGAAGGTGAACTGTTGGAAGCTGAACTTCAAATGGAAGACCTGCCATGGGGCCGGGCCAGCGGCTTCGCCGCTGAACATGGACATGTCACAAGGAATTTCATGGGGGTTAAACTGGTGAAATTTGATAGCTTAACAATGGGAGACAATGGGGTTAGTTTATAATAGTTGATTTATGAGAGATAAGTAAGCTGGTAAAGAAAGTTCACTAGGTGAATTGCATTATCTTATTGTAGATGCATCGAACGAGTTAAGTCATGAGCCCGTGGCCAGCACCAAACTCTAACTACCATAGATTTGGGATGGGGGCATTAAGGAACAGAAATGGCCTATCCGGTATGCAAGCAATGATCATTAGCCATAACTGCAAGGTTTTGCTCTACAGAATTTTCCTACTGAATTGTTTTCCTTCTTTATTGGATCCTTGCATCCTGCAAGTGCGTGTTTGCAATCTAGTCTCTCTCTCTCTCTCGCTCTCTCTCTCTCTCTCTTGTATTCCTAACAAATCGCAGATTTCAGGTGACTTGTGCGTGATTAAGCAACTAAAAAGTGCAAACAGTGAATGCCGATGGCGCCGACATCCGTTTGGACAAGCATGTAGGTTGGTTGAAAGTAAGGGGCCCCAAAATTTAGCCAAAACGGTCATGTGCAGCTTCTGGTTTCCCAGAGAGGAAGTCGATCCGGCTAGGTTCACCCATGGCAAAAAATATTGAAATTGGAATCCATTGGTCCCAAGTTTGGAGCACCCAAACTTCGAAATTCCATGGAATTCGCCCCAGAAAAGTTTGCTCCACACCCAGCATCAGCCGGTGATTGCAGTCGGGTGGCACTTTGTGCTACGGTCCACAGCCTAGCGATGCGTTGAATTGGAGATGTTCGGGTGAGGGTTTTGATATGAAGGTGGCCAACCCCCCAATCCATGGTTCCTGGTTGGCCATTTTCCCTATTAAAATTGCCATACATTGGAGGTGCATCACCCATTTTCAGACAAAATTGTGCGTTTTGTGACAATTAAACATGGTTTACCGGAAAATCTCTCATTTACTTCGATGATTTTCTGCTGAAAACATATTAAATCATATTAAAGCCTTATTGATATAGGCGTTTCCACCATGCCATGTTGATCACCAAAGCGTACCTAGTGGCCGTCCAGGATTCCCCAAGGGCCGCCCACGTCAACTGCTGCCCCAGCGGCTGATTGTCCAGCTCCACCAGAAAAGCCAGGGCCAAGCTGTTGAAGATTGCATCCTGAAATCGCTGACACCGAAGGACATACCCCTGTCCTTCCAACTGGAACTTAGATCAAGGATACCCTCTCTAGTACTAGGGATTAGGAAAATACCTTAGTACCAGTAATCATGTTCAAGTGTCATCTTTCATGAAAACATCACATACCTAGGATTGGAAGAAAAAAATGGTTTGGAGTTTGAATGGTCTGGGGTTTGAATAGTTACGGATGGATACGTCTACGTCAAAATGATGGGTTATATAAGATGAAGCCATCAGAAAATTTAGATAGAACTCATATAGTTAAAAATGATCCACATACAATATTAATTATCATATTAGAAACCCGTATGTAACTCAAACTCAAAAAAATGGCCTGGAATCCAGATCCACATATTAATTGAGGGCTAGGTCTTAGTTTGAACCAGGAATCTGCTTCGGATAGGATATGAGACTGACAATTTTGGGAACGCAAAATGATATGCGGCAATCTTTCCGTTTTATTGTAAATCTGACTGGATTATACTATCAGTCTGCAAAACTATTACCCTCTGGTAATCGAACATCGCAATGGAAAATCTCTCATTTATGGAAGTTTTATGATGTTTTAAACATTAAAACCTCCATGAATAGGGGATTTCCCATTGTCATGTTTCATTACCGGACAATATATAAGGATGACTCTGCTTACAGCTTAAAAATGGGTCAACTACTTCCCCCCCAGCCTAATGGCCAATTGTGGGCTATTTCCCATTTCTGCTTGCAGCCCCTCCCATGTTTGCTGCCAACCAGTTATAAGTTGGTTTGTATCTTCATTTTATCTACCATAAAACCTTTAAAATCTAGTTACAAACCAACTGTGCTAAGGTTTGGCGGCTCCACGGAAGTAGGGATACTTCCATCATCCCATTTAGTCCCTATATTTGATGGCCAATTAATTCATATATATATGTATATATATATATGTATTTATGATATCTCTATATAACAGCTGTCAGTTTTAAAAAATAAAAACTATATGCGCCACTATTTCAGCAGGAGTTTACTTTTCTATTTTTTTTGGGGTTTACCATCTATTCCTATAGGATTTGAACCAAAACAGACCTCCGGGAAACCACCCGACCTGCACGGAGGAGCGGCCCAAAACGATACTGACGGAGTCGACCAGCACCTGTCTGGAGGTGGGAACTGGGCCAAGAATTCACTTCAAATCTTTCTGGGGATTAGGTCAACGTGACAAGCTGGGAAATCCCCAGATTTTTTGGGAGGCTTCCATAGGGAATTCATCGAACTAATGGTGCGGTGGATGTTCCAGCAAGCTATGTTTGCCCGGAGGGTACCCACATGGATCGGAAGCATTTTAGCAGGAGATTGGGTTCCAAACCAACAAAATGGGATAAAATGGGGAGTGATTGAGCCAAAGAAACATGGATTTGAATGGGAATAAATAACGATTGCAGCCACAGAAAATGGGAAGAGGCATTGATCAACGTTAAATTTTTGCCAAGTACCACTTGGAAATTTTTGTTGCCAGGTTTTTTCCACTGAAGGTTTTTTGCCCTCAAAAACCTCACAGGTGCTGCTAAGCTTCGATGTAGCCGATGCAAAACTTCAGGCCCTCGCTGATGAACCCGATGGGGCCCACAAACCTGGAGAGATTTCTGGGTCTTTCGACAAAAAAAACACATTTGGTAAATATTTCAAGGGTTGAAAACACCTGGAAAGGGTTGCATGGAAAGCTTTTGCAGTGGAAGATTTCTGTTTTCGTTGGTGAAGTCTAAGCTGGGAAATAGGCATTCAGCGCCAGCAAATCCCATCAAGAATCCACCTGAGAGATCATCCCCCTGAACATGGGGTGAAGGCAACATTGATTTGGAAAAACTCCCAACACTGAGTGTGGAACACGCAAGTATGGTTCAAAAGCAAGGAACACAGGGCACAACTACCATTAACAGTTGATAACCATTGATGAGCATTGATACATATTCATAACCATTAATATCAATTAACATCTATTAAAAACCATCAATAACCATAAAATTCCGTCAATAACTATTATATAGTACAGTAACCATAAGGAACCGTTAGGACCATGGGATAACTAATTAGCACTCCAGCTATTTTAGCAATCGAAGCTTAAACATGGTCCGTAAGCAAGGCTGAAACCAAACATTTTTCAATACGTTGTTCTTCTGGAAGGCGTATCTATCATTGGATTGGTTTGCGGGAAATCCTTAAGCGAACCACCCCTTTTTTAATGGAAAAAAACCATGGTTTCCGGTTAAGATTTTCCCTGAAACACCAATTCAATGATAATACTATCACACTGACATGTCATGACATGTATTAACTACTCATGTTGCACCGTATGCCACCGTATGCCATCGTATGCCTTCATACAGTCTTAAAAGACCGAGGTCTTAACCCATAATCATCCCCCAATCTGGCCCCCAAAAACCAAGTGTTTCAATTTCCAAGGCTTTCCCCCACCCAGAATTCCACCTCTTTTTTCCCCTCATATATGGAGTTAATAACCATTAATCCGCCGACCCCTGCCTAGCTTTGGCCTAGGCGGGGCGGCGCCCGGGATCACCGCAGGTGTGCAGCTGTGGCCTGCTAGAATCACTAGGCCTGCCTCAGCTCACCTCTCTGGCCCTTCCAAGCTGCCTGGGCATGTATCTTTAAGGCGTTTCGAAACTGCTAAGCTGCCTGGTCAATATCTTTTGCCTCACGTCTCTGGCCTGCTACGGCCTCCTTGCCTCACTCCAGCCTTCCAAGCTGCCTGGTCATGTATCTTTGAGGGGTTTCGAAACTGCTACGTGGCACGTTTAGCCAGGCTTGAAAAGCCTTAAAGCCACAAAAACCTCAAACAGCTCCAGCCTTCCAAGCTGCTTGGGCATGTATCTTTAAGGGGTTTCGAAACTGCTACGTGGCACGTTTTAGCCAGGCTTGGAAAGCCTTAAAACACCAAAAACCTCAAACAGTGTAAAACTAGCCTGCTTGTGTCAGCACGAGCCTGCATCTGTCGATGGTCCCCCTGCTTCAGCCGCCCAACTGGGTCTATTTTGGGTCTATTATACGTCACAGCCCTTGCCTCACCTCACCGCTCTGGCCCCTCCAAGCTGCCTGGGCATGTATCTTTAAGGCGTTTCGAAACTGCTAAGCTGCGTGGTCATGTATCTTTTGCGTCACGTCTCTGGCCTGCTACGGCCTCCTTGCTTCACTCCAGCCTTCCAAGCTGCCTGGTCATGTATCTTTAAGGGGTTTCGAAACTGCTACGTGGCACGTTTTAGCCAGGCTTGAAAAGCCTTAAAACCCCAAAAACCTCAAACAGTGTAAAACTAGCCCGCTTGTGTCAGCACGAGCCTGCATCTGTCGACGGCCGTCCTGCTTCAGCCGCCCAAATGGGTGCATTTTGGGTCTATATACGGCACAGCCCTTGCCTCACCTCACCGCTGGCCCCTCCAAGCTGCCTGGGCATGTATCTTTAAGGCGGTTCGAAACTATTAAGTTGCCTGGTCAGGTATCTTTTGCGTCACGTCTCTGGGCCTCCTTGCCTCACTCCAGCCTTCCAAGGTGCTTGGGCAAGTATCTTTAAGGGGGGTCGAAACTGCTACGTGGCACGTTTTAGCCAGGCTTGAAAAGCCTTAAAACCCCAAAAACCTCAAACAGTGTAAAACTAGCCCGCTTGTGTCAGCACGAGCCTGCGTCTGTCGACGGCCGCCCTGCTTCAGCCGCCAACTGGGGTCTATTTTGGGTCTATATACGGCACAGCCCTTGCCTCACCTCACCGCTCTGGCCCTTCCAAGCTGCCTGGGCATGTATCTTTAAGGCGTTTTGAAACTGAAAAGCTGCGTGGTCATGTATCTTTTGCGTCACGTCTCTGGCCTGCTACGGCCTCCTTGCCTCACTCCAGCCTTCCAAGCTGCTTGGGCATGTATCTTTAAGGGGTTTCGAAACTGCTACGTAGCACGTTTTAGCCAGGCTTGAAAAGCTTTAAAACCACAAAAACCTCAAACAGTGTAAAACTAGCCCGCTTGTGTCAGCACGAGCCTGCATCTGTCGATGGCCACCCTGCTTCAGCCGCCAACTGGGGTGAATTTGGGTCTATATACGGCACAGCCCTTGCCTCACCTCACCGCTCTGGCCCCTCCAAGCTGCCTGGGCATGTATCTTTAAGGCGTTTCGAAACTGCTAAGCTGCCTGGTCATGTATCTTTTGCGTCACGCCTCTGGCCTGCTACGGCCTCCTTGCCTCACTCCAGCCTTCCAAGCTGCCTGGTTTTGTATCTTTAAAGGGGTTTCGAAACTGCTACGTGGCACGTTTTAGCCAAGCTTGAAAAACTTTAAAACCCCAAAAACCTCAAACAGTGTAAAACTAGCCCGCTTGTGTCGGCACGAGCCTGCATCTGTCGACGGCCGTCCTGCTTCAGCCGCCCAACTGGGTCTATTTTGGGTCTATATACGGCACAGCCCTTGCCTCACCTCACCGCTGGCCCCTCCAAGCTGCCTGGGCATGTATCTTTAAGGCGAGTCGTAACTGTTCATAAGCTGCTTGGTCACGTATCTTTTGCCTCACGTCTCTGGCCTGCTACGGCCTCCTTGCTTCACTCCAGCCTTCCAAGCTGCCTGGTCATGTATCTTTAAGGGGTTTCGAAGCTGCTACGTGGCACGTTTTAGCCAGGCTTGAAAAGCCTTAAAACCCCAAAAACCTCAAACAGTGTAAAACTAGCCCGCTTGTGTCAGCACGAGCCTGCATCTGTTGACGGCCGTCCTGCTTCAGCCGCACAACTGGGTCTATTTTGGGTCTATTATACGGCACAGCCCTTGCCTCACCTCACCGCTCTGGCCCCTCCAAGCTGCCTGGGCATGTATCTTTAAGGCGTTTCGAAACTGCTAAGCTGCCTGGTCATTTACAGTATCTTTTGCCTCGCGTCTCTGGCCTGCTACGGCCTCCTTGCCTCACTCCGGCCTGCCAAGGTGTAAGGGGTTTCGAAACTGCTGCCGCCAAACTGGGTCTATTTTGGGTCTATATACGGCACAGCAAGGTTGCCTCACCTCACCGCTCTGGCCCCTCCAAGCTGCCTGGGCATGTATCTTTAAGGCGAGTCGAAACTTTTAAGCTCCCTGGTCATGTATCTTTTGCGTCACGTCTCTGGCCTGCTACGGCCTCCTTGCCTCACTCCAGCCTTCCAAGGTGCTTGGTCATGTATCTTTAAGGGGTTTCGAAACTGCTACGTGGCACGCTTTAGCCAAGCTTGATAAGCCTTAAAACCCCAAAAACTTCAAACAGTGTAAAACTAGCCCGCTTGTGTCAGCACGAGCCTGCATCTGTCGACGACCGCCCTGCTTCAGCCCCGGTCTATATACGGCACAGCCCTTGCCTCACCTCACCGCTCTGGCCCCTCCAAGCTGCCTGGGCATGTATCTTTAAGGCGAGTCGAAACTGTTAAGCTGCCTGGTCAGGTATCTTTTGCGTCACGTCTCTGGCCTGCTACGGCCTCCTTGCCTCACTCCAGCCTTCCAAGCTGCCTGGTCATGTATCTTAAGGGGTTCCGAAACTGGCTACGTGGCACGTTTTAGCCAGGCTTGAAAAGCCTTAAAACCCCAAAAACCTCAAACAGTGTAAAACTATAGCCCGCTTGTGTCAGCACGAGCCTGCATCTGTCTATGGCCGCCCTGCTTCAGCCGCCCAACTGGGTCTATTTTGGGTCTATTATATGGCACAGCCCTTGCCTCACCTCACCGCTCTGGCCCCTCCAAGCTGCCTAGGCATGTATCTTTAAGGCGTTTCAAAACTGCTAAGCTGCCTGGTCATGTATCTTTTGCCTCACGCCTCTGGCCTGCTACGGCCTCCTTACCTCACTCCAGCCTTCCAAGCTGCCTGGTCATGTATCTTTAAGGGGTTTCGAAACTGCTACGTGGCACGCTTTAGCCAGGCTTGAAAAACTTTAAAACCCCAAAAACCTCAAACAGTGTAAAACTAGCCCGCTTGTGTCAGCACGAGCCTGCATCTGTCGATGGCCACCCTGCTTCAGCCGCCCAACTGGGTGCATTTTGGGTCTATATACGGCACAGCCCTTGCCTCACCTCACCGCTCTGGCCCCTCCAAGCTGCCTGGGCATGTATCTTTAAGGCGTTTCGAAACTGCTACATGGCACGTTTTAGCCAAGCTTGAAAAACTTTAAAACCCCAAAAACCTCAAACAGTGTAAAACTAGCCCGCTTGTGTCAGCACGAGCCTGCATCTGTCGATGGCTGCCCTTCAGCCGCCCAACTGGGTCTATTTTGGGTCTATATACGGCACAGCCGTTGCCTCACCTCACCGCTCTGGCCCCTCCAAGCTGCCTGGGCATGTATCTTTAAGGCGTTTCGAAACTGCTAAGCTGCCTGGTCAGGTATCTTTTGCGTCACGTCTCTGGCCTGCTACGGCCTCCTTGCCTCACTCCAGCCTTCCAAGTATATATATATATTTCTATATATATGTATATATACATACATACAGGATGTACAGAAAAACCCTGCGCACATGCGCATGCAACGCGTTCTGTGCCCAAGACCATTAACAGGGGTCGGCGGCACCAGGGCGTTAGCCCATTAATAACCATCAATAACCATTGATTATTAAGTAATAACCTCATTGTTTTTGGAGGTTTTCCCGAAAACCAAGGGACCAGCCGGACCAGATCCACGGCATGAACTTCCGATGGCGGGGATCCACTCCTGGGGGCCCCGAAAAAAGTCTGTGATTGTCATTAGGGTCATCATCCCAGTTCTATGGTTGAAAAATAAACATAATTGAAACAATGAGATTTGGTTGGTGCTTTCAACCTACGGGCTGCTTTCAAAAACTAAGGCAGCGCGAAATGGAAAGTGGACAGTGGTGTTTTCAACTGATTGCAATTTATAATCTGTTCTGCAATTCACATTTCGAGTGATCAACAGGTATGTATTCTTGAATTAGTATGAATTAGTAATCTCTGTCAAGCAAGGTGAATGCCACTAGCAGAATCCAAAAGGTGTGGAGCAGTCATTCAGGCTGATGATGCCAAAAACGGATTGGACATGGAACATTGCCAACTTGGATAACGCCCATATTCTCTCTGCAAAATCATCACCGTTTATTCAATTTGCGAAGTAATCTGATCATCCTCAATTCCAGACTGTGATTCTCAAGATTTTCATGGATAATCAATGAGTAAATCCAGATAGTTGACCTAGTTTTGACATACGTCGTTTATCCATGGGAAATATCTTTTGTTTTTCGTGATGTCATAATCTGGAGAAAAATGCAGCAATTATCACATATTAGCTGGATAATGACAAATAAACCAGTTCATCAATCTATAGATTAATATGATTAATTACATGTACTCTCCAGTAAATGAACATAGACCCTGGCAGATAGTGGTTGAAAGATGCGTCTTCACTAAACTTTGGTGATTTTCAGGGTCGAACTGTTAACTTACCAGAAGCTAATTATGATCCATATTTCCCGTAGATATATATATATGATTCCATCTTCTTAGTTATATATATATATAGATCATATATGTATATATTTCTCGTAGATATGTTGCCATAGAAATATTACCCATAGATATTCATTCTATAGATTCACTTCCACTGAAAATTGAATATCTATTCATGAGTTACCCATAGAGATGCTACTGTGGATAATATAGATCTTCAGTGTCGAAGTGTCAATTTACCGGAGAGCAAATATATATATATATATTGATCTATATGTATATGTATGATCCACCTTCTTGATTATATGAAATCATATGTCTTATATACACATGTATAGTTAAGCATGATTAACCATCCATAGTTTGCTCAGTATATATATATATTTATACACATACATAATACTAATCATATAATAGTTAACCATCATTATCATACTAGTTAACCATGTGTATGTATCATTGGCCATCATATATATAATAATTTGTGTTATATACCCGTACAGTCATGAACATCATGGTTGACTATGGTTATATATATATATATATTGTGTATACTGGTTGGTAGTTTCAACCCCTCTGGAAAATATGAAAGTCAGTTGGGATTATTTTCCCAATATATGGAAAAATGAAATTCATGTTCCAAACCACCACTTTATCACACTTTACTCTGCGCGCAACGTCGGCAATGAACGCTGCCCGTCTTGTGGGGAGCACCTAAGCAGTGGAAACGAAAACTTGTGGAAACAAGACGTTGAAATCGCAGTAGGGCAGCGAATCGATGAGTTTGGACTGCCTTCGAAACGTTGTGCCACAACAGTGAAACATCCATAAATCCACAAGGTGCAATCTTTGGTGGGGCCAAGGGAGTGCAATCACACCTGTATGCATTTGAACCACCTGGCTACACGGCCGACCGTACGCACAATGGAGGTGAACATTCATGTGACGTAGGGTCTCCTTGAGGAGTTTTATGAAACAGCGCGCTCTTTGTCGAAATGCGAGGCCACGAATACGCACAAATGGCACCTCAGACCCGTCTTCTCATTTGTCTAAATGCGTAGGGCCTGGGTGACCCGTGCTGTGCATGAAATCCGCATACAATTGAAAATGTGACACCCATCGCATCCCATCAGAACGACGGTCCAGCGTCTGCCAGAACCAACTTAGAATGAGCCTCGGCATCGCGTCACCATACCATCTGATCGCCCCACCTGGAACATGGAGCGGAGGCAAAGGCTTCCAAGGTACTGCAGGCAAAGGGAGCTCAACCTCTTCTGGTTCATGCTGGGTCACGTCAAGTTGCAAGGGTGATTGATTGCGGACAACCTCCCTACTGATGACCAACTGCACCTGCTGCACAACACGGTTGATTCGAGAAATGCCCTCCTTCGCAGACACATGGCGGTGATACAACTCCCAAAAGACCTGGTCTCGCCTATAGTTTGCACGAACAGCATGAGTGTCAGCAATCGTGTTATGGTGAAAACACCACTCCTGAAAAGCACTGGTCGCTGCTTCAACACACTGGTGGGCAGCTACACGTGTGATGAATGTAGGCCCTGGCCGGTCCTGCACACATTGCTGAATCTCAAGCCAAAGATCGGCATGGAGGCTATTGGTTTTAACCTCACAACCCGCAATGATACGGCGCAATCGCTTGACCACTGCATCACAATCCGTCCAGATATGAACAGCTCCTTGGTGAGACCTAGTAATTGACAGGGCTCGCAACACAGCAAAGATCTCGGCACGAACCGCACTTTGCAGTAAACCTGGCAAAACACCTGAATCAATCACTTCACAAGGCGCAATCTCACTCTGGCACTGAACAGGAGCAACAACCACAGCCCAACCCGCAAAGCGTGTATACGAGCACTTTTGGTGGGCACAACTGCCATCAGTGAAAAGATGAACATCACCTTGAAACATGCATGAGGGGACAGGGCTAGGTCTCAAAGCATCGAAGTATTGGCACCATTCCAACCAAGTAGACGGCGCAAGGGACCAACCCGAACAAGTAAGTGCTTGAGGCAAATCAAGTATGGCATCAAGAACATCATGTGGGACATCCTGACGCAAAAAATTAAAATGCTCGCGCTGCCAAAACCTGTGATACCGACTGTCACTGCAGGAGCAGAAAGGGCACATGTCATCCTGACTCTCCTGGCAATAAGATTTCCCATCCTGCGTAATGTGGGTGCCGTTCAACACCTTGCGAAACAATGCCTGGTCTGAAACATCCAGTGAAGCTAACCACTTCCGTACATCAGCCGGGTCTGAATATTCAAGGCCATAAAAGCAAGGTCGGTGAGACACCTCAGCCGCCACAACAGAGGGCCATTGGAACTCAACCCGGAAAAGCAGCTCAGCAGCAGAAATCTCAAAGAGTGAGAACGAGCCTATGACATCATGCAGGTGGCCCACAGGTGAAACATGCCATCCTAAGCTTTGGATTCTGCCTAACAACGTGTTGGTGATGCTATTGGCAGGGAAGGCCTCAGAGCCACCAACAATCTCTGTGAGGACCTGTTCCACTCGATCTTTCTGTCCACAGTCGCGGGCAAGGCGCAAAGTCTGTATTATGGCCCAGGCATGAGGGTCTGTGCAAGGTCTTTCAAGCATGCCAAGGTGAACAAATGGATTGGCCCCAGCAGAGTCCTCCCGAAGGCCCTTCATAGCCCCGGAACGAAGCGAACCAAAAGCAGCAAGGCTAACTGAGGTCGCAGCTATTCCATGAAGGGCCTTGGGCCACGCAGCACAAGTAAGCGCTCTCACTTTTTGCCGATAGCCGCATGCCGACATTCGGAGCTTGGGCCAGAGAGGGGTGACTGAATGAATACGGTCCATCAGGCTCTTGTTAGTATGTTGCCGTGAAAACTGCACATGTGCACCCAGGTTTCGACCACCAGTTGAAAGTTTATACCCCTGAGTACGGAGATCACTCCGAGTGGCAGCGCAAGTGGACCACATATGGGTTTTGCGGTGGTCCAGGCGCAAATCGAGTGCATGTGTGAAACGTTCCAGGCAGGCAAACACATTCTCAAGGTCTCGCGAGTCATGCATGAGAATCTGCCAATCGTCAACATATGAAATCGGCTGGCATAACGGGAAGAAATGTGTCATCCAGTTATGGAATAGCATGTCAACAACCATCATCCCTACACAAGAGAGTGCACAACCCTCCGGAAGCCCACAGTTGCTAAAGGCTGGCGGACTCAAACTGCCGTTGATTTGAAACCGTCGTTGCATGGTAGTGAGAGCCCCAGCCCATGCTTTCAAGACAGAGAAGGGAATGCCCAAAATGGCACAACTCTCAAGCACCACCTCCCTAGGCAAACAATTGAATGCTTTCTGAATGTCTGCAATGATGCCGCTTAAATGCATGCCAGTCTCGTATGCCATCTCAATGCTCCATAGCAGCTGGGACCAAATCTGGCCGGCGTAACATTGAGGTCTGCTACCAAAAAGGCCAGTAGGGAGGAAGTTCTCCAGCGCCTGAATCGCCTGTCTCGCATGAAACGTCCCCCAGCAGCGGTACAACAAACCAAGCACAGTAATCGGACGAAAATCCAGTGCATCACTGGGATCAGCCCTTTTGGCCAAGCAAGTCACACGTCCTGCAACAACTTGTGATGGCCAGCTGCCTGTGGATTCAGCAAACTGGAACATGTCTACAAAATTGCAGAGCGCTTCAGAGGGGAGTGCTTTCAAATCGTGTAGGGTGACACCATCCAGCCCTGCAGACGTCGCTGGGCGCTTATGGGCAATACAAGATGCTAGATCATCACTTGCCATGTTCCTCCAAGCTGGTGAGGTGCGAGGCAGGGTCAAACGTGCAAAACTCAAAATGACATCCCATCGGTCGTGTGAAACAGCAGCATGTCGTTCCCACATCTCTTTCCATGTGCTCAAGAACAAATCAAACAATTCAGTTGTCGTACCCTTTCGCTGGACTTGTGTGATGACCTGTCCTGGGTGAACCTGATCACTCTGCTCAACCCACACTGCATCGTGTTCAGCATGTATAACCTCAAGCGACTGACCATTGCAAATGAGTGGCACCTCAGCTTCCCATGTCAACGGTCTATCCAAAATAACCATTTGATCTTCATTGCGCACCTCAACAACAGTGGCCGTCTGGGCATTCAACAGGACATCAACCCCTTGCGTTTGAGGCGGGCGCAAATCAAAGAAAATGGAATTAGGGTTCATCTCACGCCTTTGTTTGGCATAAAGGCGTGATGCTTGCTGCAGTTCCGATTCCATCGCTCGGAAGGCCAACACAACCGAATCAAAAATATGGGTGGCAGTGGAAGCATCAGGTGGGCACAAAGGAACATTCCTAGGGGCACAATGGGTCCTAAAGCTGCATGATTGCCACCAACCCGTGAAACTAGGTGTGAAACCAGTCGACCGAACAATTGCTCCCCACAACTTGCAAGCATGTGCATCATACTGCTGGTTGACAGCCACATAGCGGACATACGATTGCAGTCTGCGTGTCTGGCATAGCCATTGTGCATGTCGAAAGGTCGCTGCAAGGTAGTGTGGTTTCAGGTCTCCTTTACGAGCTTTCTTAGGGGGCGGGATTTTACCATCAAAAACCTGACGAGTGTCAGACGTGCTGGCACGCCCTCTAAATCGCTTGGCGACAGGAAAAGGAACATCCAGGCAGGCCTGTGCCTCAATGTGTTTCCAAACTGCCAAATACCGCTGGTCTGCAGTGCCCTCAGCATTCGCCCAATGGCTCGGGTCAACTTGCCAATGCACTGGCCAAGGAAAGCAGTGAGGACTAGGCCACACAAAACGGGGCGGGCAGTCCCCCAACTTGCGGAATATCCCAATCAAGACTGCATGGTCCGGAAAGACATCATGAGCAACCTGAACATCAATCAGAATAGCCAGGAGTTCACGTGAAACATAACAAAAATCTTTCCTCGTGGTGTGTTTGCAAGTGGCTTGAATGGGGTTACCCCACTTAGCATGCGCAATGTCTTGGAGGTCGACAAAACCTGCAGCATTCAGTTGTTCAAACACAGGAAGCGAATGTTGTGTCACGTTCCAATCTCCTGCAAGATATCTCGGACCCTTGGCCAAATTGCAAATGTGAAGGGCAGCGTGGTGGAGTAGCAACTCATTGTGAACTTTTTGCTGCGGGTAGGTACTACTCTCAGGTTCTCCGTAGACAACTCCTCCCGTTACCCATACATCATGGACCAAAGAGGTAGAAACCATAATCCGGGATGACTCAAGCAGTTCTTGGGGTATGTTAGTGGGCACATGTCTGGTCGGGTGTTTGGAAATGGTGGCAACACCTCGCCATGCAGCATGATGTGTCCGGTTTCCCTGTGCAGGTACAGGGTGTCCACCCAGGCAAAACTTGAAAGGGCTGGAAGCAAATTTCATACTGGAACGAAAAGCCACAAGTGCCTGATTGCAAAGATGAGTCTCAGACACCGCCCAGATATCCCCCTGAGCAAGTTGTGAAACAATAAACGGAGCCTTACCCTTCAGGCCAGAAGGGTTAAATGCACCTAAAACAAAATTGTCAGGATTGGGGCCAGGATTTGCAGCCTCACCAATGCGCAAGCAGGCAAGAACGAGCAAATACGCCCATCGCTTGTTGGGTTTGGATGGCATGAGGTGGCACACAGCCAGGCATCCAACACAAGCAGCACAAAATTGAAACAAAAGGCCCCAGGCCCATGGTAGCAAAAACAAGATTGACAACCAGAGCAATCTGTGCAACATACCAGTGAGCCTTAGGCCTACAAGTCACTCCATACCATCGTCACGCGGTCTCTTAGCCAAAAGGCCGCGAATTTGTTGCATCTGCTGCTCGAAGAGCGACTGCATCGTCTGATTCTGGTTTTCTAAATGACCATGCAATTGTTGGGCCTGGGCTGTCACTTGCCCCTGCAAAGCATTGAGCTGCTGAGAGTGATGGCCACTGAATTCCTGGAAGTTGTTTTCCAGGCTTTGCTGCTTCGACAGGAGCTGTTGTACCTGTCCTTCAAGTGCATGGACGCGATCCGGAACATCATCTTGTTCCATTGCTGGGTGAATTTTGGCAAGAACCGCTGTTTGGATCCGCTCCTCAATCTGCTGCAGACCTTCGGCAGGACTAGACGCAGGCTGTGGGCCGACGGTTGGGTGATACGTCTTCCAAGGGTCTTGAAGTGCCCATGGGTCTGGTTCCGTTTGCTTTCCAGGGACTGGAGCTCCACACAATGCCAAAGTGGCGGCAGAACCAACAGTCTTTGGTTGGGCACCTGGTGAGACAGCATCCTGCTTCTGTTTGGCAATCATAATCTCCCCAGTGGTTGTGGCAATAATGGTTTGCACTGGCTCTTCAGTCGATTGCACGAGCCACATTGCACCTCGCCCTGGGCATGGTGCCGTGGGCTGTAAAGGCCGGCACTCCCAGCCTGCGGCATGCAAGATCTTTCCAACAGCCTGTCGATCCACACCAAAGGGAAACGGTCCCACGGTATACAGTGTTCTGGGCCCACTTGGTAGGTAGATTGAATCCGGTCTAACTACCTGGTGAATCGTCTTGGCTTGAGATGTGTGGACCCGGAGACCCCTGCGCTCACCAATGCGGGCGAGTCCTTGCACAGCGGGGTTGGTCTGCATCAGGTGCTGCATTTGCTGCAAACTGTGTTTTGGCGTCCAAACCACTGTGAAGTCAGAGAGGACTTCTTTCCCGTCTGGCGTTCTGGGCTCACAATAGGCGCCAGAGGAGCCACTGGTTGCAAGCATAGGCGTCAAAATGCAATGTGGCGTCCTGATGCAAACAGAGAAGATTTCAGCTTTGTCGGCAGGACATGGCTTAAAACCTGATCTAAGGAATTGGCGCCGCCAGACGTCCAGGATCGGGTCACGCAATGGCAGTTGCTCCTCATAGTGCCAAGCCTCACAATTGCAGCCCTCAGTGAGACAACGTTTCAGCTTTGGCAGCAGTGAGACTAAACATCTGATAGGGGCAAGGCAAAACTCATTCCAGTCACTGTGCAACTCATCCTTGCACACCATGATTTTGAAAGTGACAACATCAGGGGTGTCAACGCTCACAAGGGCTGAACCGGTTGCTTTCTCAACTATGCCAGTGCCGAGTTGTACCAGAACTGCTTCTGCAAGGACCGGCTCTCCATTGACAGTGCAACGGCAAGGCACTGTCACCGCAGTGTGAGGCAAAGCTGTCTGTACATCCGAGCATGAGCGGGACAAAACCACCAGGGCAAGGGGCTCCGACGACACAGGTTTACCCGCTCGTAAATATGGCTCAGCCTCCCGCATAGTCGCAAGGATGACTCCACTGCTGACTGGCCCAATCTGCTTCATGGTCAACTGCAACATGGTGTGAGTTTGGGCTTGGAAAGTGCCCTCCATGATTTGAAGTTTGCTCGGTTCAAGCTCTACAGCATGTGAGACAGACTTGGATGACCCTTTGCCTTTCCCTTTAGGGGTAACCGGTTTCCCTTTATTTTTGGCAATCTCACTCACAAGTTCACTAGGGAGAACGAAGTGAAACTTGGAAAGGTTTCCCAGGGTTTTCAACTGTTTCCATGGATTCCGGTGGCCAAGTGCAGTAGCAATTTGCTCACTTCCCAGGGTCTTGATAGCTGCAAGTGCTCTCTCTTCCGTCAGAGCCTCTGGGACCCCATGTTTGGACAGCTCAACCGCCAAATTCTTGACCAACTGCCCGCTGGGGCCGTAACCAACAAGTGAACCGTCAAGGCACAGGTGAGAACAAGACTCAATCAATACTTCATGCAACTCGGCATCTGGCATCATGGTGCAGTGGCCTGTGAATGCAGCTAGGATGCGGAACGTCCTGGCACCACAAAAAACTTGTACCGGTACCTCCAATTCACAAGGCGTCAGCCATTGGGGAAGCCTGGCAAGGAAGGTTTTCAAGCAAGTTTCAAATGCAAGGACACAACAGGCATCGTATCTCCAACAAATGACTGGTGACCAATGGAAGTCTTGCAACACTGCCATCAACAAACCTTGAGCGCTGGAAAAGTGAAACCGATGAAGGGCAGCATCAAATTCATGGAAACTGGACACCACCTCAAACATGAGATCCGGAATGCACTGCTGTCTCAACCAATCAACATGATACCGAAGAGTGGAGAAGGCCATTCCAGTCTCTGGGCTCATACCGGTTGAGGGTGGGCAAACTTCAGTGACAAGCCACCAATCGTGGCATACATCAGGGTGTGACTGCAGTGAGGCCACTAAAGGACCCCAGCCAGGCATTAAAGGGAGTGGCCTGGATTCCCATGGTGAACCCCAACCCCAAACAGTGGGAAGAGTTGGCGTGGAATCTTGCATTGCTCTCCAAAACACCTGCTTCATATTCCAGCATCTGGCATACAGCTGCTCAATGTCACTTGGCAAGCGTGTTCCAAGCACAATGTGGGCAATGAAACTAACAGCAGTCACTCCACACAATCGGTCCGTAGGGAGTCCATGAGGCACAGAATGAGTAACAAACTCAGGAGAACCTAAGGCGTCACACACCGACTTTAAGAGTGGGCCAAACTGCTCAAATCCAGTAGCAAAATCTGAAAGGACATGGCACATCGCAACCGGCTGTGGGGCAAACCAAACCGGAATCCAGTGTTGCTGAATCCAAAGAATCATGACCACATGTCTCTCAGGTGTGCTGCGCAGCCCCAACCGTCGAATCCAATCATGCAATGGGTCGGGGTTGCCCTGCTCTAAATGCCACAACTCCAGCGGCGGGAGCAGCACGAATTCACGGCTCTCTGCGGGACGGCTTTCAAGGCACTGCAAGATATGGGTGAGGTGAAACAGAATCTCATCATCACCCATCGCATAGCTGTGGGCCAACAACATGTCCCCTCGTTGGAGGCGGATGTCATGCTCAGTGGGAGCAGCAGGATTGGCAGTCGCACGACTGACACAGCAACAAAAGTGATCCCAAATGGAGCTACGAGAGAAAGGGCGAGTGGCTGCAAATGCACAGCAAGGCACCACAAATGGTTCTTCTTCGGGCATTATAGGGAGTAGCCCGGATTCCCCTGGAAGCCCCGATCCCCAAATCACTGGCTTGGGCACAGTTTCTTGGCTGTACAGAAATTCAACAAACGATGCACGCATGTTGGTGTGGAGTTGCCTTAGCTCTTGATATGTATCTGGCAGTGGCATACGCATGATGACATGTGCAAGGAAGGCCAAAGCCTGCGCACCACACAGATCGTGTACAGTCACCCTTGGTGGTATTGAATGCAAGGTGTGGGAACTGAAACCCAGAAGGTGGACAATGTGGGCAAGGACTTCATTGAACATTGACAGGTCCAGGCCGTCAGCATGCAGGGTGTGGAGCGTGACATGATCATCAACTGGTGAAAACCAAACGGGGAGCCAATGACCCTGAACAGAAAAGGCCGTAACAACATGCTGACTACGGACATGTATTTGGGGATTGGTTCTGGACCACAGCTCAGCAATTGTCTTGCCCGTAGGCTGCCAACAAGAGAAGATCAAAGGTTCAACTAAAGTGAACTGTCGTTCCAAACCAGGTGCTCGGGTCGCAGGCTGGTTATCCAACAATTTGAGGAGGTGAAACCTGATCTCATCATCACCCATGGACAAACCATTGCTATTAATCAGGTCAATACGTTCATCACGTGTAACACTGACAACTGGACGGCCTCCTGACTCCGGAGTGTCCGGGGGGCCACCAGTGTCACCAGCACCCCAAATCCATGGTCTTCTTGTAATTTGGCATCGGCGCAATTCTTGGCAAAAGCTACCCCTGAGTTTCACATGAATTGCCCCAGCTTCCGCATCAGTGGTGGGCAGCAGGGAACCAATTAACGCTCCCCGAAGGAAGGCAATCGCAAGAGCACCACACAGTTGGGAAGTGAAAAACAACCTATGCTCATGACAAAGCAGGGCAGATGTCAATCCAAGTCCACTGGCCAATTTCTGCGCCAAGGCATCGATACGGGAGTGATCAGCCGAGGCAACATCCCAGATTCTCACCTGCAGCACCTGTTGAACTGGAACCATGAAAACAGGAATCCAATGTTGTTCCACCAAGACAGCCGTGATTATGGGCACAGCTTTGGACGCAACTTCTGGGTGATCCTTTCCCCACAAGGCACAATCAAACCCTTTGTTTTGAATCCATGAAGTAGCAATCAGAGGGTCCAACACGCAAATTTGAGGATTCAGGTTGGTAAAACGAGCATGGTATTCCTGATGGGTTTGTGCCAAGGCAAATAAGTGAAACCGCATCTCATCATCAGCCCAGTATGCACTTTGCGCATCAATGAGGGCCAATCTGTCTTCGGTCCGGAAGTATTGATGACGAATAGACCACAACTGCTGTGCATTCTGAATTACTGGCATCTGCAGCTTCAAGAATTGATCACCCTGCAACGCTTGGAATGGGGAAGCATCAAGCCAATTCTCATCCGGATCAGGAAGCTTCGATGGAATGACACACTCACCCACATCAAATTTGGATACCTTACGGGGTGGCGAATGGACTTCAATTGGATCTTCACTGGGAACTCGGATTGGGACTTCAGCAGGGCAAGTCCACTCAGCGGTGGGTGAAACAGCAGGTGTCGAGTCTTTCGGGTCATTGGCATTTTCCTGAACGTCAAGGAGCTGAATCAGGATCACTTGTCCAACTTGCATTACATGGTCATGTTTGAGGGGCACTCCATTGAGAGTAATGGCTCCCACAACCAAATCTCCAACCAATTTCTGATGAGCATCAATAAATTGTTGCACAGTAGAGTCACATTTGGGTTGAAAGCGAATGGGAGAATCAGACGTGCCTTCAAAAACAACCGTGCAAGAATCAGCAAACAGACATCCATCTGTGGTGGGATCATCAACAATGGAGGGCGCATCATACCATGGAGTGGCATCCAAGTCTTCCTCATCATCTTTGTGCTTGTCAAGAAGAGTAGATGGGATGGTCTCATGTTCTCGTATGATGTGATCCAACACTGAAGCCACACTGACAATGCCACTGAGCTCACCTACCCATCGCAACGGATACAGGACTTCAGCAAGAGACAAATTGTGATACTTGTCCCAAAACTTGACAAGAGACAAAAACATTTGGTCATGGATGGTTTCAATATCACAAGGCCAAACATGCCTACATCTCATAATCAGCCAAGCACGATAAGCCTGTAGTTGGGCACTGGGCTCGAAGGTCGGATGCATGCGCATTGCTGCAAGCTTGGCAGACACTGAGCTCAAGACCCAAAGTGCTTGTGCCGGGCTTGCAATCTGACCGGTGGCAGACAAGGTGAGACGAACATCACTTCCGAAGTCGATGACTGGGTCCATGGCATTAAGAGCCATTGATTCATTTGGATGCAAATGGCGAACCAACACTGTACCATCCTTCAACGGAGCACTCCTGGTCAAACATCCGTGAAGCCCCTTGCTTTCAAGTCTTTCAGACGAGAAGCCTTTGGAGCGGCAACCACAGGGACATGCTCTCGTTTGTGAACCCCAAGCATGTAAAGCACAAGGACACTGACCCTTAGCATTCAAAAGGTACTTGGCATGTGTGTCATGAATCACACCAAAGGCATGCATCTCATGTTCATCTAATGACAGAGCATGTTCATCATCATCATCATCCCAAGGCTGAAGGGCAGGAATCACGTGTTGAACTTCCGAAACATTGGTCAAAGGAGACCATGGAGAAAGTTTCACTTCCCCAATGTCAGCAGCCGATAAAACCCACCATGAACGATGTCGTCGAGTGGGCCACACTTCATCCAGACGGAGCTCTATCTGGCTGCAATGGAAACCAGTGAGACGAATGAAACGGTCGATCTCAGCACGGACAAATCCATCTTGCGCCGCTGGTGCAACGCACTCCAACACAACAATTTGTGAAAACAAAAAGTAGGCAGCATTCAATGTTTTGGTGAGACATGACGACCTGGTGTCGGCTTGTCCCCTGCAATCCCCAAGACGTGAATAGGGCTGGCAACTGAAGCCCGAGGTGATCACCTGAGCTCCCCCTGCATTTTTGGCAATGTCACACACGGTTTGCTTCATTCCGAAGTCCCCACAAATTGCATGGGCTGAGTGCGCTTTGGAGTGCAACGCTAACATCTTAGGGTTCTGATCGACTGCAACCAAGACATCGAACCCTGCCGCTATGGATCCTTGGGTGAGACCTCCGAAGCCTGCACAAAGATCTATGATGGAGTGAAGGGAGTCCCACGAGGGTTTCCTGTGTCATGAATCACAGTCTTCTTTGTTGGGCAAAGAACCGGGCATGGTACAACCACCAACCAGTTATGATATCATCCATAGTTAACCATCATTATCTGCTGACTAGGCCAGGCTTCGCTGGATGTCCGTCCAGGTGGTGGGATTCGCCAGGAACATCATGAGACGCAAGGCATCCTCGACTGATCATCCCAAAACCATATAAAAACCCATAGAAAACCTGGGAAAACCCATAGAAAACCTTGAAAAACCTATAGAAAACCCTGAAAAACCCATAGAAAACGTTTGAAAAACCCATAGAAAACTTGAAAAACCCATAGAAAACTTTGGACCCATAGACAACCTTGGAAAAGCTATAGAAAACCTGGGAAAAACATGGCAGGGAAAATATGAAGTGTCAGGTGACTTCCAGATCCTAAAGTCAGCAAAACCATGCATTTTCGTTTTTTTTTTCCATACTTTGATCATTTGATCATCATCAAATTGTGTTCTTGTGATTTTCCCTTCAGTTCTGGGGGATCCCATTCTGACCACCGCAGAAACCTTGATATCAGCATGGGCCTGCATGACCATCTTCCACACATTTAGACTGTTTCATGTTGCCATGTAACCCAGCATGTACAATAGTCTTTCTGTACGGTGATTAATTCTTATTGGATGATGGTGATGTTTCATCGCCCTTCTGTGAATTTGTAAGAACTTGCGATCGTACTTCGTATCAATGAAGATAATTCTATCTCCAACTGACGTTTTAATCGTCAGCAAGATGTTGCCAGTTCAATAATTGACATATGTTTAAACTTCAACCTTTTCCCAGCACTTTCCAGGAGAGCCACCAAGAGCTCCGGAAAGAGCATCAGCGCCATCCTCAATCGTGGCAAGCGTGGTGCAAGAAAATCACTGATTCTTTCCTAAAATGGGGGGGGGGTACCCCCAAATCATCCATGTCAATAGGAGTTTCCATTATAAACATTTATAATCCTTCATTTTGGGGTACTCCCACCTTTGGAAACCTCCAATTGGTGTGATTTCCAACCACTCTGAAAACAATCAGCCATTGAATTTTGGATGACCATTCCAGGTAACTGAATTAAGTGGATTTACATGGAACAAACATAAGCCAACGATCTTAAGTGACATTGTCTCCAGATGGTTTCCAGATCGCCTCTTGTCGAAAAATGGCGAAAAGGTTGCGCACCGGCATGCGACTGGAATCTGAAGTGACCAACCCAATTTTGCATCATTTATGAAACAGTAAGCAACATTCTTCAATAATTTCAAACTTGACTGGTGTCAACACTTATCAATGTTAAAAAACACATTAGCATACATCAGCACACTAAAGACTAACAGAGTCTAATAGATCATCACAATCTATTCACTGATCACTAATAGAATCTAATCTGGTTGGTGGTTTCAACCCCTCTGAAACAATATGAAAGTTACTTGGGATTATTATTCCCAATATATGGAAAGTCATAAAGTTGATGTTCCAAACCACCAACCAGTAATGTTTTTTTTTGTACTAAATCTAGAAGAGCCAAGTCCAAGGTACGTGTAGATCATCAGGACTTTGGCAAACGGCAAGATCTTTTTCAGTTCACCCTCAACACCTGGCCAGGTACGCGACGCTGCTTTCGGAACTGGCGACGGGCAACAGTGTTGAAATCCGTGGTAGTTTAATGTCGGCAAAACAAATGTCATAAGCCGGCCATGACTAGGAATGGCTTAAAATATATACCACCTATAAAAATGCTGATGACCCCGGGATGGTGCAAATGGCATTGTTTTGCCCACATTACTGTCATTTGCAACCTCCAAATTATTTACTGTCATTTACCATCCCCAGTTGTAGAACATTGCAACCCGAACTGCCCAACTGCTACGTGGTCGCCCCTTTTCCCTATGGCATCGCCTTCCACTCCGGTTTCCGCGGTTTCCGCCTTCCCCGTGCACGGGGCTCTCCAAATCTTGCCCCAAGCGGAGGTACAGTAAAGCAGCTTGTTGTGACAGGAACCTCGGCTTTCGTGGCCATGCTGACTCTGGACACCCACAGATCTTGAATCATTTACCCTCTGGTAATTTAACATAGCTATTGAAAATCACCATTTTTAATGGGAAAATCCACTATTAATGGTCATTTTCAATAGCTACGTTAAATTACCAGAGGGTATCTCTATATGTCCGTGTGTGTGTATTATCAAGTATTTTTCTTATATTCCAAACATTCCCAAATCTGATGTTTCCCTGCAAGCAATTGTTAATTGCTGGCTTCCCCACCATTCACAAACAGATGCACCATATGGCCATACATGTAGCTTGGCTGTTTGAAGTCGCTATAACTTGTTTCTACAGTAGTTCAACATCGCGACTCCAAAACCCCTCCCCGTCAAAAGGGTCCTGCTTGATGGCAACTGATTTCGGTATTGACTCGGCTCAAGAGAATTAACTAGAACATATCTATACTTCAAACTGTCTTCACGTTTGCAGCCAACACATGCCAAAACAATCTTTGCATATAACATGGTCTGTCAACTCCTGATAGTCCCTTACCCAGCCTTTAGACTTGTCCGGAAATATCCACCGCATACAGAGGGACGAAGGGAATCATCAAACCATGACTGCCATTTCTGCGTTCAAGCATCACTCAGGTCAAGATGATATTCCCTGATATTCCCTGAACCCCTCATCATAGCAATCAAATGCAATAAAAACAATGAAACTGGAGCTGAGTTACCCTCTGGCGATTTAACGTAGCTATGGAAGATCAACATGTTTAACAGGTAAATCATCAGAAATCATCTACCAATGGGCCATCTGTATCGAGCTATGTTAAATGACCACAAGGTACATGTTCGAGTGCCATTTTAACAGTGAAGCCATCCCAAGCCCTGACATGGCATGTCTCTGCCAAGCGACAATGGAGCAGCCATCACAAACATCCACAGTGGATGTACTCTGATGCAGCCTTTGCAAGGGATGACGGAACAACCGGGAGAACAACTGGACGTGTTCGAGGGTAAACAGGTAGGAGTGGCGAAAGCTTGTCATGTGCTGGGATATTTCTTCTTTACCATAACCCCAGAACATGAAGTGATTGAAAGAAAAACTAGTGAGAAGTGCAAAGCACATGCAGTAGTAAGAAAGCATCTGGCACCTGATACCTGACAAGGACAAACAACAAAGTCATAGGCAATAGGTTGGGCAGGCGCAGGTTTCCAGATCAAAAAGGGGCAGAAACTGCCTATGCCTGGCTTGGAGAAAGTGGAAGGATATGCTATACACCATTATATAAACAGTCTAGCTGGTTGGGGGTTTTAACCATCTTGAAAAATATTAGTCAATAGGAAGGGAAGGATTATTCCATATCTTATGGAAAATAAAAAATGTTTGAAACCACCAACCCGCTAGATACGTCTAGATGTACAAAAGCACGGAAGGAGAACAATACTATTCAAAATTGCAGACCAAATCATTCAGAAATGCTTTGATTAAGCACGCCTCCATACCCATCTCTCCCTCCATCCCATTCTGATCCGTGTACATCCAAACTGAGGCAATACGCAACATGACTGGTCTCAAAGTCGACCGAGACTTTAGTTGCTGAAAAACCAACCGACTCTTGTCCGTAACCCTCCGGCAAATAAAGATATGAGCTCCCGTCAAAATCCACTAAACATGTGAGTAGTTGCTATTGTTACGGTTATCGCTTTTGGGGAGGCCCTATCGCTTTCCAGGGTTTTGTGGAAAACAGCATATTCGAGATCCAACATGAAACCAAAATTCAGTCCTAAACAGGCTCGGAAAGGGATCGAGGAGTTGTTGTGTTAGGGATCTTTTTCAGGGGCTTCGGCAACACTTCATGTTCCTTTCATTTTGCATTTAGTTGCATGCATTTTCCTTCATGTTCCTTTCATTTGCATGCATATTCCTTTCATTTTTTTGCATTCATTTCCCGTCATTTTCCTTTTATGTGTATTCATTCCCTTCATTTTCCTTTCATATTCCTTCCATTTTCATTCCAATCTGCATTCATGTCCTTTCATCTATCTTCCTTTCATCTTCCTTTCATTTGCATGCATTTTCCTTTCATTTTGCATTCATGTCCTTTCATTTCCTTTCTAAAGTTATGGAAATGGCTCTATGGTTTGGCCAGGGGACCGAGTGCAACAAATGGTTATCGCTAAGTTATCGCTAATTAAGGTTATCGCTAGATAACCCCTTGAACATATGACATTGTTCGAAGGAAATTTGCCACAAAAACGGCAGTGTGAGAGAGAGAGAGAGAGGAAAAAAAAGAAAAAACGAAAAAACAAAAAAACAAAAAAAGAAAGAAACAAAGAAAGAAAGAAAAACAGTAAGAAAGTAAGAAAGAAAGAAAGAAAAACAGTAAGAAAGTAAGAAAGAAAGAAAGAAAGCGAGCGAGTTCGATGCCAAATGATATATGGGAAACAGGGCACCAAAGGTTGCATTTCTCTCATCGGTTTTGCCTGTTCTGTGAATGTGCAAAACAGTACTTGCTTGGTTTACGCCAAGTTTCATGGACTGTCGCGTGCGGTCCCAGGTTATCGCTTTTGGGTGGCCCTATCGCTTTACAGTGTTTCGTGCACATCTCTGGCAAAAAACCCTGCAATACTAAAGTGGTCTTCAACCATTTTGACTGTGATGCATATGTATATGTGGAAAACCCAACATTTATGAATCATTTCCTAGGGACACCATTCACAGTAAATATTCCATATCTATAATTGATGTTTTCCTGCATTTTACTAAACCGACTAAACCCCAACATGTTGCTTGGATCACCCCCCCATTTCTGTCCTTCAAAAATCACATTTCCATTGGTTCAATCCGTTTTTCACCACGACTCCATCATGCGCTGTCTACTTGGGGGCAGTTCATGGATAAAGTGATGATGATCACCACGACTCCACGTCCGGCACCTCGGGGAAGCTGCAAAACGACCCCGCCGAAGGCGGCCACGGAGACCGCATCGTACATGTCCTCCTGAAATCCTTGAGGTCGACCGTTTCCCGTTTGATAGATGGGAATTCTTGCGGATATTCACTGAGACAATTTCATTGGAATTATTTCATGGGGTTTATGGGTGTGTCGGAAAAAATGGAAGAATAATGGTGACGATCATGTGAATTCTGCCAGCCGTTCATGATAGCTGGAACTGGTGAAGATTCGCCCGGTGGTTCACAAACCCACACACGTGATGCAAATCTAAACCATCTATGAAACCATTATATAGGCAAAGGGGTGCTTGGGAACTGATGTGAAATCATTGCACAAAACAGTGCTATTTGTTTGCGTCCTTTCACTTCCTTCAATATTCCGCCCTAAGATGACCTGAATGATTCAGCAACATATTCCACCTGGTCAATGGATGTGGCGCTGCTGGGGAACTGGGGTGGATACTGTGCCACCGAGGCAAAACATGAGATGAATGGGGCCTGGTCAGGCAAAACCATCAATGGGATTCCAAAGATCATGAGTGGTACCCCTATCACCAAGCATTCATGACCCATGGCACCCATGGTCTATGGAATTTTTCACTGATGGAGCAACGACCTTGGCACAGATGGTCAACACATGTCAACATCAATGGAATCCCCTTCTGTTCACATCAAAATAACTGGGATTTATGGATGTTCATTCCTCCATTTAGTTTGGTGATTTCAGAGCTAGTCACATTTGATTACCAGAAAAATTATCCCAATTATTATCCCACTTGATCCCAGTAATCATCATCAATTTTACTTGCTACTTGGTTATAATATTATAGATCTGATTGTATTCCCACTACAGTAGATGGACAAAATATTCAAACCCTGCAGCAAGCACTATGTTGAACCCCCGCACCCCCAAATCTCAATGTTTCAGCGCGCGTGTTGGCAAAAGTGATGTTAGCGGTTTGATTTTTTCGTCCATTGGGGCTAACGCACTTCAGGTTACATTAACATTGAACTTTGGGGGCGAGGGGGTTGTACCGGATAGAAGGGGTTTGAATATTTCGTCCATCTACGGTAGTATTCCCATTAGCATTCCCAATTCATTCGCTACTGTTTATGATTCGATCACCGGTTGACTCATAATTCGATCACCGGTTGACCATAAATCCCAATTAGTCCTCTAATTCCGTCAAGCTACTAGTTGTTTATAAATCCCATTCAACCATTACTAGCAATCATTAATATTAATGACTATATAGTTGGCCGTCATCCCAATGAAGGTATTCATCACTATGGATCCATAACCACACGTATGTCCCAGGCGCCAACGACTCCCACCGATGTGCAAGAATGTTCAGTCTCAGCCTGGATGTGCCGCAAAAGGCCACCCCAAGGTGAATGGAGGGTTGGCCATGAAAGAATGTGGGATTTAAAACATCGAAAATATGGATATAACATGGTTTAACCAACAAAAGTGTGAATTTAACTGGGAAAATTGGTAACCTTGGGATCCGATTAAAAAACTTCCCTGACTAATATGATGCAACCATTTTCCAACTGACCTTTTCTTGGCTGCATTTGTTTTCAAAAATCCGCCCCTGTACTTTTAGTATTCGGTCACCTTGTTGGCCGTGAAACACCCCCGCAAGAATATACTTTTTAGGGACGACCAACATTTTTTGATATTGGTTTTCAGTTGCGCCCATTTACTTTTAGTATCTGGCATTCCCTTTTTCCACTAAAGTCCTTCAAAGGTGAAAGCAACTCAGATAGCATCGCAATCATCATTATCCCATGCAGAGTCCCAAATAGGGTTGCCTTGCGTTGTCCAATCCTTCAAGTACAGTACTCATATGCTATCATCCCAAATTCCATTGCATTGGCCCTTGGAATGCCGGGGCAATTGCAACCGAGTTTCTCCAAATGGATGTCGTCGGGATTGATTTCCAGTATTTTTTTCTTCTTCTGGGTTCCAAAAAAGTGGTCTGAACCAGGTCTGAAAAGAGGAAGGGTAAGGAATTGCAAGTCATCATGGTTATCGACGTTATCGATGATGAACTAAGTAGCTGATGAGATATCCCCGGAAAAGTTTGCAAAATTTCCGTTTATAGCTTTTAGAACCTTCACCAGATTGTTTCAGATAATTTGTTTCCTATATCCTTATTTTTGTTTTCTCAAATATTACCATCAAATGCACATATATGGTGAAATAGTTTTGCTTTTGCTGTAATTTCAACATATAGATTTATATACATATATGTAAATTTTAAAATATTGAGTGTTTAATGAAATCTGAAACAACATATATATATATATATTATATATATTCAAAAAAATATTTATATAGAATAAAAAAAATAAATCGATTTAACTATATATATATATAAACAAGGCTTTAAATGATGGGATTTGGAGTCTGGGCAAAGGTAGGTCTAAAATGGACCTATATATTTCGTGTTTAGACCTTTGGGGCCACTAAACATGTTAACTAACTCGAAGATAGCGGAACTAAATTGAACTAAAGTGAGAAAGGACGAGGGTTTTCTCCGACGAAATTTTTGTGCCCAAGGATCAACTCGAAACAAAACTGGAAAGCATGGGTAGCTTTCAGAAACTATACCGAGTGAACTGTGACATGTAGTGAGCCCAGAGCGAAGCGGGAGACAAAAACAGTTGAACATTTCGTGACTTTCATAATGTCTCATCCAGACCTCGGGCATCCATCATCCGAGAGCTGCAACAAACAGCTCTGACCCGTCTCTGTTTGATTCCCGCCGCTTGAATTGTGCCGTCTCGTCTCATCTTCTCACCAAATTCTCCGTTTGTCTGAAGTTGCCCAGGAATTTACACATTGTGACATTTTCTTAATTGTGGACGCATCCTTCCTTCATAATTAAAACAATGTGCCCAGCAGAGTGGTTCCAAAAGCTATAAACGGAATTTTTGCAAACTTTTCCAGGGACATCTCAGCAGTTATATAGTTCGTCATCGATAAACATGATGACATGCAATTCCTTACCCTTCATAGTTTCAGACCTGTTTCAGACCTGTTTCAAACCACTTTTTGAAACCCAGAAGAAGAAGAAAAGGTACTGGACAAGCAATCTCGACGACACTCATGTGGAGGAACTTGGTTACAATTGCCCTGGACTTCCAAGGGCCAATGCGATTGAATTTGGGATGATAGCATATGAGTACGGTACTTGAATGATGGGACAATGCAAGGCAACCCTTTCTGGGATAATTATGATTTGCGATACTATCTGAGTTGCTTTCACCTTTGAACTTTTCCCCCTTGTTTCCAGGTTCTCCCCCCTTGAATCCACATTTTCTGGCTTTTTGTGTCGTCAAGGTGCAAAACAAAGTTAAATTACTTTACTTTGAGGGATGCCCATCATGACATTATTTTGTCATAGTTTCTGACGACATCTCATCTGGAAGTATATATGGCACATATTTTCTGACATTCTATTCTGGCATTCTATCTGACACTCTATTCTGACATTCTGTTCAATTCTATTCTGGCATTCTACCTAGCATCTATTCTGACATCCTATTTGGAGTCCTTTCTGCCATCTATTCTGACATTTTCTCTGGCATTCTATCTGGCATTCATTCTATCTGGTATATCTTCGGAGATTCTTTGTAGTTGAAGTCCGGCGGGGAACACTCTGATCCGGAGCTTGCAGTTGAGGTCCGGCAGAGGAAGGAGGAGGAAGGAAGCGGGCAGGCTGACATAAAATCTAACAACCTCACCTGACAGGTGGGGAACAATTAATTAAGGACAACGTATTAAAGTTAAATACACTTAAATATCAATTAGAACTAATTCAGACCTGGTTAGCTGTAAGTAATTGAAAACCAATATTGATGTCAGTTTAAATCGACTTATGAAAACCAATATTGATATCAGTTTAAATCGACTTATATGTAATTTCAACATATTTAAGGCTAATAAAACTTAGTCTAAAAACTTCTTCAACATGGTAAAGAAAAACAGAAGTAAATGAATAACCTGAACCTGATTGAACTGAAATCTCGAAAACATGAAAACATGCTAATTGCGGGGACGCTTTATATAATTGCGGGGTGTGCGTGCCCTCTTTCTTAATCCGACCCTAAGATTATTCATTTAACCGGTAAAATTGCTGGTTTACACGATTTAAGCATCAAGACATGGAGATTCATGTTTCATACCCGTTGAAATACCACCCAAATAAAAGAACCCAATTAATTAACCTAATCCTGAAACAGGTCCGGCGGCGTCTCGCTCTCCTTCCTGGACTGGTTGGCAACGGACCACATTGACCACCAACCAAAGCTCAGGCTGGGGTCCTAATATTCTTTTCATCCACATGACTTGACGTGACTTTATTTATACATATATGATCATACATACATTAATTACTTGACCCATCATCATCCCATTTGGATTAAATAGTCATAAGGGGGTTTCCATAAATGGGAGATCTCCGAAATAGATGCTTTATCATGGAAAAACTCCATTAAAATAGATGATTTGGGGGTACTGCTATTTCAGGAAACCCTCATCAAAATTCACGAAAAAAAACAGCTTCGCTCTGGTGCCTTCACAACAGTGGCCCGGCCAGTTGCCCTTGCTCATCAGTGATGGTGACGTCACGACGCGTTGCGGCCTTTTTCTTCACCCCCCCAAAAAAACGGCTAAAGCCGGGTTAGGTCCCATGTTTTTCTCCTCAACTGAAAAATATTAGTCAGTTGGAATCATTATTCCCAGTATATGGAAAAATAAAGATAATGTTCCAAACCACGAACCAGACCCCCAAACCCCAGCATTTTGATGCCACAAAAATCGAAAAATCTTTGCCGCAAAGACACCGAAAGGTAATCCGCCAGCGTCGTGGCTGTCGTCCGGCTGCCGTCCTTCTTGTCTGGCACCTTAGAGGAACTCATTAGTAACTGACTTACTGTAACAAGCAGCTTGGTGTGACGTATGCATTAGTTTAATCTAGGATAAATTTTATTTACTACCAGTAATGTTTAAGTATTCACTAGGAATCGATTTACTGTATGCGTAGATTCATTTGTTTACCAGTATACGTTTAATTTACAGTATGGTATTTTATACCTTACTGTCACATGTCTCTACTGTTTTTGAGAACTGTCCGAAAGTTTGAAAGGGGGATCCTTTGAGTTAACCCAAACCAGCAATATCTAGCAATCACGAAGTGGAGAAACAGCGACCGCCATACCATACATCCAGATAAACGACTATCTTTCCAGGATAGTATAGATTATGTTTTCCTCATAACTTCCCAGGTGTACAACTTTTCTATCCTTTTTGGTACCTCTTGCTGCCATCACCCTTCGCCCCGCCATGTTGAGCTCAGCACGGACTGATCGACGGAGCCTGCATTCTGGAGCTCGGAATTCAAGAGATGCCAAGGAGTACATGGCCAACATTGGATAACGCACAGAAATATATAGGAGTTTCCGAAAATGGAAGTACCCCCAAATCATCCGATCATCCATTTTAATCGGATTTCCAATAATTATAAACCATTCGACCATCCATTTTGGGATACCACCAATTGAGGAAACCCACATATAGAAAATGATAACGATAAAACAATAATGACACGAATGGTCAATTTTTTGATACTGATTGGAACAAGCATAATGAAACACATGTGACTAATCATTGTAGTAATGCATCCATTTGCAATATTAATTAGATTTTTATTATTGGTATAATGTATAGTATGGGCTCGAACTTTAGAACATTTTTTGGGGGTAGTGAGTATCCCCATGCACAGCAATGTGAAAAATAATCTTAGACTACTACCCTGCATTCTTATTATTTAGAGGCTTGGTGAATATTGTCATCTATCAAAATAAACTGGCATATTGAGTACCCATCCAAGATTGACCGGTTGACCTCTATCTAACGACTGGGTCTACCTACCAAAAATATCCAAAAGCTTTTGGATATGGTAAACCCAGTCTGCCCCACGGATCGCCTTCGCCATCAGATGAACTTGCATCCTGCGGCAACCCTTTCAACATCCAAAGCCTATATTCGTAGTTCGCTGTTTGCAACCCATCTCTCTCTCTCTCTCTCTCTCTCTCTCCCTCCATCCGCTCTATCTCCACTACAGCATCATTTTTCAACAAGATTTGGGTGCTTTGTTGTAGTTTATGAATGTTTATTCTCATGGTCTTATGCTTTTGATGTGTTCTATATATGTCCATGTGTCTACTTTGTTTATTCTAGATTGTTCTTCAAGTATCTGCAAAAGCTGTGTGCAATGGCAAGGTGCAAATTTAAGATCTGCATACGGTAAAGATACATGAATACATACATCAATGAATACATAAACTTAAATAGGTGTACATCAAATGTATTTGTAAAATACATCATATAACAATACCTAACACTATGTATTGCTAAATACTAAATATGGTAATGATATGGTAAGAATCGTGATAGTTAGCATATGCTGATATGGTCTTAATAATGGTCATAGTAATATATCACCCCAACTTTTCGTGGCCGCGTTTCCTCAGGACAGGTGGTGTAGAAGTGGCTGCAATCGCGGCTACTGCTGGACGGCCAAGGTTTCATCAGCTCCTGCAACGGTGACTTTCAGAAACGTCGCGGAGATTATACCCTCTGGTAAACTAACATAGCTATTGAAAATAGCCATCTATAGTTGATTTTCCTATTGAACATGGTGATTTTTCATAGTTATGCCATAAACCATCCCCCAAATGACCATTAATAGGTGGTATAAACCGTTCCCAACCATTCCCAAATGGGTGGTTTATGACATTGTTTTACCAACCTTATGTCTAAAAACAAGGAGGCTGAAAACACTCAGAATTGGGCTTTCATGGGGAATATGACGGAACATGATCACCAATGGATTTGGGATACCCTGTTTTCAAACCCATCTATATTAAGCTCGAATATGCACAATATGTATATATATATATTAAAAGATATGGGTATATATGGACAGTTGTTAAACATTGCACTCAGTTTAGCAATTGCTGCAATTTACCGATTTTTTGTACGGGACTTGTCTCTTCTGCATCTTTTGGGGATGCAGTGTGCCAATGCTGGAAGTTGGATGCTTGGTGGTATGAAAAAAACACCTGAAACCTGAAGTCGGCCAAAGCAAAAACATGTCAACCAATCAAATCGAACACAGAAAAAGGTACGCTGCAAACCCTAGGTTTGCCCGCGGCGAATCCCGCATATCCTTTGACATGCTCAAATCCCTTCGTAGGGTTTAAGTTGTTTACTTTCCAAAACAACAAACACTACTAAAACCCTAAATCCCTAAAAACCTAAACCATAAATCAAAACCCTAAATCCTGAAAAACTTAAAGTCAAAATCACCGCATATAGCCAGTGTTTTCATTCATCCTCTGGTGATAAGTATGTCATATTATTTGGATGTGTTGTTTGAGTGTGGGCGAACCCGGGGTTTGGAGGGAAAAGGTAAAGCTGGTGGATACACATGCTTTCCAACACTTGGAACATTTGGAACATAGACTCACTGACTCCTGCCCAATGTTGCTCCCATTTTTCCCGGTGACCCGGTGACCGGTTTGAGCCGACTTGGCCGGGAAATGACCTGACCTGATGACCTCTACAAAGGATGCCCCTAAATTACCATACACGAAAAAAACGAGCATAAATGGAAAAATCATCAATTTTATGGTGGTTTATCTTTGCTTTACTAGCATTATGGAGAATCACGATATATCTTTGGGGATTGCTATGGTGTGAACTCTGGATTGCACTCTGAACACATGAAACGCAACAAAGATCAATCTTTTGAAAGGAGAAACAGATCCTGTTCTTGGGGTTCCATGATTTCGTATTAGTTTTCAGGATGGCAAACTGACCCCAAAGGATCCCATATGGCTAGGATGCAGTTCATGTACAACTTCAACAATCACATGGATATCCTCAGGGAACATGCAGCCATGGCTTTGCGGCCCCCCTGGGGTTGACACTCCAGCCGCTCTTTTCTAGTCATGCAAATGGTCGGGAACGCATGCCGAAAGCAAGCGAATGGACGATGAAGAGGGAGTTGGACCCGGCTTCTCAGTTCAATCTTGCTCGTTTACCAGTGTCCTAAGCAAGGAAAGCAAATGCATCTAGGTAATTAGATGGACATGGGTCAGAATGAGGGTGATAAAGGAACCATGGCAAAATGGTCATTATGGCTTCAATGATTCACCCACATCCAAAGTTGAATGCTCATCTTCATTCATTTTCACCATTATATACCCTCTGGTAAACAAACATAACTATGGAAAATCACCATTTTTGATGGGATTCCACCATAAATGGCTATGTTCAATAGCTATGTTAGTTTACCAGAGGGTAATATAACGTTAATCTGACCATCCCTAAAACATCTCCATGGACCCTGCCAAGTCGCTCTCGCAGAGCTCAAGAGCCTGAGACTGATCGCCGTTCGCAGGGAACGCGTCCCAGTTGGTAGTTAATAACCCATCTACAACCCATACACAACCGTGATATAAATACAGTAAGTGGGATGACATCCAAGCAAGGAATAACCGTTTCATACTGGTTCTATCCTTTTTGTTGAGGCATTCATCAATAGTTCCATGGCGTCGGCGTGGATCGTTGAAATATGTTGAACTCATGAGTCAAATCAACTCAAAAGCAGCAGCTAGTGGGATATCCGTGTCCATTGTTGGAGTATCTCCAAAAATGTCACAAGCCATGTGAGATTCGCAGGCCGAATCCAAAATGGCCCACCAGCAACTCAGCCGCCAACCTTTTCTCAAAGATGCTCCGCAAGCGCTCTTTCTCTGGATGAAAGGCCTAGGTGGCAACTCACTGGGGTAATGCTCCGATTTTTTGAAGATGAAAACCAAAAAACCTGGACACTTGAAATATGTTCAACGACAGGAACACTGCCAAGGAGTAAGTTTTGCGAGACGTGATAGTGGAAGCCATCCGACATTCGCTTGGCCATCCCATCACCCGTCATGGCCATATGGTGTGTCTGACCATATGGCATTCCAAAATCCAAGAGTTTATCATCATTCTGCCTATCAACATCAACACGTAGCCCTAATTCATAGGTAAAGGTCACATGTTTTTGAGCAAACCCAAATCAAGTTTTTGCCCGAGCTGGGTTTATGATATTGGGTGCATGTTCAACCCCAAACCTCATACATCTCTAATGTAATGTCTATTTCCATCTATCCCCTCCGTCTCTCCCAAGAGTTCAAGAAACGCATTTATGTGTATTCATCTTACCTACAGTACTTAATTCCTTCCCACCAAACAAAAACTCTTCCGAAACATGGGTTCATACTGAAATCTTATGTGTACCATTTGTCTTCATATCCGTACTGAAAGAAACAAGCGTTGGTACTTCAAACAAATGCATAAAATATCCCCATCGTATCTCGCAAAAGAATATTCATGATACCCAAAAATATAGGAACATGTATGCTATACTGCGGATGGTTGCAATATCCTGCACCAGTCGGTAGATGGTAAACTTTTTCCGTTACAATCCCATGAAATACCTCGCAGTGTTCATAGTTATCAACAATTATCAACAGCTACCAACTGGTGATTTAACATATAGCTATTGAAAATGGCCATGTTAAGCCAGCTTATAGTTGATTTACATATTAGACATGGTGATTTAACATAGGTTTTTTGTATTTTACCAGAGGCTACCAACTGGTGATTTCTGAACCATCCACCCTTTTAGGACAACCCCATAACGTCGGCGTGCCGTCGCGCCGAGCGTCTGATTGAATGGCTTGGCGCTGGATGTCGACGATGTCGTCGCGCGACAAGTCAAAGGCCTCCGAGGCTCGGAAGACTCGGACCAAATCATAAAAACCCTCCAATTGGGGATATACATAATACAGCTAGTGATTAATCTTAATGATGATATATATATATATATTTATTTGCTTATTTAAAAAAATTACACAGTATATATATATAATGTTGAAACATATATTATATATAGAATCTATTATATGACACACATATCTATATATATAGATATATATGTAATTATGTATATATATAAATAATCAATGTATATCATATATTTACTGGAATTATAACCAATCACTGATCGACCCATTCAACATAGTTTATAAACAGCTAGTGATTAATCTTAATGATGATATATATATATATATTTATTTGCTTATTTGAAAAAATTACACAGTATATATATAATGTTGAAACATATATTATATATATAATCTATTATATGACACACATATCTATATATATAGATATATATGTAATTATGTATATATATAAATAATCAATGTATATCATATATTTACTGGAATTATAACCAATCACTGATCGACCCATTCAACATAGTTTATAAACAGCTAGTGATTAATCTTAATGATGATGAATGGGCCTGACATATAATGCGATTAATATTAAAAACTACATATTAATGGGTAAATATGGTAAATAATTGGGATCATAATTGGGACATACATATATCCGGTGTCATCAAACATGGCCAGCTAGGAAAATCAACCATAAGTGGGAGATTTTCGAGCCTGCAATGTTTGATCACCGGGGTGTAATTTTCAGTGGGTTGATAGCAGGAAAATCTACAGGAAACCATGGAATTGCAAGCTAAATATAGATATGTATAGGTATGTCCTGCAAGAGTCCCCTTCCCCTACCCCTACGGTAATTTAAAAGTGTGCCTTGGGAAATGGATTAGTTATATAATCGATGATTTACAGCAATTAAAAAATATGAGTGTCCATGGCTGTGCTAAACTACCAGAAGCTATCCTGCAAAGAAAATTGAATCTTTTGCTGATATATAGGTAGATATCCATAGATATCCCCCACTCACATCACAAAACTCCCAAACTCGTACCAAGCATAAGCAAGCCATCCAATTCAAGGAAGCAATCTTCAAACAAAAACATGCATCTAGCAGGAAAATCATGGATTCATCATCAAAGGGAATCCTAGGATGGGCACGCGGTCGGGGCTTTAAAAGTTAACAATGATAAACCAACAAATGGTCAAATACACCTGACTCCAAATCCCGAAGTGCTGCACCAATTCTCCGGTGTAACATCCACTTCAACTGGCTCTGGAAACACCGTGAATCATGTGTTTTGTACCACGAAAATGCCAGGAATATGAATACTTCAAAGCAAAATGCAACATTTTCGTCACAATTTTGCATCATTTTGCCATGTTTAAAAACACCCTTTTTCCGGGTCCAAAAAAGCTGCACCCCACTGCACCTGAGCAAGGTCATGTACCTCTGAGGACAAGTCACACGAGAAGAGGCCTGGCAAAAAATGGCCCCTTGGAGCATTCGAGGTACCTGATAAGTTCAGGTTAAGTTTCAGTAGATAGGTTTAGATATCTTAGGTTTTATTACTGTAAGTAGATGGATCTATGAGATGGAACCTGGAAACTCCAAGTTTGATTGTTTAATTCTCGTTGATTATCATTATCTGCTTTTTGATGGACATATGGGGGGGATTGGGGGGTATGATATGGTAAAACACTATGTATACTCCATTTTCAGACACAGCCATATTTGATAGTATATGTGCTGACAGCTTCATCGATATGTACCTATGTATATGTAATTATACATATATATATATATATCTATATCTCTCTCTCTCTCTATATATATATATCATGTGATTGAACAATGTTGAACATATATCTATAGATAAGGCAGTTTGCGATGATGCTGCTGCTGATGATGAACATCTACATGATTCCCATTAAGGAGAACATAGACGCATGGCATCACCGTGAAACTCGGGCTGGGTACCGGACCGACATCATCGGTATTGATACCTCAGGGTGCCAGGGCGTATCTGCGGACCCGACATCAAATTGCTATGGAAACTCCGGCTTGAAACATTACAAATAAGAATCCCAGATGCCCCAGGGTGCTGGAATATTTACCTACAAAACTGGGTGATTTTCAGGGCAAATGTTGGTAAATATTCCAGCACCATGGAGCATATGGGAATAACTTGTGAAAAAATCAAACAATATACACTACCAAAATACATCCAAGACAAATGTATGTCGAAACATATCCCTCCCTTCCAGGCCGGACAAGTGAGACACCGCTTCCAGCCATTTTAAAATGGCTACATCGTTTCGGCCTATGATTTTGCCTCATGACCGAACGGAAACCGGCCGCCAAGGCACTCAGAAGGACCTTGTCCGATTTTTTCCACCAATCCAGGAAATGATGATCCTGCAAACCTGCAGCACCACTATCCACCAGTCAGCATGGAGGCTTTGCTGTTGGGACGTAGTGATAACCTTTGAGGGGTAATGCTGACCCTGACTATGTGTGTGTGAGCAAATTGGTTCTGAGATCTTGTAAAGTGATGGGTGAAATGTTGCCGCATTTTTGAAATCATGTTCAACATGAAATTGTCAAGGACATACTCGGCACTTTGTCAACCCAACGTCCAAGCTGCTCTGGATCTCTTTGGTGACCATGTTTGAAGTGGGGCATATCTCCTGGGGCTGTTGGATACCCCATGGCCTCATGGTAGCATTGAACATATGACATGGTCAAACATTTCATATCCTCACACTGCTCGTGAGATCTCAAGCCCCCTGGGTGCATCCTCCAATCCTGGTCACAACACGGCCCTGAAATTTGAAGGTTGAAACAAAACGCAAAAGGCCAAGGGCCATGAAACCAAGTGGAAATTCATCTTAAAAAACTCATCTTCGTTATCATAATTCTCCCCAGCGCTTACTGGAACCGCTCTTCGGGGCCCAGGAGTCTCTCTTCCGGATCCCACGAAACCACCAGGTCAAGGTGCAACACCAACTCCCTCATCTTCCTTGGATCAAGGTGGACATGCAAGGCTTGTGTCACCCTGGCCACGCCCGTTCAGGCCACCAGGTATCCAAGACCCTGGTTGAATCCAAGAGTCATAGATTCCATCCAGCACCCGTTGCCGTTGGTGATCGGGAAGGTAAGTCACATGGCCCAAACGCCTCCGAGGATTGCGCAGGATGTGGCAGCGCAACGCTGACTGTTGGAAAATCATAGGTACTTTCTGCCAAGAACATCCAACAACACCTTGAATTGCATGGAACATGGCACCTGAAAAACCCAACCACAAAGTGGGTTTGTCTGAAAGTATGGCACCCAAAGATCGAATGGGCATATCAAAGTTTTCCCTACTAAAATAGCCAGTTGGGTGTATCCCATTTTCAGAGAACACCAGGTTTCATTCCCATCATCACTTTGTGGTAGTATTTGTGCAAGGTAGGGCCATCCAGTTAACTATAAGTTGGTTTATAAATTCCACTAACTATAGTTACATCCTCCATGAATCCTACTTATATAATTAGTCAAATTATAAGGCAATTTAGGTCGGTGTCCAAGGGGCCCTTGTAGGATCCTTTCGGCCTTTCAGCCAAAAAAAACACACGTGGCGACGGATGTCACAACTTAAAGGGCGCCTGACGTTGAGCTCCCGCATACCTGAGGTCTCAGAGGCTCGGGTGATAATCACAAAGAATGACCGGAATCATGATGATCATGATATCATGATTCCATTTTGTTGCAGTATTGTTGCTGATGATCATGATTCCATTTTTTTAGTTGCAGTGGTTCTTCAAGTTCCCAACCCGAAAGTTTTGTTCTTCAAACTGGGATGATTCCGGCTAATAGAGCGATATAGAACATGATCAGTCAGACATGGTATTACCATTGCGGTTGCACTTGCAACGCTACTGGTAGTTTTGGACCTTTCAGGACTCCCCACAGGGGACCCCGGTGAAAACTGGGCTGAGCCACTGTCGATGATCAACTTGCTCTCCTCCTGAGGTGAAAGTAGTCGGTAGTCCCACAAAATATAGTAGTAATAGCAATAGTAATAGTATATTCAGTAGTTACCATTATTTTGGTAAGATTTTATGTACGAATCTATTTGTTTGTGACTTTCTACATACAGTATCGAAGTGAAAAAACTGGCCGTTGGACGTGTCGGACGCAGAATTTTCTGTCAGAAGATGTATCAGTCAACATCACTTGAAAGTCTACCCGAGGTTGAGCTAAAACTCCTGGGCAATGGGGAGCTTCCCAAAGGATTCTGATGAGCCTCCGGGAAAACAAACGGGAGCTTGTTACCTCATGCTGGAGGTTACATCCTCAACTCGGACAAGTCAATGCGTTTCTGCTGCACCTGGGTTCTGCCAAATGTCAGAAATCAAAAGGGGGCCTCCGAGTTCCTCAAAAAAACCAGCCAGGTGCCAGCCGTTTGGTCCAGTTATGTTCTGTCAACATTGCCGCATTGGCCAAGTTCCAAGTGGACCAGTGAATTCCACACATCTGCCCTTAATGGACTGGTAGCCCCCCAATCCAGGATCAATCAGCGATGTCGGGCCGGGAGTCGTCATCGAGAATCTCTGCTGTGTGGAAGGTGATGGGTAGCTTCTGGAAATGCTCCTTTCGATCCTGGCCATGATTCAAGTGATTCGTTGGGAAAATCTTCACCGGAAACATCCGGAAACCCTGGCACACTTACCATCAATAATAGGGATTTCCGGTTCAGATTTTCCCAACAAGACCAATCCACTGAATGATTTGTCTCGAGTTGCATCTGTTGTTTTTCCAAGAGTGGACTGTGCTTGGGTGGGTCTGTCTTTTGATTCAACAAATGAGCCTTGAGGACACTTTTCCAAAATCGGTTTCAACCCTTGAGAGTCTTCAACACATAGCGTTCAAGTTTCAAGTGATCACCTGTCTCGCTGCATTTTGGTGGTTTACCCTCTGGCAATTGAACATAGCTATGGAATGCTATGCAAAATGAATGAAAATGGCGACTTGAATTCGGAGATTTACCCATGAAACCAAGTGATTTTCAATAGCTCTGTTTCATTACCAGGAGGTAAATCCATCTATCACCCCATCCTATCCCATAAAATATCACTATTCACTTCCATTAAGTCAGCATGTTGTTGGTATCTCCCCAAATTTCCGCCAAAAATGGATGGCTCACCACCATCTCTCCACGACTTTCGCGCAACCTTCAGGGCCGGCAGCAGGTAGGGCGTCACGGTGGGCTGATGCGGATCGCCGCAAATGTCGATGCCGACCACCAGATCGGGATGCTCCTGACCGGAAGTCACGGAGGTCGGAGGAGATTCTCCAAAGAGGGTCATAAAGAACGACCCAGTTGAATAATGGGATACCATGGGATGCCATGGGATACCAATATGTTTGAATTTTGAGGGGAATATACCATGATACAATAGGATACCAACTATGTTTGATATGAGTTTGCTGGAAAATGTGCTGAACACCTTCCAATGTCATGGCAATTTTTGGGGATCCTGCCAGTTTCAGATAGACTAATGTGGTCTTCCACGACCTCTGTATGTAATCCTTTTCCAGCTGAAACTTACCTTTGAAACTTGGCTCTGAAATGTAGGCTAGGCCAGCCAGAGTCAAAATGACAGTAACATGGATTCAGATTGGAAGTGCAATGGATATGGATGCATCATCATATGTAACACCATGTTACACCAATAATCTAATAACTTCACATCACTAATATATATATATATCTACAATATAATATAATATAATATAATATACATATCTGGTTGATTATGCAAACGCCTACGTTTGGAACCTTAAAATGCACATCCAAATACTAAGTATACTGTCTGTGCATTTGGACACATGCCGCTATGCTCATCCTTCTGCAGCATCAACACGTCGTCGATCTGCGCCTCGGATGCAGCAACCAAGCAGATATAAGAGTAATCTACCACCACCGTGGCAAGAATAATTTCGCTTGGTATAACTTGGATATCTCTTTTGGGGTTACTATAGTAAGGTTAGATCTTTGAGAAGGGGCTTTGAACAACACACATCATTTGCTGTCTTCAGTGTTGATTGCTGCTGGATGGGGTGTTGCCAATTCGTCATAGCCAAGTGGACGCATCCAGAACGAAAAAGCAAGCCCATCTGCCGTCTGCCTCTCAAACACAAACAAAATGCCTATTTGCCACACATATCCACACATCAGAAGGATTAGCTCACCCATGTTGGTGGCACCAACTGCAGCTGCACAACCCAGAGTCATGAATATGATTTGGTACTACACGGTATTTGTATGGTGTGTGTGTGACGGTGCTATTGTATTTAATGGCATGTGCAGTGATCTCTCTCTCTCTCTTTCTACATCATCTGTTAATACATACGCATACAGTACACACACATATTTATATAATTATATATACACATGTGATCATATATGTATCTATGCTCATCTTTGTCTGTTGGATGCGGGTATGTAGGTGTGCAGCTGGAAATGCTGGGAGGTAAAGGCATCCAGGTGACCAAAGCTGTTTCTTTGCAGCTGATCTTTCCCCGATCGACACTCAACAGCAGTTTCACCTGGCTTGTCAGCTTGTGCTGCACGGAACAGCTGTCAACTTTTGCAAATCGGAAGTGAGAGGGGTCTTTGGTCTCTTCAACCTTCAGAAAATCTCAGAAAGCTAGCCATCAAAAAACACTTCACCAATCTGAACTGATAGGTAAGGTGGTGTGCTTGCCCCTAAGCCACTAAACGTCATTCATGATAGCGTGGCGAGGCTCCAGCTGATACCTTCACACTGGCAGGTCCTGCCTCCATGACAAAACCATATCTTTCCAGCGCCTGCGGTAGGCTTGGTCAACGACTGAACCAATGGGAAAAAGCCGGGCCGTACATATCTAATCTATCCAGGTCTATCCATCTACCTTTCTATCTACCTACCCCACTAAATCTCAATACACATACGCATGTATATATATATATATAGATATTTATATTCATCTGCATGTGCGAATCATGAGCTGAACTCCGCAATGATAGTACATAACTATCATTCTATCTATGTTGAAATCCATGAAGCGAATGTTGCTGGTGCAACCCATGGAATCCAGTCCGGCAAGGTAGGGCCCTTGCAAAGCTAAGTTGGTGTGCACATACCTTGGTTAACGTTTGGGTTTATGGAGGTTACAGTGAAACTAGTTTATGGAAGTTTATCCTAGTTTTATGTTGGTTGGTTATTGTTGTGAATGGAGTTAAACTAACCGACCAACATAGCATCTTGATGGCAATCGATCTTTATCTCTTGGCGATCACCCTCGCAAAACGAACCTATACGATGGGATACAGATTTTGTTGGCCAATCATGAACGTTCGCACGCGCACACATGCATATATACATACAAACAATTTTGTTTCATGTGCATTATGCTTTGTGGGTACGTATATGTATAATATATGTATAATATGTATACATACAATTACATTCATAGAGTATATGCATGTGTCTGTGTGTGTCCATTTATGCAATCATATAGTTATATCATGTTATATCATGTTATATCTATGTGCACCGCTGATTCATCCAAAGGTCTCTGCGCGATCTTCCAAGCCGCGACCCCCCACCTTGGCGTGAAACTCATCGATTGCTGCGCGCACCGTTTCGAGGTACTGCAGCTTGCTGGTCGTATGCCTTAGCCATGGTGTCGTGCAAGGGGGGCCCCCAAACGATAGCTAAGTTGACGCACAGAACTTGGTTAACTATTCACGCGTTTGGGCTTAAGGAGGATGTCTAGCTATAGTGAATGTGGCAGTATAAACCAACTTATAACTGCGGGGCTCCGCCTTGTGGTGTCCTGAACAGCTTTGATTCGCTTCTTTATGCTTCGCTGATCAGCTTTGATCGTGTTAGACCCTGCTGGGCAAATACATTTCTCTCTGCGCTCCAAAGAGGAAATCCGACACTGCTGGATGCATGATGTGGTTGGTTCTCTTTTGGATCCCAGCAGGTTTCCAACTGCCTATAAAGGTTGAGATACAGATTGATTGTAGTTGATGGGAACGGGAAAAATCTGAAAAACACACGCTGCTTCCATTTTTGTGCATATATATATATATTGCTTACAGTACTTCCTAAGCACCCGTCAGTCTGGCCAGTGATTTTGTGCCAAAGGACTCCATGCCATTTGTCACCTGACATGTCAGCAAAGTTCCAGGGCCAAATCCTACTCAGGTGGGTGAATTTTTGGTCATGTCTTCGAGGTATTTTGTGATGTTGCAGCTCACAAAAAGTGACCTGGATAGTTTTGTGCCATTTTGCCACCCCTTTGGACAAATATGACAAATCAATGCGTTGTTCGAGCCACCACACCGGCCTCCCGGCAAAGAAGAAACAACGGCAACAAGCAAAAAGTCTGCCGCCATGTGGATGACTTTGCACCAACATAGTCCAATCTGTTCCCAAAAAAACATCGCAGCGTGGAAGGAGAAAACTCCCCAAACAACGGCTGATCCCTTCGCTAGCAGCGCACCTTGAACTGCTTCGGTGAGGTTCGGAGCTCCAGATAGATGCAATGTTCCGCCTGGTGAAAGGGCATGGGTCAAGGGGCGTCAAAGGGGAGCCCAATGAAACATGTTTGTCCCTCCAGCTGGAAACGGACAAATCCCATGCTTGTTCAAAGGCACTGCGCCGTTTACATCCATTTACACATGTTGGATTTTCTCTTTGTGAGGTTGGACGCTGTCATGGTTCAGTGGTCATCATCACAGTCCGACGGAGCTGAAACTACCATCTACCAATCGGCAGGTCTCACGCCCATTGGTTGCATACATTCCATGTCAAGAGCCGGCTGTAAACGCTTCCAGCCAGGGATATCTACATACCTAGTCCACACAGTCATAGGCCTCTTCCACTTTGATTCAGATGTCAGTCAAGTTCTGACTACCCACAACTACAGCCAAGTGGGACTTGACCAGGGATTATAACAGATCTCAAACTCCATTTGCAACAAATGACAACCTTCATTCACAAAATGTGAACATAGATTTTTAGATTTAGGTTACCGAAAAAATGAGGGTACCCCAAATCATCCAGTCATCATCCAGTCATCATCCAGTCACTATACCATGACATAGTATTGAAACAACCATGGTGACATGGGGATCCTGTCTTCAGAACCCCCTAAATTCTTCCCTCCAGGTGACTGCAAAGGTGTCCAGGACGTGCAAAGTGCACTCCTTGGCGGAGCTGGTGGCTGCCAAAGAAATCTTCGCCTTCTAGGATCATCACTCCAATGTTTTTATTAGGGGTGGTCCACTGTGTTAGGGAAAAGGGTTTATCATAGTAATGTAATGTCTAAGAATTTCTGTGCCTTTATCAACATAAAGAATGTCTGAAACCAGTGTCTAGGCGAAGGCAGGCGAAAATAAGCGCATTAAGCGCAAAGCAAAAATCATGGGCACAGGCAATGTTGAAATCCTAATGGACAAACCAAGATCGATCTGTCATCCAAATTTGGGCTTGTCTCTCGCACACCACCAAAAAATCAACTCCAAATTTATCCTGGTTGGTGGTTGAGCCACCCCTCTGAAAAATATGAAAGTCAGTTGGGAAGGATTATTCCCATATATTATGGAACAGTAAATTTCATGTTCCAAACCACCAACCAGTATAGATATTCTATAGATATTCTATAGATCTTTGGTGCTATACCCAAAAAAACAAATCAACTACAAATTTATCGGTTTTCTCATGGTTTATCATGGTTTATCATCATTGCCCCTGGTACCACGGCGCCTTTTTGGGGCATCCTCCAGCCTGTCGGTAAATCCCCAGTTTCCTTCAAGGTCTCGAGGTCGACCACGACACTCGCCACCTGGGACTTGGGAACCGACTTCGTCTACAAGGATTGCCGAAAAGATAGAAGACTTTTGTCCAGGATGGGGATGATGTTTTCACCATCATTTCTGGGTTTCCAACTTTTCTATCTCTTGGGGATTGCAATTTGTGAGATGTTTGTCTAAAGATAAAAGTGTAGTATGTGTATATATATATGTAGACTCCAGAAACAATCAAAAGAACTAGATTGGCAGAAACTATTCAAACATTGGCTCATTTGAGGACACATGTGTTTTTTTTTGGCACCCTCAACTTGCACTGTAACTTCTTGATCTTCTTGGCAAATTGGGTCACCATCATAATCTGGAGAAATGGAGGTGAGGAAATGCGGTTCAACTCCCCTGGGAGAAAATACCAAAGGTCATCATCCCATGTTTGGCAATGTAAATCAGGCATTCTTTGAGACACACTGATTGAAACCACCAGAAGAAAACGGAACGATATTTTGGGGTGCCCTTTATTCTTCCAGCGGATTTGTCCGGCAAGGAATTCTTGGAACACCGGGCCCACCGGATCCAAAACAGCTGAGAGAGGCCTTCGCGAAGTATCCAAAGCACTTCTGCAAGGCGTTGGACAAATCCTTGGCGAAGAGGCTGCACTGCAATCATCAAACGACTTGGAATATATGGACTTGGAAAGATAAGGGTTGGTCCAAACATGTGGACACCCCAAAATGGCAAGCTTTCAGGAGAAAATGATCATGAAGCATGATAAGCCGTGAGATTCTAGCGTCTCAAAATGGGGGGGGGACCGCAACAATGAGCACCTTTTTGGGGCTTCAGCCTTAACCAATCCATTTTGTGGGATGTCTCAGGAGCCTGGTTGAGAATGTTGAGGATATAAATCTCGCACAATTTTAAGCACCCAAACATGATTGCTAAGTTCTGCGTCAAATTCTAGATTTGCTTCAGTGGTTCTCCAAGTTCTCCAACAAAAAAACACATATTTATAGATTCCCCATTTCTGGTGGCCCCCCTTCGCGAAAAGCCAAAGCCAAATCACCTTCAACAGATCCGGGATTTTCAATATATCCCATTTTTAAATCTCCATTTATCAAAAACGGGATATATCCATCATATAGATCCATTTATAGATCCATTTATCCCATTTTTATATCCCATTTTTTTCAATATATCCATCATAGATTTTCCCATCTCTTCCCAAGAACTTCCCAAAAAACCTCCAAAAGCTCCGCATCTCCGCACCGCTGAGGGTCGTTTTGGAAGTTGAAGGGCTGGAAGCTTCCACCTTGACCCCTGCGCTCCAGGAGTTCCATCCTCGAAACGAAGACTCTGTTCCACTGCAATGATATAACATGTATATATATATATATTAATAGTATATATATTATATGTATAGTATATAGTGTATGTATATATATATTATATGTGTGTGTGTGCGCGTTTTGATTTACAATATATATACATATAGAGTATATTTACAGTATGTATATATATATACTGTAAAGAGTTAATACGTATAGAATATGTAGGGCAGTATATCCATATTACATCGTTACAATTCGTTACATATACAATACATGCACTATACTGTCTATACGCATTGTATACTGTATACTATATTATCATACTATGTGTTGATATGTTTGTATCTCTGTACATTGAATTGGCAGCTCGGTCGATGATCCTAGTAAGATGTATTTTGAACTCGATTTACAACTGCTAAGGGCAAATCACCATAGCCATCCACAGCCCATATCCAAACTAAATCCCAGCTATTAACCACTAACTTCAGGAATCCTCCAGAATCATTCCAATACGACTTCCAAGACCTTACAACCACCGACGTCCAACCAAGAGGAACAAGGCGCAACTTCTTCTGCGTGATGGAGCCGCTCAAATGCGCATGAAGCTCCACTTTTGGCAACACTTTGGCCTCATCCAACCTTGTCGCCAGTTGGTGCAACAGCATGCAAAAGCAACCCCTTGATATCTGCATTCCAATATCATCAAGAAACCTGGGACGTTCCTACTAGTCTAGATTTGATGGTTTTCAGGTCCTTCATGTGCTAAAATCAAAGAAAACTACCTAAACTACCTAAACGATAAACAACTATCATCCACTTGTCATCAACTACCATCAACCACCCATGATACCATAGGCGTTGTGTTCTGACCTTGCCGAGAGGCGTCAAGGTACCACCGCATTGCTCGGTCGGCGACATGACTCCGAAAGGGGGCAAGCTTTGGGAGATTTGCGAAGGTTTGGTGGCCTGACCTGCTGTGAGATGGGATTTCTTGCGGTCTGTAGAAATTTGACATGCGAGTCACGTGCTGAGGGCGAACTACCTTGAAGATCACAAAGGAACTGTCCTTTGCATGTGGAAAACACAGGTGACAGCCGAAGCATTTAAATGTATATATATATATATGTATACAATTATAAATAAATATATATAATATATTATATATATACAGCCATAGCCAATTTGTTGGTCTGACTTCAGGTTCTTGAATTCACACCCCCCAGTCATCCAAATCATCCATGTATCAGATATACTAACCCATAGAGTGCCCTGCTTCACTGGATTGGTTCATCGTTCATCCAATGGAGCTATGTTTTTTTCAACATGCAAGTCTTTACTATACCTATGTTACTTGTTATGTTACTAATGTCAACCAAATTTTGTGCCGTAATTTGTTTAGTAGTTATCATGATACGCATAGAACATATACACTTGTATTTACAGTATAGGTGTGGTATATACGTTGCAGGGCCAATTGGAGACCAATCCCCCCGCAATTTACTCATAAGACACAGCTGCAAAAGGCACTTTTCCGATCGCCGCCCGAATCTGAACAGCTACAGCTTTCGCCGACCCAAACGCTGGAACCACTCACTCGTTTTACAATTCCCACAGTATAAGTAAACATCTGTATATACCTAGATGGGGTAAGTGTATCTACATACAGTATCTATAATTATATATCTTTACAATTCTTTATATAAATATGTATATAGGATGCATTGTCGACATGTACATTGTACATGCTGAAATCCAAGTATTTGCTGATGGGTCCTGATCCAAATCCCAGCGCCCTATTCAGCATGAAACCTCGAAACTGGCCAGGACTTTACTAATGATGATCACACACACATCATGTTTATCAGTATTTTGGTGGTGCCATGTGACATTTCAGTGCTTCTCCTCTCAGCTGTGTGTCACAGCGGGGTGCCACTGCCATAATTGTCATATAAACTCTCTGCAATCGAACGGCACCAAATCACTGGGAAAACTCAGTTGGATTTCTTGCAAGATCTGGGACGGGGGATGAGGGGTATGAACTGTGGGGGTGCAAAATTTCTTCGAAACATTTAAAATCTCTAGAGTTGAAATGTATATTGAACATGTATGCTTCTATACGTTGCTAATGAATTGTTTGCACAAGCTTTTTGGACACCCCAACAGTTGCTGCTCCATTCACTTTGATTTCCATATTTCCACAGTTTGTTCAATGACTCGTGACTTCAATCGCCCCGATCATTCCATCCCATTGTGCTGGCTCGATAATAGCTATGTATCCCTCTTTTGGGTTGTAAAGGTCCCCAATATACACTTACCAAACAGCATTAAAAAACTTTCTAGTAAGAAAACATCACATGTAGATTTCCCTGACATATGGCTCTGTATCCCAAGATATCCTCAGCATATTCACTATAACAATCTCCTGATATCATCTGTTTTGCGCCCTGTTTTGTAAATCAACTATTTCCGTACACATCAGGAAATATTAAACAAAAGGGATAATCATCAAAGCAGCCACCGATTTTTTTAAGTTAATTAGTTCGACCCAATCAGGGGTTCTCTTTTCATGGATTGAGATATTCCCCAAATAAATCATTGGTGAATATAATCCCCGAACTAATCATCAACCAATCATCATTTGTCAAGTCTACGTCCCCATCCGTTGAAAGTCTAGATCCTAAGCCTTAAGCATGATTCAATATGGTTAGAATGGTTAGATTTGCATGAAATAGCATCAAATCATCAAGCAACCATCATTTATCAACTGTATCCACATATTTTTGACGAATTACCCTCTGGTTATTTAACATAGCCATGGAAAATCACCATTTTTAATAGGCAAACCATCTATAAATGGGCCATGGATTCCATGGCTATGTTAGTCATAACCAGAGGGTAAAATCCTCAAAAACCAGCCTCGAATCACCACCAATCAGCCGTTCGATGTCAGAGGACGGGGATCTCCGAAGGCCGCACGGAGCTCCCAGACGCCGACAGGTGGAAACCGCAGCAGGACATCTGTCGAAATGGAGGTTTTTTTAAGGACACCCCAAGAGATGGAAAACGTTATTCATCAAAATTATATCATGTCCGATTTCAGGATTTTACAGAATTTTACTCTGTCCATCTTTTTGGATAGAGAAGTTGGCAACAGATTAACTGGGGGGGCCTTCCTGTATCGTTATAAAATGCATATCCGGGAGCTTGAACGGGGATATCGATACAACATATCATCCCGTCGAGGGATATACCCAACAATAAACGCAAAAAATGGGATGGTTTATCATTTACATATCATTGGATTGGTTTCAGGGAAAATCTACAGGAAACCATGGTTTTTACCAAAACAAATTGGGGGTTCCTGTAAAAATTCCCTTAAAACCCGCCCAATGAACATACTGTACTTCACATGATTTAACCATCGTTTACTGTCGGGTTTACCTCGCCGGTCACGTGTTCCACTGAGACAAGCAGCAACATGTGGATATTCTGGAGCTACACTCTGACTATGATCCATGTTTATAGGTCACCATATTATGTCTGGTTGGTGGTTTCAACCAACCCCTCTGAAAAATGATGGAGTTCGTCAGTTGGGCTTACTATTCCCAATATATGGAAAGTCATAAAATTCCATGGTTCCAAACCACCAACCAAATGTCATATTATAGACCCTTCCCACAGGCATTGGCCAGTTCAAACGGCTTTTTACCAATGGGACGTCCTCTGTGGTTTCAACCCGCCAAAGACCATCCGCTGCTGATATGTGCCGCGACATCTTGCAGCATTGATATGAATGCTACCACCTTATGTGCCGCTTCAATGCGAAGCCATACTGTTGATAGGCAAGTCGGACAATTTTGCCGAATTCGTAGCCTCTGATTCAACAGAACCATGGGAAAGTCATCACTTTAGTCGTCCTTTGCCATGGACATCATGTCCATGTCAGGCTTATCTACTATGAACATATCACCCCAGCCCTGCCATGCCATGTTGCTGCCTTTAATAGAGCCCTCAAGCTTCCCAAGTCACACATGGCAGTCTTGGATAGTGAAGCTCGTCAAACATATGGACAATCAAGGAGCGTTCTCTATGTGTCTAAGACATTCTAAGACCCCTGATTGACAATTGGCCATTCATTCGATCTGCGGGATCTGCTTGATTTCATTTTTTTTGGTTCATCCACAGAATGGCAACCTCCAGAAACATTAGATGAATTGGGTGCATCTGCTGCGCAGGAGATGCTGCCACAGCACTGCTGAATTTGGCGTGGCTGCCAGAGTTTGCCTGCCGTCTTCCCCAGTGCTGAACCGAGAACTATTGGCTTCTGGGTTCCCAAGTATCATGTGGTAAACCCATATGAACCGGATATATATATATATATTATATAATGAACATCAGGTTTGGGATGGTTTCTATACCACCTATTTCTATACCACCGTAAATCATGGCTAAACACCTGTTATCATACCAACTTAGCTACCGTATCAGTTTGGGGTCCCCACCTTGCAACATTGATCCATCACACCTTGCTTACAGCGCTGTGGCAACGTTTCTCCTGCGAAGATATTTTCTCAATCGTGCTGCAGCTGAGCCAAAAAGCCCTCCAAACGAGCTGGGACAAAACACCAACCACCAAGAAATCAGGAACAGTTCATGGGAATTTGTTCATGGGATGTATAACTGTATAACCAACTCATTGTGTTCGTTTATATTTGTTTATATTGATGTTAATAGGAATATTTACTGGGACGATTTCATGGAACTATCCTAACTTCACCGACTTCACCGATCCGTTGGTGATCCATTGGGACCATTTGGGACACATATCGGAGCCATTTTTTTCGACTCGACATCGAGATCAACCTTGAATACTGAATTCACTATGTCACGTGTCTTTCAAATCTTGTTGGTTCTATCATATTTTTGTTGGTAGTGTCCGCTGTCTTTGGTTGAGGCAACGTTTTGGCAGTAAACCCTTTACGGTTGAAAGAGCGGAATATATCCCACGAGCATGTTCGGTTTCATTCTCTCTTGTTGTTGCCAACTTTATCACCATTCTAATGCAATGAATAACCCCATTGTTCGATGCTGCCCTGCCTGTTGTTGTTTGGTGGTACCCCTGTTTTTATGATAAATTACTATTCACATTAACCACCCTGTTTGACATTTAGCTCAAACATCAGTAGTTCAGAGGACTGGCTCTGTTCCTCGCATTTGGCAACCCGGCTGGGGCCCGGCAGTGCGGAATTCCAGTGGCAACCGCTCTAGGCTTTAAGCTCTAAGTCTCACCATAAGACCAAGCGGCTCAACACAGGCAACCAAGCTAAAATGAGATACCAAGCAAGAAGCATGGGACAACACCCCGCAAAAATATACAAAACTCAATATGTATTATACATATTCACATATATATATACACATGTGTGTGTTTGTGTGTGAACATATCAACCAACAAAACTGGAAAGCCCAGTACGTCTGACACATATTATGGCTACGGGATATGAAGGGTGGATCCCCTCGAGCTGTATGAAACAGGACAGCCTGAGGTTATGAACGCCCAAGTGTGACTTTGATTTGACCACAAGAAATACTCATCGGGTTGGTTGAAGGGAAATTTTACAGCACCCCCCATATTTCATGGTAAAACCAGTAAAAACCATGGTTTCCTGTAGATTTTCCCTTAAACCAATGCAATGAAATACAGTATGTGGTTGAATTCTGTTCTATTACATGACCTTCCGACCTTCCAAATCCAAAGAATACATATGACATCATATGACTAGCTGCACATCGGAGTCATTGATCCACCCTCTTCAAAGGCTTGGACATGCCGTTTTGAAGTACTTTCTTAGTGATAGCCTGATCAAACTACCTTGAAAGAGGTAACCACATATACCCTCTGGTAAACTAACATAGCTATAGAAAATCACCATTTTAAACAGGTAAATCAGCAATAAAAGGTCACTTTCAATAGCAACTATTAAATTACCAAAGGGTAAGTAGATTTTGCATCATTGCGCTGAGTGTTCACCAGCACTAAGTGAATTTCAACGCACCTGACGCTTTACCTCTCCCTGTAGTGGGGATATTCACTGAATTTTATCTTTCCAAGTTCGCAGCACTGATATTATCAATGACCAGAAACTACTATAATGTTTGTAATTCCTGATGTACCCCCATATTTTCTTCACCCTTTAGTTGATTGGATATATCATCTGGCAGCAACATGCAAGCATCCACATGCCTCTCCCCCAATCAAAAAACCGGGGGTGAAGCCGGGGTTAACATCAATTACCCTCTGGTACACTAACATGGCTGTGGAAAATCATCATTTTTCATATGTAAATCAACTAATATCAACTATGAGTGGTCATTTTCAATAGCAAACTGTAACAAATTACCAGAGGATATGCTGAGATTGGTTTCAACGTGATCATCTGCCATCTTCACCACCCAGGTGGGAACCTGGGAAGACCCGCACACTGAAATGACGCGCGCAGCCAGCCTTTCGGGACATGACGCGAATCGACGCAGTCGCTTGGAATGTCAAGAAACTAGCAGCAGTGACTGGCTTCAAAGCGTTTAGGATGGCTTAGGGTGTGATATAGTTGAATATTTTTTTTGTCAGGGCTTGGGTTTATATAATCATGTTTAATCTGGCTTATCCTAGAATGGTGAAGGGAACATGTACGATCCAGTATTTTAGGGAAAAACATGGTTTCCTGCAAATCAATCCATTGACAATATGCATGGGTGTCTAGTCCGGTCCTCTTTTTTTTTCTGGCAAAATATGTCACAATCTTCTTGAATCTATTGCACACCTTTGGTTAGCAATTGCTTTCTCAAGAGTTTAGTGAACTTGCCCATTTCGATCAAGTTCAAAGCACGGTGGATATGATTTCCTAAGATGAGGATAATGGGTATGCATTGGAATTCAGCATTTCTTGCTGGAAGGGAGCAACGAACAATCAACAGCTAGTGGGTTTGGACGCGACCGTTCGTGACCACTTGCGACTGGTTGGGAAAGAGCAAGAACATATCATGAAGCAGGAAAACGCCCGACAAACACGAACGTACTACATACAGTAACCATTCAATAACACAAACTATAAATGCGGTGGAACATTTTTTGGGCAATGTCGGGCGAAGTCATCCCTCTCCTCGATGACTGCAAACAACAAGCACATCACAGCCTTATGAGGTTGTGTGAGGTCGCTATGAAATTTCCAGATTGTTGGTTGAAGCGTGCCCTCCAAGTTTTTGCCTGAGAATTCCAGACATTATTACCCCGTTGTTCATGCTTCAGCTTCATGTATTTCATGTTTGATGATAAGAAGCTCACAGTTTCGTGCTTCAGACTCTAACTTTGCACGCTTAAATCTTATTTTCCATCTTTTGTTGATGTCTGCTGGTCACTGCGCAAGCTTCTTGAACATTGTCAGTGTGAACCCCTCAGGCCCTGGGCGAGCAAGGGTAACTCTAAAAATGCCAAATACGATAAGAACATATAAGAATCTTATCTTCCAGACCTCCTGTTCTATGTTAAATTTAGGGGGTGTAGCTTGAAATAAGATTTGAGGTCACATCAATGAGGTTTCTTGACTAATTAGCGCGGTCAGTTGGGGATGTTTCAACTTGTCTTGGGAATACGTTTTTTCACCAAACTTTATCACAACAGCAATTTTATGGCAACATGAAGTTCAAACATATTTCACCAAGATCATATGGTTTTTCTCAACAGAACACGATTTTTTTCACCAGGATGCTATGTTGTTTTCACCAAATTATCTGAATGATGGCAGCTCAGAAGGATGGCCCCGAGTTTTTGCCCCTTGGGGCTGTCCACAGCTCACCAAAGATTCCACTAAAATGGTTGGTTTTAAACCTCGATAAACCTACGTTTGATGTGATTGATAAAAGCCACCACACATCATTTCATATGATATATGTTTATATTATATGATGATGCATGTATATATATATACATGCATTCAAAAACAAATCATTACAATCATCATAATCATGGAAAATGATGTGGATCGCTATGGTAATCATCATATCATATCATATCCAAGCAAGAAGACAAACCACATTTCACCGTCATCATCATCATCATCATCATCATCCTGGCACCCCGGTCCACCAGCTCCGGTCCGGCATGGGACTCCCGACTCAGGTGCTGCGGGTGCCTAAGATCAGCGAAGGTAGAGATGTCCAATGTCGAAGGGTTCAAGGGCACCAACAAAGATAGAAGACATGGACGTGGACCTCACAAGATTTGATTGGATTTCCTTGTCTTTTCTTATCTCTTGCATAATGGATTTCCACGTATGTCCACAACTTTTGAAGGAAAAAAAACGTGATTCTGAAACATATTCTGGGAAATTTCTTGGACATCAGGATGGCTGAATCCTTGTGGGTTGACATGACATTTTCGCAGGTACCCATTGCCCCAGAAATCAGCCAGCTCTTCCTTTCGGTTTCCTTAGTAAAATCGATGCGGATGGCATCCATCGTTTTGCTGGTTAAAAATCTCCCATGGGGTGTCTTCGAGCAATTTGCGGGTGTCCCAGCGTAAGCAAAAAATGGAGTAATTTGCAGTTTAAATGGAGGCAACCATGAATTAAACTATCATATTGGTGATAGATTACACCATGGTTGCACCATTAGAGAATTTACCTCCAATATGGTGATATCTCCAATATAGAACATTGGAGATATTGGAGATTCCCTCTCTCTCTCTGTTTCTCCATCACCATCTCCTTGAATTCAGCTGAGCTAAGAGCATTGGAGGTTCAGCCAACTACATGCGGCTCCGGATCAATGGGATGGTTTACTACTCACATCTACTAGACATCTACTAACATTTGTTGGTTTCCTGAAATGGAAAAAACCCAATAGCTGGATGGTTCATATGGATGATTTGGGGATACCCCCAGCCAGGAAACCTCCGTTTAACCCACCATCACCGGGGCGCGGCCACAGGCAATCGCGGAGGCAAAGTGCCAGCCATTGGGCCAGGAGGCACCCTGAGCAGAAAGGGCGTTGATTTGAAGGGAAAACCATGGGATTTTCCCAAATAGGGGGTGTTCCTGTAAATTTTCCTTGTGAATTCCCACCATTTTTGACCCATTTTGGGAGACTGGACGGAGGTTGAAACCCCAGCTAAAATGTGTTGAAAACAAGCAACGACTAGCCATTTGCCGAACCCTGTGGCCCCTTGCAAGCCAAAGCAATGTCTGAAGCAATCCCAACCAAGTCGGGATCCATGGTGCTGAATCAGCTCACCGTGGTGCTGGGATGTTCAACTGCTGGTTTTGAGGTTTTGACACATTTTGACCTCGTGTCAATTTCATGCACCATGTGCTGCAGGGTCGATGTCAAAATATGTCGAAAAAATAGTTTTGCAACATTTCAATTGGAACAATTCTATCCTATTCAAAAATAAGGCGGATTTCAAGTAGAAAACAACCATCCCCCTATGAAAAACCATGGTGGAGGTAGGGGATTTCGCCATTAAAATGGGACCCAGCTATAGGTCCACAAACTGAGCAGCCCGGGCGGGCCAGGTTGCCGAGGACCCTGCGGGGCCTCATATGGAGCTTTCCCAAAAATGGCTGGGGGATCCCCAAATTTTGGTTGCTTTATAATGGAAAATCCATGAAAATCCAATTGTATAAAGTTGATGATTTGTGTATTAACATGTAAACGCAAACACACACACACACTCTCACTCTCACTCTCGCTCTCCCTCTCGCTCTCACTCTCACTCTCTCTCTCTCTCTCTCTCTCTCCATCGCCATCTCTAGGAGTCTTGCCAACGGCTAAAGGTGAGCTAAGGCCCAGTGAGAAGAAGGAGCAGTTATGGTAACCTCTCCATGCCCATCCCGAAGGTTCAGGACTCACACACACACACATATATCTTTGGGGGAAACCTAGCCTAGCCACAGCTTTGAGATGATTTCGGCATTCATGGCTGGTGGTTTCGCCCTCAGCACTATGAGTGAAATAGTGATCATCAGGACCAATGGCCTAGAGAAAGGCGGCTACAAGCAGAGGGTTGACAAAGGAGAGCCTGTTTTGATGCTTCCTGGCATGATTGTTCCAAATATATAGTCGCTGAAGACACTAAATGGTAGAGGAATCACTGTGTCTTTTCCTCCTTGAAATAGGGGGATATTGGGTTTCAGCCCTTCACTGCAGCGTGTTGTAACACGCAATGGACACTGGTCGTCGCCCCCCACCCCCACCCAGGGTTACTCACATTTCCGCCCCAATTCATTAATGGAATTGCCATCCTTTCAACTAACAGTAATTAACATGGCCCCTGGCAAGTGAAATAAATGAAATGATGCCAACTGGGGTTGGAACATCTTGGAACATGACTTTCCTCTTAAAAGGGTGGATTCTCAGGATCGAGCTGTTGGGATGGCTGACATCGACCCCCATCTCGCGGGCCAAGCCACATCCTTGCCCTTGGGACCTCCTTTTCCACCGCGATTCTTGCCCTTGCCGCCACCCTTTCCCTTTTCGCGGGGCTCATTGTCCTCCTGACAAGGGCATGGATGTGGGAAACGACCCCATGGCGCAGCACCAAGATGTTTTGGTTTCAGGGCAAATTGTACGAAACCAGTGTTTTTCCCAGTCAGATCAGTGTGGTGGCTTCCTGCAAATTTCCCTCCATCCAACAGCATCGGCTCCTCAGGCCGTTCGTTCTTTCCAGATTGGAATTCCATCCTGACGGCAGATCGACCAACTCAACCAACCATAGCTGGTTGGTGGTTGACCTACCCCTCTAAAAAATATGAAAGTCAGTTGGGATGATTAATTTCCCAATATATGGAACAAATAAAACTGTTCCAAACCTCGAACCAGTATAGATATTCTATAGATTTTTGGTGCTATCATGTGGCATCTATAGATATCTTATAGATCCCTGTTCTCCTTGATCTGCGTCCCTCCTTGGTGCCCACGCCCAAGGCCCTAAGGCTCTACAGAGATCACTTTGTTTCGCGCATTCTCAGTGTTGTGCCGCTGTGCCCATATAGAGAATCGATCCACAACATGTAACGTAATCCATAAAAACATGTGTATATATATATATGTACATATCATGATGATCTATCATTATATACTATATATATATCTCTCTCCATCGCCCTCTCCAAGAGTTCAGTCACAGACATCATTATATAGATATCCTCTGGTAAACTAACATAGCTATTGAAAATGGCAATTTATAGTGGATTTACCCATCAAAAATGGTGATTTTCCATAGTTATGTTAGTTTACCAGAGGGTAAACCTCCATTTTCCTATGGTTTTCCTATGGTTTTCCTATGGTTTCATGGTTCTTCTTAGATTCTGTTATCCAATCCCCATGACCTGGCAGGTCGTCCCTTGATGACCAAGCCCTGGAGCGTGCGAACCTGGCCGGTCAAGGAACATTGCTTGGTGCCACCTTCAGCAAATGCCAGTTAAACAGATGCCTATTATTGTATCTCATTTACATGGTATTTGTATACCCCATACACACGCATATGTATATATAAAAACATACACATTATATATACACACATTATACATATACACATTATATAAATATATGCAGACATACATATATTTACTTAACACACACACATATATATATACACAATATATAAACCACCGATTTATCCAAGAATCCCCATGTTTTGCTATAGCCCCTCTGTTTTGACTCAGGATTCTCAAATGGTGGATCATTTCACCCCAACAAACTACTCCCGCTGAAACCGTGGTGCAATATGACTGGTTGGTGGTTGACCTACCCCTCTGAAAAATGATGGAGTTGGTGAGTTGGGATGATGACATTCCCAATATATGGAAACATGTTCCAAACCACCAATCAGATAAGATTATACATTTGAATTGTTTTTCCACAGGGGTCCCTCAAAAAGGAGGGAGTATTGCTGGGATGCGTTCCTGCATCATGTTCCTGTTTTTGATTGAATTCCTGCGTTTGATGCTTGCGATATGCCTGTTTTGGTTGCTCAAAGTTGCAAGTTTCAAACAATTTCATGAGATCGGGATTGGCGGGATTGGTATCTATTTCTATCCGGCAACTGGTTCCCCAGTTTGTAGGTTACATCTGGGTTTGTCTAGAAATAGGCTACCCCCATTGATGCTTGATCAACTTCCAGATGAACATTGCGGAGAGCATACCCTATCTTCAAACACACCTATTGTGGTTAGTAACGTGTCACATCACACATTTTGGGCCCCAACTTCCACACACAGCCCGGCCCTTTGTCCAAGCTGCAGCGATGTCCACACACCCGGAGTGTTTGAACTCGGCAAAGGCAATGCTCGAGTAACGGCCTGGCACCGTTCCCGTTCCCGGAAAAATAAAAGGTCTGGTGATCTGAAAAATGGGTCTCCCCACAGCAGAGAAGACCAAGGTAAACATCATGGGATCATCATTACACATGGGTTTTGAGCCAACTATTTGGCTACACCATGGGATGGTATTATATATGTATATATATATATATTCCTTCAAAATGATAAACGCTGGCCGATCAACCAAACATGCAACAGTCCAGCCTCAGCAGTTGCAAACTAAAATTCAAGAGTCATGACCAACATGTCTGGGTTTATGAGCAAAATTCGAGAAACAATAGCCAACCCAGCCATACCCAGCCACAAAAGGCAATGAAAATAGGTTAGCTCTTAACACACAAACATCTCGGAGGATCATCCAAAGAAATCCAAACTCTTTGTCTAGACCAGACCTGGCGAACAAATGGCTTATTTTATGATATATATAATTATAAGAATGTGTACAGTACATGTAACATATCTACATACATATATCAAACACACACACACAGATATACAGATATATATATATATTATACATATACAACAGTACAGTAACGGGCGAAGGCCCTCTCACAATTTGGGTAACGGGGCCTTGCCGTAGCCGCACACCCAAGACCTCGCCCGCAGGCTTCAGGGCCTGGCGATTGGAACGTTGCGTCGTTGGTCACGGTGCAGTCGGCGACATTCATGGTTAACAACGACGTTAATAATGGTTAATAGTGGATTAATAGATTTTACTAGTGGCCAATTGTGGATTAGTAGTGAGTTAACGATTGATAATAATGGTTAATAGTGGTTAGTAGTGGTTAATAGATTTTACTACTGGTTAATAGTGGATTAATATTGGATACATGGTGAATAATAGTTACTAGTGGTTTTTCTAGTGATTATAAGCTTCACCCAACTGTCGGTGCACCTCAATAAGGTCATCACTGGTCACGTCCAAGGAGAGGTTACCAATGAAGAGCCTCAGTGAAGAACTTGGAAACGGCCCATCTATATGATGGGGGTCAAACCAAAAGAAACACCTATATGATCCCAACTATTTGTCTACATACATACATACATACATACATACATATATATATATATATTTATTTATTTATTTCCGTCTATATGAAACTATCTGTCTATATTCTATGCATCTACCTCCCTATCTATCTCTACACATAAAAAAATATATATCGATAGATATATATATATTATAATAAATATACTCGGAAAATGCCCTGTAACATCGGCATGTTTTCATCGCTTCCCCTCCCCATTTCTACACCACGGTCAGATCTCCGGAAAAACCAAGCGGCTTGTTGGGGCTGTTGCCATACCGCATCTTACCGATGCCCGATGTGGTGAAGGAAGCTTCCCCTGGCGATGCTGCGCCGATGGCTGATGTCGGCTTGACCTAAAGAGGTGTGGCCGACACAACTTTACCAGCAAACATGGGGATATCATGGGATATTATGGGAATGTTATAGGACATAATATGGTGGTTTCATATAGAATAGGGATAGCCCATAAATCATCCAAGTCATGACCATGACTTAGGATTGAAACGCCCATGGTGACTTGGGGATCCCCCATTTTAGGAAACCCTCATATTCATATAGATAGAAGACTATTTGTTGAAGGATTTAAACATTTAAGCCAGGGTTACCACTTCTATAGACGGGTCATTTTTCATATATATATATATATTGTATATGTAATATTATATAGAAAAAATACCAGAGGTACTCGGTCTACAAGAGATCCTCCACCCCGGCCTCCGCCCTTTGCAGACTTGCCCTTCCTTAGCCGTCAAATTCCCCTTGCTGCAGTGCTGAATAGGTCATCCCAAACTGAAAAATCACCATAAAATCACCATAAAATCGATAGAAACAGAAAAAAATCGATCGATTCCCTTCCAAAGTTGATTTTCCAATCACCAATAGGCCGAAGTAGGCAATCCACAGGGATGACCGATCGGTTTCGGAGGGGGTTGAATCCCCTTGAATATTGTTTCATGGAGAATTTTGACACGGGCACATTCAATAGGCTACCCCATTCCATCCACTTCTTGGTAATCATCAATTTTCCACATTTTCCCAATCCATCATATGATTTGGAAACTCTTAGTAGCTCCTTAGCTTCCTCACCACCAAATACCTTCCATTCAAACACAATTTCCCATCTTATTCCCATGAAATCGCCAGTTTCGATCATAAAATCACCATGAAATCCCAGTAAATCACCATCAAATCTCCTAAAATCACCAGAAAATCACCATTTTCCAATGGCCACTTACCACTTTTTTGGCTCCCTCGGCACACCCCTGGGCAGCCCGGGCCCGTCCCGTGGTCCGCTGGGACCACTGGGCCCAGTGCCGGTGAGACCAAGGCCTTCGATTCCAGAAATCGCAGGCGTAGGGAACTCGTGGGGAAATGGTGATTTAAACAACAAAGATATGCTGATGGTTAATAATAATCAGTAATGGTTATTAATGGTTATTCATGGTTACTGGTTATATGGTTACTGGTTATTAGTGGTTGTTAATGGTTATTAATGGTTATTAATGATAGAAACATATCTGGTTGGTGGTTTCAACCAACCCCTCTGAAAAATGATGGAGTGAGTGAGTTCGTCAGTTGGGATGATTTTCCATTCCCCAGTGTTTCTGGAAAGTCATTCAAAATTCCATGGTTCCAGTCACCACCAAGCAGTTTTCGGGAATTTCACGGGATTGATGATTTGGAGCTGATTTGTGCCGAGTTGCACAGAACTTGGTGAACTCTTGGGTTTATGGAGGATATAACGAACTGTTGGGTTTATAAACCGACTTATAACTGCGGGGCCATAACCCCAGCTGAAAGCCCTGCTTGATGAATGCGTTAAAACAGTGTTGTTGAAGCATTGGTTTATCCCACAAGGAAAAAGGTGGATGGGACAAAAAATGCTCTCTACACAAAAATTGGGTTGTTTTGCAAACAAGTGTTGGTTCAAGGCAAGTGGCTAAGTGCAAAGCCATGCCCGAGGCTTTTGAACCAAAGGCCCCAGGGTCAGACTGCTCTGATGTTCTGCCCTTTTCTTATCATAATTCAAGCCTTAAATGGTTTTACCGGCACTATAACAATGTTAAACACATGCACATTGACTACATCACAAACATCATCAACTTGATCCAATCCAATGGTTTGAAGCTGGACCTGGACGATTGTCTTTCGAACCTTTCTTTCCTGTGGCGCAGCTGCTGACTGTACCAGTTTTTTCGGTTTCCCAAAATGGGGTAGACCCAAATCAGCCAACAGATCATTTTAGTGTTCGAACACATGGGCTTTTGGGGTACCTCCATGGAAAAGGCGTCCAGTCTACCCAAGAAAAGAACACCGCAGTGGTGCGCTGTGCGGCTGCAGGATTCTGATGTGCTGATGGGTCAAAAAGAAACACACCCTGCCCTGGAAGACATCATGACATGAGGTCATATTTCTGAAAGGGCACAAGTACATACACACAGATACTAATATTCTAACCCATGAATGCGCATTCTTTTCCAACATTCGATCTCAATACCTTTATCGTTCTTTTAAGCTGGGGGAGATGCAAAAATTTGATTGATGCACATTTCTCCTGGAGATCGGTTGTGTCAGTTCAGTGGCAGACCCAGTGATGTCCTAAGGTGGTTTTGCATGCCTGAGATCATGGTCGCACTGCCAACTGGTGGCAGACTAAAGCATAGGGCTCAAAGTTGGATTTTTTGGCCAGGGGCCTTCTCTTTTTGAAGCCATGGCTGTTCTTTCGAAGGTGGTGATACAACCACCATGCAGCCTCTATGAGTTGCAGGTGTATCTGATGGATAGATACCCTGGTTTGGCGACATCACCCTGTCGTCGACCATGGGCGACGCTGGATGCTGTTGAGATCTTCGGCCAGTCCCCGAGCTTCAGGGAGGGCTTCAAAGCGAGGCAACTGCGATGCTCTTCCTTTGACTACCGTTACTTGCTTGAATATAATCACCAGTTAGAACCAAAAAATGGAGAAGGTTTGTTTAGTCCAATGGGCGGCTCGGACAAACAGTTCTTTGACCTTTCCTTTGGGGTCTAGAAACCTGACAGGGTAAAACTCATCATCATCACCATCATCATCATCATCATTGATCAACACTATCGTCATCATCATCACCATCATCATCATCATGGTGGGGCCTGTGATTCTTGAAATGTTTCTCGTTGTGAAATGTCCAAAAGGTTTTCATTTCCAACATCAGGATGATGCGCATTACATCCTTGAGTTTGATTGGCTAGTAGCTCATACTTTGACACTGGCAATCAACATCCGGGGTTCTGCTTGCTTGAGGCCTCGATGCCATGTACAACATTCACATGTCCAAAGGACTTCGTCTCTTGGCAGATATGCTGGCGCAGCTCAAGGAGCATGGCGTATGTTGGATATCTCCAACTTGCAGTACCTGGATATGGTTAAATCGTGGTACAAACTGCAGGGGAATTGACACTGGTCAAGAAGTTTTGTTGAAATTTCAGTTGTTTGGTGGCTTGTATAATATAAAAGCTTTGTAAATTATGAACCGAGTTACAAACCAGGATGTCCTTCCTTTTATTTATAGGGCGTGGTGGTTATGCCAAGGGTCATACCCACGAAATGAACACCTTAGTGAACTTGTTTTAATATATAGGTTTGTTTTATGTTCGAAGGGGTTGACATCAGGAGATACACGGCCGTGGTGATTTGGTGTCGGTCGTTTCAGCCAACCGTTGCGCTGAAATTATCGGTCGAATTTTGCTCCCGCTTTGTACGTGGCTTGGGCTACGCATCATGCTGGAACAGCCTAGTTCCAGTTTGCTTTGGAAATGGGATGGTTTCTCGGTCACGTTTCGGAAACAATGGAAGATTTGATAATAGCAATAATTTAACAGCCTTCGGCATTCCGCCGGCCCACTAGGCTCTTTGCCGGTAGTCCTATGGATGAAAAGCCAACCTTACAGGTGACTATTGCGAGGCTGCAGGTAAAAGTTAGGTGGTACCAAAGGAGGTTGGGTAAAGGCAGGTTTGGGTAGAAGCTGGTTTGTGTAAAAGCTGGTTGGTGTATGTGGGAAAAAGGTTCTGTGTAAAAGCTTGTGTGTAGAAGCTTCTGCGTGTAAAGCTTGTGTGTGTGTAAAAGCTTCTCTGTTTAAAAACTTCTCTGTGTAAAAGCTCCTGTGTGTAAAAACTTCTCTGCATAAATGCATCAAAGTTAGATAGAGGTAAATAGAAATTACTTTACTTCGTGTGATCCCCACCATGACATTTAATATATATTTTGTTACTGGCAAATTTTCTGGCATTCTATCTGACATTTTATCTGGCATTATATCTGGCATACCTTCTGGCATTCTATCTGGGATATCTTCTGGTATTTTATCTGGCATATCTTCTGGCATTCTACCTGGCATATCTTCTGGCATATTTTCTGACATATCTTCTGGCATTCTATCTGGCATATCTTCTGGCATTCTATGTGACATTCCATCTGGCATATCTTCTGGCATTCTATCTGGCCGTTGAGGTCCAGCGGTGCACACTGAGCTGGGCAGGTCCCAGGTTGAGGTCCAGCGGTGCACACTGAGCTGGGAAGGTCCCAGGTTGAGGTCCAGCGGTGCACACTGAGCTGGGCAGGTCCCAGGTTGAGGTCCAGCGGTGCACACTGAGCTGGGCAGCTCGCGGTTGACGTCCAGCAGTGCGCACTGAGCTGGGCAGCTCGCAGGTTGAGGTCCAGCGGTGCACACTGAGCTGGGCAGCTCGCAGGTTGAGGTCCAGCAGTGCGCACTGAGCTGGGAAGTTGGCGAAGCGCTTGGCGACGAGTTGGCAAGGTTGGCAAGGCGGAAGTGGAGGTGGAAGAGGCGGAGGCGAGGAGGAGGGCGAGGAGGCCAGCTAGTCGAGGAGGAGGAGGAGGCGGAGGAAGAGGCGGCGGGCGGGCATGCGCTCTGATAAAATTTAACCACCCTCACCTGGCAGGTGGGGAAATACTTGGTGTAAAAACGAGTGTGTGTGTGTGTGTGAAAACTGGCTTGCGTAAGAGCAAGCCTTTGCAAGAGCAAGGTTCTGCGAAAGGTGGTGGGCGTAACACCTTGATCGGGCGAAAGGCACATGTGCAAAAGCTGTGTGCTGTGGTGCAATTTTGCCTTGAGCACATTGTATAAAACAGTGGGAAAACGTGTTCAATGCTATAGCTTTACCTATACCTAAATTTCTCCTTCGACGGATTTTTGGTTTGGCTGCCCACCCCCCCACCCCCCGTTCCTTATGTACTATGGCCTTTCTTCTCTTCCTTCTCTTCCTTCTCCTTCGTCTTCCTTCTTCTTCCTTCTTCTTCGTCTTCCTTCTCGTCCTTCTCTTCCTCCTCTTCCTCCTCCTCCTCCTCTTCCTCCTCTTCCTCCTCTTCCTCCTCTTCCTCCTCTTCCTCCTCTTCCTCTTCTTCCTTCTTTTCCTTCTTCCCTCTGTTCCTCCTCCTCCTCTTTCTCCTCTTCCTCCTCTTCCTTCTTTAACTCTGTCCCATCTCCTTCGTTGCCCCGGCCAGCCCCTAGCCTGTGCCTGGTTCAGTTTTCGCAGATGTAGTTACAAAGACATCCACAAAACACGCCGGCAAGCCGGCTGACTTGGGATTCAGCATCGATTTTTGTGCTTTCACGATAGGATACAGCTGATCTCCCAGACATGGAAGATTGTTGTGTGCAACTTTCACTTAAGGGCCCATTTTTTGCTTGTGGCACTGCTGAGGAATTGCAGACTGGCTAGAGCAGTTGGCGCGTGAGGGCCGCTTGTGGGACATCAGCGTTTGCTTGTCCGCATTTGGGGGGATGAGCAAAAAACCTCTCCAACTCAGGGGGAACTGGCCTGGTGCCGAATGGGTCCTCGAGATTTTCAAACGTTTGGTGCCGGCTTTCGAAGATCGACCCCTCACTAAACTCACGCAGCAGTGTGGAAGGTGGCCTGGTTAATCAAATCTGCTCAACCATACTTGTGATGGTAGCTGTGTATCACATTGCAGGTATGCAACCACCATCAAAAGATATGGTTCAGAAAACCGCTATCTGGGAAGGGAATACCTCTATCTTAGGCTTACCTGAATCTAACAGGTTTTGTTCTTGGACGACCTTGTGCTAACTTCTTTGGGGCTATGTATGACCATGTGACAATCCAACAGGTGGACAGGGAGCAATCCATACACCTGCTTCTCGGCTCTCTATCCACCAACCTTTGGCCTGGCTGTGGCCTTCTCCCACCAGCGCTTTGTCGGACTCTTCACAAACACCCACAGTGAATCCAGCAACCATTTGGTGAACTTTGTGGGTGACATCGTCTCCAAAGGATATCCAACAGCTGAGTCCCTAATGGAAGAAGCCAAGGAAAGAGTGAACATTACATGTTGAAAGTAGACCAAATGGAGTTTTTCAGGGTCTCAACGTTTGTTTGAGCATATATTTTAATAATTAATAAAATATAGATACCCAGCAAAGAGACCAGGGGTTCCTTCTTTCCGCTTGCCCCCCCCAAATCCTGTCGTTCAATTCCCTGCAGGAGTACATGCGTATCCATGGCCGCGATATCGACAGTGACCCAGGGTGGGATGGAATTGAAAAGTGTTTGGCCCCGAAACTTGATGTGAAACAAGTTCGTGCCATACTAAAGGAAAAGAGGGATCGTTTGGCCTTAGAGATGGCTAACAAAAAGAAAACTCAGAAGCCTGGGAGAAGAAAGGGGGACCCAAAGACGGTTGCCAAAGGGACCAAACCCAAACATGAGAACAACGGGCAATCAAACCTGGAGCCCAGCCGATCATCTGGCTCTCGTGGACCAACGCAGTCGAAGCTGTCTTTTTATCCACGTGGCGATGTGAGGACATTGGTTTTGCAAAGAACAAGGGATATATTTTCAATTGGTGATGAAAAGAAAACATTTGGCAATTATGTCTAGCGTGTTCACTTTGAAGAATTTAACAGCTTCTTACCTTCTGCCCTGCAGGACTTCAACTTGCTCGCAGCCATCTCCACGGCAAACCACGATTCATTCCTTTTGGCCCCGTGGCGTGCCTAGTCTGTAATATAAGAGTCCTCAACTGTTGAATCCGGGCACCTATCACACCACTGGAGTTTTTCCATAGCAATGTGATGGAGTGGCAAGTGAATGGCGATGATATAAATTGTTGAGATTTGTTATGGGTTTGAAATCGCCAGCGGGAAGATTTCCAAACCCGACTCAGGCGCTGAAAGGCCTCTCTGGGACCATTGACATGGACTTGGACTCGGACGAGTGAAGATGTTCAGGCAGGTGTTTCCCTGATTGCCTGGTGAAACCCCAAAAGAGCCAAGACTAGGGAAAACAGATCAGTAATTGGCATTTAGCCAAGCATGCTTCTCATCAATAACAATTCCTATTACTAAAATTTAAATGGTTCATTATCTTGACAAAGCGGTTGTCAAATTAGAGCTTCTTGCTGCTCCTCGCACAGGCCAGGATCCTTCATTCCTCAGCCCAAGCTCCCGCATCGCTCCAATGTTCCTTGACCTGCATGAGACATCAGGATGCTCAAGCTCAGTGACGTGGCGTCATGGACCAGGACCACTGATGTAGGCAGATCATTTACATGATAAGTTGAAGGTCATGAAATGTTGGAAAGGCTCATACACCAACTCTTATTCGTTGATGGGAAACTGCGTCTACAGGTGAAGCTGTTCATGACTTAGTTGACAATGTCAGGTTCCTGGGTACATCCATGTGTCTCTTGCCTTAGTGCAAAACAGCTTACAAGTCTGTTCTACCCAAATCATAATTAAGTCTTGACTAATCATCAAGTTCTGCCTGTGACATGTTGGCGGCATGAAGGTGATGGATACATGAAGCAGTCGACAACCAACGCCACCATTCGGTTCCGGCAGTTCAGGCTGGCAGCAGTTCATTTGGCTTCCAAAACCTTCTGGCATTTGCTTCTTGGCTCAGACTGGGACTGACGTAAACTAAGGACCCCTGAGTGCCTATAAGATGACTTCGTGAATCCAAAATATGGTAAATGGATGTAAGCTGCATGGCTGTAAAACAGAAACAGGTGAACAGAAGTGCATGTTGACGAGCAAGAATGGAATCAGAGTAGTGTAAGTTGATTTAATTTCTTCGGTTTCGCATGTCAGTGAATAAAAGGTTTCTTTGTTATCTAGCCTGCCAGTTCCCATTGCCTGGCCTTCTGAGGCTTTTGCGGATGATCATTGGGCACCTATCATCCACCTGGCGTGGTGGGATGCGTGTGGCTTTTTGACCACTGGTCCACTGGTGGGTGGCTTACAGACCCACAAAAACATATGTAAAATCTCGTTACTGCCATTGCTAAATGGAAATTAATATACGAACAAATCCTATGATCTATTTTTGACGAATGTTGTTTCTCATAATCTGGGAAACCTGGGATTTTAATAACCATTACCCCAAATTGAGGTACGAAAAACAGATGATCTAATTACTTAACACCATCCCTGTGGAGACCCGTTAGAAGATTTGTTTGTTTGAGTCACCACCATCTGTGCGAAATCTTTTTTCTTAGCATCTCTAATTTGAACCAATAATTAGGAATCTAATGTTTGTCGTAGCGGTTGACCCTAGAAATGAAAATAGCCTAAAATTTAAGACTTGAAAAGGCAATTTCACTGAGATTCGATTCTCGTATTTTCTGGGGTCAGCCACGTGCTGCGAAAGAATTGCAATTGACCACCGAACGCTGAACTTTGCGTTCATGCTGTGAGGGTATGATTGGCAGTGGGTGAAATTTAAAGTGCATCCCCAAAAATCTTATTAGAAGGTTGGTGAAAACAAGGATGGTAAGCTGCTCAGAACCAATGCTGTCACCCTCTGAGCTGTTAAAGATATGTATCTCATGTATTGGCTGCGTCGACATTGAAAATCCTGAGCTGACGGGTCGTTCCTGCTCCAAACTGGAGAAAAATTTCAAACCTGTGTCAGATCAGACCTTGTTCATCGGTGTCATGCTCATGGAGTAGATACTCCATAGAAACACCAACGATGAAGTCAAACTCAATTGGAACATGGACCACCTTATCGTAGATTTCCCTCCAAAGTCAGTGGTAGATGCGTCTCTTCAATTTGTTGGCCGTTGGCCAGAGCGTTTTGTAGTGCCTTCTTCATGGGCAAAGACAAGAAGAAGGAGAAGAGCAAGAAGGCGTCTTCCGTGAAGAAGGAGTCGGTAAAGAAGAAAAAGAAGGATAAGAGAAGTTCCAAGTCTTCTAGCTCTAGCTCTAGCAGCGACGATGCCGATGCCAAGCTCTGTCATGCAGTGGGAGCTGCGTTTGGGCTGAGACTAGGATAGGGCTTAGCCTGCTGCAAATATTTTGTAACATTCTCCTCGGAATGTTGTTTCAATAATTGGACACGCTAGCCTTTGTCTTCTTTTTACAGGACCTAGATTGAACCCAGACCTAAGGATTCTTAGGTCTGAGTACCAAAACAGCTCCTACTGGATCCTATGTTGTATGTTGGGCCCATGTTGGGCCTTTGTTGGGTCATTTGGGTCTGAATTTGGGGTTTTGCTGGACCATTTGGTGATTATGTTGGGTCTAGATTGAACCCAGACCTGAGGATTATTAGGGTCGGGTTGAGTACCAAAACAGCTCCTACCGGGCTGTAAAAAATTCATAAGATTCCAACAATCTTCACGGGCGACTTGTTTGTGTGATTTTGTTGGGCCATTTGGAAGCTATATTGGATCTATGTTAGGCCATTTCGATGTGACTTTGGGGTTATTATGCTCTCTCATTTAGAGATTTATTTTGGATCTAGCCCCAGCCCAGAAGTAAGTCAGGATTTCTTACATCTGGTTCCAAACAGCTCTTTCAATACTCATGTCTTTCAGCTCTTCATGCTTTGCGTTTGGTTTGTGGGGGGCCATCAATAGTTTCAGATTCAATTCTATTGTCGTTGGTTTCTTTGGGTCGGCCTTGTGGGGTTCAACTCTATAGGGTGCCAATCACAGGGGCATATCATGTTTTACCATTTTATTGGCATTATAGAAGGGAATCCCCAAGACAGCCACTTAATTCCCAGGGTGGTTCTTGGAAATATAATATATATATAACATATATAATATATATAATAAAATGATATATGTAATAAAATATATATATAATATAATATATATATATATAATGTAATATATATAATATATAATATAATATATTTAATATATATATATAATATAATATAATATATGTAAGATATAGTATTATAATATATATATATTATATTAAATATAATATATATTATATATATATTACATATAATATATATAATATATAATATATATAATATATATAATATATATAATATATATATATAGAAATATATATATATATATACCAGCATTATCAGATTGGCACCCAGTGTCGAGCCATTTAATCTGGGCTTGAGGAAACCGAAGAGCCTTGAGTTCACGGCGAAGATCTCGAAGGTTTCAGACTTGAAGCCATACATGCTTGCGAGCCTTCTTGGGAGGGCACACCAATGCATCACTGAACAATCTGTGATGTGTATCGGTGGCGAACTCTATGAGTTGCGCAAACGTGCAGTGCAATCCATGAAAGTTTCCGACAATTCGAAGAGCCTAGAGTTGAGACTCAGACTCACAAGGGAACTCCAACATAGCGAACAGAAGTGGAGGAACCGCATGCTCCAGATCCTGGAACAAGGACGGACAGGATTGCATGTTCTAGTTGTAGCTCTTGGCAGATTACAAACAAATACGTGGTTACATTCTTATGTAGAACATTTAGGTTAGATTTAGATGAAGATACCTAGTCAGGAACAGGGTCCCCATCCTTGATGAACAACAAACTTGTTTGACAAGATGTTCTGTAGGTAATGTGCAGGGGTCATTTACAAACAGCCATTCTGGATGTATCCATCTTTGTCACCTTGACAGTTTCCGGGATGACTGACTACACCGTGATTGGGCAACACTCCAATCTGACGAGTTTGCGAAGGTTGCTGACCGGGTGGGATTGTCTCAGGAAACAATGTGACTGATTGATGCGGGACGTGTTCAATCGAGCATAGACTACTCAGGTATTTGAGGTGATTGGAATAGGCCGATGATCTGATGCAGCCATGCTGAGGAAATAAACACAAAGAAACAGCAATATGTCTAGGTCCAACCTATGCATTTAATCTGTGTCTTGTTTTCGGTATCCAATTACCTCGCGTATGATACAACAAAAGGCATTGGGAATTGAAGCGTGTTCAATGTTCTTTTTTGACCTGTTCCATTGACCATTGATTGCATCCGGAGTAACCCTGGTTGTTCTTTTTGGTTCTATAGAGTCCACCGGCCAGGGCTATCAAGGCTGAGATCCAGCAGCACGAGAGCGACGAGGGGACCCGGCACAAATGGGCAGTGGATCTGCGTCAATTGGTTGACAATTTGAAGGCTGAAGCAAAGAAAGACATGGACAACTTAGCTAAAAGTGAAATCCCAGACTCACCTACCAGAGCATCATCGGGGGATCGTTCCAAAAAGAGCCGGGGCCGATCTAGGGAGAAGAAAAAGGATAAGAAAGACAAGAAGCATCGTGATCGTTCTGGCTCATCCTCTCCCAACCTTCATGGGCCTGGTCGTCGTGGTAAAGGGGCTTTACGTATTGAACGCGGCAATGGTGAGGATAACATACTTGAAGAAAACAAAGCATGTGTTATCGAATCATTCGTTTGTTTTGGTGGCAAGGAATACGTAAACATGTGTTGGAAGTGCGAGTCTTTATTGCACTGTCTCTCAACAGATGTTGGATTGGTTTGTTTAAACTGTTCAGTTTTTGACATTACTTGTACATGTCATGATGTTTGGTAATCATACATCTATCTTTTTGGGTTCCCCTGATCCGGGTTCTCAGCTGTCCTCCACGGTTTCTGCAGGAGAGCGGCGACTCTTGCGCCAACCTTCGCGTGGGACGATTCAAGAAGAATGCCAGGTTGTCTGACACCCCCAAGACAACAAACACGTTGGGGCTCTCGTCGGAAGAGGTTTTGTTCAAATTCCTTCGCCCCGAAATGGAGAAACATTTCAAGACCATATCGGATCAGACCCTGTTCGTCAAGATGTGTCACGCTGATGGAATAGATACTTGCACATAGTCTGAAAAAGTTTTGATGATATGTTCTTGGGGTATGGGATTCCCCCAAACAAAACAGTACCCTGAAATCAAGACCTTTCAGTTCACATGTTTCATGAGTTGTGGGGACCACATCTGAGGAATCCATTGGGGACTTCCTTGATGCAGTTGAACAGAATTGGCAACCAAAGCATGAAGGGCTAGGAGCTGCGGCCAAGGAGGTCTTGGGATGCATGCCATGGTCGGCCAAGCAAGCTTCACTGCAAATGGTTGAATCTGTTGGTGAGCATCTCGATGCTCAACTGAATCTGTAGTCGATTTCTTTACAGCAGTTGTCAATGGTAAAGTACTGCGGAGTAGTATTGGAATAGGCCTCCCAAGACTGCCTTTTCATTGGATAGGCTGGCTAGGTGTTTCAACAAAAAACTTTGGTCTCAGGCTGAATGGAACCAGAAGGCCAATGCTTTGCGGGATGATCGGGGTGGTGGTGGTCGCAGTCTTGATCGTCCATCACCATCGCGCTCCAGGGCTCGATCAGTCGTGGATGATGAGGAGACGAAGGAGGCGGAATGTCGTGACCGCGGGCCATCACCCAAGACAACTGCTTCGGGAAAGGGGTTGCGCAACTTCAAGCCTCTTCCTTCTGAGCCGTCTAGTGAGGACTCATGAGTAAAGCTGAGAAACTACCGAGAAACCACATGATGTGCCAACAAGGCAATGAATGTTTCAGTTTTGTGTCGTGTCCTGCATGCCTCCTGCACGTGATAGAACAGACAACCCTATGAATGCTCAATGCTATTTAAAACCTCATTCTTTAAGGTAGATATGGGTTCATGTGGAATCGAACTCAACCTTTGATGGTTTGACGCGAGTGGACTTGCCAGCCTTTGTGGGATGCGGTCTTGAAACCACTAGAGCTCACTGCAGCTCAGCCAGAGAGCAATTCGAGAAAGGGCAAAAACATGATTCATGGACAATCTCAATGGACTTGATTGTTGGGAACAATGGAAAGTAAATCAAAAACGGATCTGGAAAGTGTGATTAGCCTGTATTTATCTTACATGTTGTTGGATTGATGGGTACTTGAATCAGCGTGACATGATGGTGTTGATTCATACTGGCTCAGATCTTCGATTTGTAGATCCAGGCCCCAAATTTCCACATTTCCTTTGTGACTTCACACTCTGCAGCCTGTCTCATCATCCCGATCTTGTTTTCGCCTATCCATGTCGGAGCCTAGTGACAAGTCAGAGTTCATCATGGGAATCTAGGCTGAATTCAACCATTGATTGATACCATTCAATTTTTGACGTGTTAAGTTTTGGAGTTCTGGTGATTTCCTATTTAAACATGGGGTTGGAACATATCTAGTGGAGGGCTGATGCCTACTTGGATCAACTTGGCCGCCCAGGAGTCAAATGGACACTCGGCCTCGGAGTGCCGGAGGAAGCTTATGAAGTGGATGTGACGTCTGACCTGGGCGACTCAGTGGGATGGCTGAACTTGGAGGATAGAGACGACCCACGTTTGACCCGACTTTTGTTGTGGGTATACCAATCCCACGTGCACAAGGTCACTGGAAATGATGTGCTTTGGAACGAGGAACTCGTTTTTCTTGTCAAGGATTCGCGTTTACAACAGGCTCCCCATTGGGAAGTCGATTTGAAAGTTTTTTCCATTTGGGACCAGTGCGACTGTCAGGTCAAATTCAGACTGGCTCCCAAAGACTCTTGATGAGTTCAATTCAATGTGTTTGCCAAAGATTTTTGTTTATAGCTATGCTCCTACGTTTCAGCCTGGGATGAAATTGGTGCAATATCCGAAAAAAGGAAATTGTCTCTGGGGCAGGGCCTATGAAAAATGGATGGGACTATAACCCCCCCAATAAGAATGGGAAAGTTTTCAAAACCCGGAATCCGGGAAACGTACTCAATCGAGGAAACGCACTCAATCCAAGAAACGTACTCAATCCAAGAATCGTGCTCAATCCAAGAAACGCACTCAATCCAGGAAACGTTCTCAATCCAGGAAACGTTCTCAATCCAGGAAACGTTCTCAATCCAGGAAACGTTCTCAATCCAGGAAACGTTCTCAATCCAGGAAACGTTCTCAATCCAGGAAACGTTCTCAATCCAGGAAACGTACTCAATCCAGGAAACGTACTCAATCCAGGAAACGTTCTCAATCCAGGAAACGTTCTCAATCCAGGAAACGTTCTCAATCCAGGAAACGTTCTCAATCCAGGAAACGTTCTCAATCCAGGAAACGTTCTTTTAACTTTCGGGGAGCACAGAATGAAGTTGTAAAAAAGTAGAAAGTATGTTGGCCATAACGAATGCGAATGTGAGATTTATGAAGCTAAAACCGTGGAAGGTGTGCAAAAACGACATCGTTCTTTTTGGAACGTACTTTTTACTTTTGCAGAGTTGATGGAGGCGATGTGGAAATGGGATGGGGCTGCTGGGTGGGGAACTCAATCCAGGAAACGTTCTCAATCCAGGAAACGTTCTCAATCCAGGAAACGTTCTCAATCCAGGAAACGTTCTCAATCCAGGAAACGTACTCAATCCAGGAAACGTTCTCAATCCAGGAAACTCAATCCAGGAAACGTACTCAATCCAGGAAACGTTCTCAATCCAGGAAACGTTCTCAATGCAGGAAACGTTCTCAATCCAGGAAACGTTCTCAATCCAGGAAACGTTCTCAATCCAGGAAACGTTCTCAATCCAGGAAACGTACTCAATCCAAGAAACGTTCTCAATCCAGGAAACGTACTCAATCCAGGAAACGTTCTCAATCCAAGAAACGTACTCAATCCAAGAAACGTACTCAATCCAAGAAACGTTCTCAATCCAAGAAACGTTCTCAATCCAGGAAACGTTCTCAACCCAGGAAACGTTCTCAATCCAGGAAACGTACTCAGATCCTACATCAGTCTGTGTGGTCAATACATTGCCAACTTACCTTTGTTTGTCCATTTGTGGGGCCATGATTTGTCAAGTACCACCTGAGTAGTAGTCCTGGTAGATAAGCCCTGAACCCTGACATATGTCTTTGCCTCGGCAGCGAACCTTGGATGACTTCGTGAAGGGTGAGGCCAAGCGGCGCAAGCCGGATCTCTCCAGCAGCTCTAGTACAACTTCAAGTGCAGCCTTGGCACTCGAGGATGTGGATGGCCTGGGCACCCACGAACCTCGGCTGTTTGATCGAAATTCTTGTCCAGACTCCCATGACCCCGAGCAGGGTGTGCTTAGCTTTGTCCCCATGATCAAGAAGCGTAAGCGAACCATAACCGAGATCTACCAAATGATCCCTGAAGACCACCGCATTTGGACTGAGGGGTGGACGTGTATGAAAGGGTGTGATTGCTGGTTTTGTGAGATTTATCTCGGAGAAATCATTGTTGTGAAAGATCCTCACGAAACCAGCTCTAGCGATCCCTTGGCTGAATCAGACAGCCAATAATTCATTTTAAGATATGGATATGTGGCAGTAAACTGTCAAAGTAATTCAGCTAATTGCTTCTTTGTTTCGGAGCAGTTTCAATTCATTGACAGATGCAGCAGAGCAAACTAGCAGCAAAAGAACATCTTAGGCCTACTGCATATGGTTTAGGAGGTGTATTCCTATCAATCTACAAGTCAGTGGTTGTATGCGAGAGGTAAGGGAAATAAAGCACAAGATTCATTGCAGAAGTACGATTGGAACCTGATGCACTTGATGAAAGGTGACAATTCCTAGCCGGAACCCTCATGGAAGGACATCAGCATATACAATCACATACATATACTCTGTGATTTCATCAGCTTTGTTCCAAACACCACAGCCTTGAACATCATTTAGCAAATGCGGTTTGTTTCAAATCAAAGGTCTGGCTCAGTCTTTGCCCAACCTGCCGCTTGGGGTGTCGGCGGCGGTGGCAGAGATGGAGGTAGAACAACTAGCAATAGTTCCTCACTTGGGGGATGAGGATGATACAATGAATGGAGTCATGGAGCCTTTTCCGGCTGGCGACCGTGTCTCAAATTGTGCCAGCCTGTCCCAGGATATGTTGGGTGGAAAATGAAATGTTGAAACATGACAGTTATGATTCACACAATGTTGGTAGATGATTTTGATTATATATATTCACACTGATCCTTTTTCAACAAAAATCATATGATATGTTTTGTTATAGTAAAATTAGTGGTCAACACTGTTTTGGGATCCCAGTGACAAACAATCTGAGCCCGTGTGCTTGATGCGCTATTTCAATGCCAGTCCTGCCAGGATGCTTGGACGAAGGAAGTGCAGCTACTCCTTCGCGACATGCCTGAAGTCCTTGACGACTCTCCTCATCAAGAAGCTGCTCGAGAGGAGGCGATCATGCTCTTGAGGAATGTGATTGCGTTGCGGTGGGGCTACATCATAGGATTGAAAGACAAAGTCCCTGGTTCCCATTTCAAGTCTTTGGTGGGCGGAATGGTGTCGACTCTGAATACGCTACTTGAGGTTCATGGGCCTCACATTCCCTTTTGCCCGAATCCACCTGACAAACAGCTTGAATTGGAGAATGAGAATGCCAGCCCAGAGAAACCCCTGCCCCCACCTGATGAAGGCAGCAGTACCACAGCCAGCAGCAAATCCGCACCTCCGAGTGTACTGCCACACGACTTCAAGTTCCTTACAGTGCATGTGGACGGCAAGAGTGAAGTTTGGACATGTCTGCAGGCAGGGGTAATTACCGTCCCTCATAATGTGGGCTGATATCCATCAAATTTCATGGGGAATACGGAATACAAATATAATTGGGAAAAGCTTCGTTTACTTAGCTGCCCCGAATCAGAATAGAACTGATCAAATATTATTGGGAAAAGCTTCGTTTACTTAGCGGCCCCGAATGAGAATAGAAATGATTACCATGAATGAAGCAACCATTGGTTGAACCCACAGATTGATAAATATATTGATACGCCTTTCCTGTTCTGGTTTGGCCCTAAAGTGCGCCACAGGTGCCATCAGTGTGGGGAGTTGATGGGTATGTGAACTTCTACGGGATGAGCGAAGTTTGGATGTACAAGACCAAATTTTTCGCGTGGTACACCAAGTCTTTCAACGAGTTCTACTTGCCGACAGCCGCGTTTCTGGAAATGTCCCCTGGTCATGTATCTGGATATCTGATTAACAATCGATTTTGGAGGTAGGATTTGTCATAAAGAATTCCTTCGTGCAGATGCTCCTGATGTCTCCCATTATTGAGTTGGTGGACTAACTCAGGGACCCATAACTAAAATCCACCGAATGATTTATCCAATGACTTAGCTCAAAATTAGAATTCCTAAGGTCATGAGACGAAGCACTTACAGAGGAGATGACAAGCCGACCCACTATCTCCCGGTGGATGCGGCTTCTGTCATGGGTATTGTGTGTGTGGTGGGCAGCATACTGCCAGCAAAATCTCTGGCTCGCGAAGCTATGCTGATCTCAGTCACGACTCTCAAGAAGATGGAATCATGCGTGGAAAACCCAGAGAGAGAGTTGGTTGCTCCCCTGCGAAACGGGGATAAGCTCAGGTTGGAGACTAGGTCCACTGGCTTGTTTGCTTTGTCCGACCTCAAACACTTTTTCAAGAAGCTGGGAATCGACTTTACCAGGTTCGGGATGTTTAGGTTGTTTGGATTTAGTGGAACAAACAACTGATGTTAAGAACATATACTGTTGTTGGGGATACCCAAAGGATATAAAGTCAATGACGTCAGACACTTTGAACATAGGGTTCCAATCTCTCCTTTCATTCCCCATCTAGGTTCAGCAAAAAATTGCCATCAGATGCTGCGGAAGTTGGCATCCCCGAGATTATCTGCACCATGTTTCGAATGAGGTGTGATCCTTCGAGCCAAGATCCGAATTCACCCATGAACCGCTTTCTGTTCAGACTAGTTCACAAATGGTGTCAGAAAGTTGAAGCATCAATGGAACAGAAACTGCAGGAGACCTGTCCAGATCCCAGCGTTGGGGCACGAGTTCATCTCTTTTTGAAAAGCTCACGGATGAAAGGCAACAAAGCTCTCCAGCTCAGCATTGTCGGCCGCTTCTCAGCAAGGAGTGCAGGATTTATGACTACCAAGAACACGACCTTAGCTTCGCTGGGTGTCCTTCCGGCCAACAGCAGTCTTGCCCAACGAACGTGCCAGGAGTATGCCATGCGGTACTTGATCAAGTCAAACCAGCACATGAGTGAAGCCCTGTTGCAATCGAAAGTGGTAAACTTCACCTTTGACGCGGCATTCGTTGCTGAAGAACACGCGGCTTCTTCTTAGCTTATAGTGGGTATTTGTTTTGTGTGCGAACAAGTTGTGCCTGGGGAACATAGGAAATGCCTCTCAATCCTAGTAAGGCTTGTAAACTCTGTCAGGTGCTCACCGTTGTCTTTCGGTCCATTGGTAAGCAGTTCTCGGGAGCCACCCAGTTGCTGCCGACTGGTCTCAGTGCTGAGCAGTCACAGAAAGCCTTACAGGCCTTCTGCCAAGCATTCAAGACAATGTACTGCCAGTCTGGTCAGGTGCCGTCCATCCCACAGAAAATTGACTTTGGGTGGAAGGAATTTCGAGTGCCCACGAAAAACATGCTCATGGGCATTAGCAATGCGCTGGTGCAAATCATGCCACCTGATTTCACTTTGCAAAAGTGCATTCCTCCGGTCCGTTTGGTGCCTCGAGCTACTCAAGCTGACCGGCTTCTCTTGACTGATGACGAGAAGACAATGCTTGGATTGGGACCTTGGGCCAAAGACTGTGACCTCTACTTTGTCTACAACTACGCCTCACAGACGTGCTTTGTGGACTTTATCGAGGACAACGACTTCTACAAGCTGTGCTTTTCAGCGGATGAAGGGACTGAGGACAGGGTTGGGTCATAAAACATGTTGCCACTGGTCTTCTCAGGATGGCAGAAAACACATAACAAGGGGTCCTCATTCATAAAAAAATGAAGTTAGTAATCAGTGAGGGTTTAAATGTAGAGAAGCATGTTCTCACGACTGGACCTTCCCTCCAATGTTTTAGGACATATAACTAACTTTGTAAATACATGTTACGTATGAAGATACATTGCCCACATGTCATATGTGCACTATACACAAATATAATATAATAGTAATGCATTTGTGTATCTACATGATCTAGCAAACAGGTTTCACATGATATGCATGCGCTGCAGGGCTTCCTGGTGTTCCTGCACATGAGTTGCTGCGGGGTCTACGCGACCTTTTGGCCGGACTTACTGCACAAGCTTGCGAGGAGATGCTGCTACGCCATGCAGCGAAGCAAGGCTCATTTGACACTTCGGAGGATCAACAAACTCTTTCGGTTGGACAGAGGACCATGGAGCACCTCGAAGTTCGGCAAACAGTTGAGTGATGCCCGCAAGATGCTGATTGATGGTCTTCAATCCTCTTCGCTTGATGAGTCGGTGATTGAAAGTTTCCTCCCTGGCATAGCCAGAGACTACAACTTGTCCGCAGACGGCTTCACAACTGTGGATTTTCTGCGAGTCCTACAAGCCAAGAGAGGACCAAATATAGGAAATTGATAACGACAGAGACCACTGGCTGATAACTGCGTGGTAGAAGTGTCACTAACATTTTGGTTTCCCAAAAATTATGGTTCAACTTCCATTTGTTGATAAGATCGTGTCCATATATTTTCCCAACCAAAAGTCTAAGTCAACTCATAGACAAAGTTTTTGGGTCACCGTGGGGTATGATTACAGCGCACGCACTGAAACACCAGTCCCTGAAGGAAACCACGTGTTTTCCACAGAGCACAAGGATACCCGTTGGTTCTCGTGGTGGGACCACGCTGCCAAACATGACTCTTCTTGGCATACCCAGGCTCTGACTCATATGATGTTGTGGGTGGCAGAAGGCGAGAACCCTTGGTCGAAGCTGACACCTCAGGTGGAAGGCGATAGCAAGAACCCGACCTCTTTTTCATCCCGGCAATTTGCCTGGAACGTGGCTCGTTGACAACACAGAGCAACAGGGTTGATTTGGGATCAGGCGTTTCAATGCCCAAAAATCGACCTCGTACTTCACCAAGAACATCGTACAATTGGACCACAATTTCTTTGATTCTTTTGGCGATGATAGTATGTTCTTGCTTCAGGGTTCTATCACCCCCATGTTTCTACTTAGCTACCTCGCATGTCATAGATATGCAAGTCTAAACCTCAAATCTACATGTATTGCTTTGTTCCATGGCAATCTACCTGTTTCTTCCATGTCACTGCCCAGGTCTTGAGTGACGACACGAACCAAGATGAAATGAGGTCAATGCTGACTGTCTTCAAAAGCATGAGGATCTATGCAGCAGAGTACGAACCTTGAATTTATCAAGAGATACCTCCGAAATTTGTTTCCTACAAATGGTGTTTGTACTCGGTTTGTGTTTTGGAAATAGTAGAAAGGTTGTTGCCTGAAAGTTTTAGCTATTAACGTGGGGAAGAGCACAAGAAGTCCAGGACAGAGACCTTCAGAGACAGGATACAGCAAGCGCAAAGCATGCAATCAGCCTGGCAAGCGGCAAGCGCGTGCAGAAGCTGATCAGGACATCTATAGGGTCACCATTCCCGTCGGTTATTAACTGTTCTTGTTTGTCTCATGGTTCGCACTTCGATTTTGAACTCTTGTCTTCAACACCTCCGACTCGCAAAAGCAACAATCTGTTTGGATCAGGAAGACAATTTCGGATTCGACGTCTCCAGCAAGTTTGCAGTACATTGGTGCCTGCGACCCTTCACCAGAGTCGGAGGATGTCTTGCAATTCCACAGCGACCTGTTGATGTACCAGATTGAAGGTTTGCAGGGCATTTCGCCTGTTCACCAGTCTTTCCCGTGGAGAGTCGTGCAGTGTTTGGACCCAGCATCATGGACGACAGTCCTGAAAGATATGAAGGAGATTTGGCAGTTCACCACTGAGTTTGCAGATACACTTCGGCAGAATGATGCTCTTTTCAACGAACTGCAAGTGACTCGCTTCCAGAACTTCCGAGACACCATGACAAAAGCAGAGCAGCTTGTTCTTAAGTTACGCATTTTTTCGACCTCGTTTTTTTTCGCTTGTTCGGATGAAGTTTTGCAGTGAGAAACACGAAACAGTTTAACTTTTTGCTTTCTTGTTACTCTCTAGTCGTTGGGTTTCTGTCTTTGACTGACTTCAGTCTGTTCGAGAACTCATCTCTCACCAACCACTTATAGAGACTAAGGTACTTCAAGTTTGACCCAGCTCGGATGGGAACGCCGAGCTCAGCCCCGTTCGAGGAGTCAATCTTGAGCATTTGCGGTTTGACATCGACTTCCAAAATGGACAGCTTGCTGTCGTCCCTGCCGTGTGAGCTCGCGTTCAACCAGCTCAGGGACGCCTGCCGCAGACACAGCAAAATGGAGAAGGCCAATGGAGCAGCTTTGTTTTCAGTATGTTCAAAGGCAAGTATGAAGCACTGTTTCGGCGCTGAAACCCTTGAGCTTTCTGCCGATGATTGGGCGCAAAGCCTCCAAGGACGCAAAGAAGTCAAGACGCAGGTGCATTCAGCCATGCGATGTACCGACGTGTCACTGGGGATCAGCGCGGAAGGTCTTACAAGGAACCGGTCGTCGAAGCAGTTCACCAAACCACACATCTTTGCCTATCGACTACAGCTACTCCAAGCCTTGTCCAAGGCATTTCATGACTTCGAGGGGGCCGATCCTGATGAGCGCCGAGATCACATCAACGCCCTCTACAGCAAGATGTGGGTGAGCAAGGTGGTGCCGGAGCTTTGGTTCCTTCGGAACAAGGGAGATCCGGACGATGGTGACAATTCCTTGGTGGTGGTTCGAAGTGGGCCATTTACCCTAGGTTGTGTGCTCATGGTCAAGTGCCAGGACGGCAACTACAAATTCCAGGACGACCCCTACGTGTTGGCTTTACCTGGTGACTTTGATGAGCGAGAAGTTGCACACATGGCGCCAATAGTCAGCACAGATGGCTTTTTGCGCTGGCACCGCGACGGAGATTGGATGGGCTTGGCCGACTACATCGCTGATGTCGGCATCATCACCATGCCAGCCAGTCTTTTTGGATTGGTTTGCAGAGAAATGAAGCTCAAGACTGGCAAGCTTGACCACATCAACCGGTGTGAGTTCTTTTTGAAACACATGGGACGTTCACCAGACATGATTGAGAAAATCTTGGAGCAGGTCCGTGCAAACCAGAAACAGAGGAAGCAGACCAAGAAGAAAAAGGCTGAAGACGGTGAGGACGAGGAGGACAGACTTAGATTGCATGTTTCTGCATTTTCTGTTAGTTGGTAGTTGCGTTTTGTTCAAAAACTTTGAGGTAATCCTACATGAAACATGACTCCCAACAGTTGTTACCATCCCAATTGTAGGCTTAGGTAGGCGACTCCACCAAGATCGGCGTCGAGGCTGTTTTCGACCAACTTTACCGTGTTTTATGCTGTTTTTGGCCTCTTCTTTTTTGGGGGGGTTCGGGGGGTGGGGGTGCTAATAGCGTCCTTGCTTCTGCGTTCCAGGTCATGCTACGTTGCTGAACATCTCTTGCAACTTGCAACGCTCTTGATGCTACGTTGATGAACGTCTCTTGCAACTTGCAACGCTCTTGATGCTACGTTGATGAACGTCTCTTGCAACTTGCAACGCTCTTGATGCTACGTTGATGAACGTCTCTTGCAACTTGCCACGCTCTTGATGCTACGTTGCTGAACGTCTCTTGCAACTTGCCACGCTCTTGATGCTGCGTTGCTGAACCAAAATATGAGGTGCGTTGGAATTGGTCAAGTCGCCTGGCATGGTTGACTAACTGGGTCAGAAGTGTGGTATGAGTGAACTAGTCCTGTGTTTGTTCAAGCTAGCTCCCACAACTTCTTGCAGTCGCATGACTCGGAGCGGTTTTGTTTTGTGCTGAAGAAAAGGTATTGAAAAACATGTGGATTATGGAACATTTGACACATCACTGCTGGACCATTCTTATCAGCACAATGTCAAATTTTGTTTACCTCAAAAGTGTTCACAGACATCCAGCCCCATCCTGCAGAACAACAATCCCATGGAACACTTGGAGGGTGAATCATCGGATGAAGAGCTCGCCGAGTTGCAGCAAGAAATTGATGATCATCACCATGCCCAAGTCCACGAAATCTTTGCTGCTGCCCAGGAAGCACCAGCAGAGGAGAAGGATGCTGACATGGCTACTCATCTTCACGAGAATTGCAGTTTGGGATAAGTTGGCCGCAGCTATCAAAATCACCAGATATTCTTTCGAATCTGATTCCAGTTCCTCTCAATAATAGTAGCTTTTTGCATGCGTTTGGCTCGCTGGTGCACAGGATGGTCAGATACGTGTGAGCGCAGGATGTCCTGTCATCAAGATCATCATCATCATCATCATCACCATGATCATCATCAACATCATCACCACCATCATCATCATCACCGCAGACACATCACCAACATCACCACCACGATCATCATCATTATCGTCTGCATCACCATCATCACCATCACCATATCACCACCATCATCATTGCCTTCCTCCTCCTCCTCCTCCTCCTCATCATCATCATCGTCATCACCATCATCATCATCATCATCATCATCATTGTCTTCCTCCTCCTCCTCCTCATCATCATCATCATCATCATCGTCATCACCATCATCATCATCATCATCATCATCATTGTCTTCCTCATCATCATCATCATCATCATCACCATCATCATCGTCATCATCATTATCGTCATCATCGGCCATCATGATCACCATCATTCTCATCATCAACTTCTTACTTACCACCATCATCACCTGAATCATCATCGTCATCATCATCAACTACAAAATGACCACCATGACCATCATTAACATCATCATCATGAACAAAATAATCAAAACCATCACGATCATCGGTTGTCTTGATCATCAATGTCATCTTGATCATCAACATCACCATGACCATCATGATCATTAACATCATGTTCCTTATTTTCCCCTGTTCCCAAAATTACTGCAAATTACTTTACTTCGTGTGATCCCCACCATGACATTTATATATTTTGTTACTGGCAAATTTTCTGGCATTCTATCTGACATTTTATCTGGCATATCTTCTGGCATTCTATCTGGCATATCTTCTGGTATTTTATCTGGCATATCTTTTGGCATTCTACCTGGCATATCTTCTGGCATATTTTCTGACATATCTTCTGGCATTCTATCTGGCATTCTATCGGGCATATCTTCTGGCATATTATCTGGCATATCTTCTGGCATTCTATGTGACATTCCATCTGGCATATCCTTCTGGCCGTTGAGGTCCAGCGGTGCACACTGAGCTGGGCAGGTCCCGGGTTGAGGTCCAGCGGTGCACACTGAGCTGGGCAGGTCCCCGGTTGAGGTCCAGCGGTGCACACTGAGCTGGGCAGGTCCCCGGTTGAGGTCCAGCGGTGCACACTGAGCTGGGCAGCTCACAGGTTGAGGTCCAGCGGTGCACACTGAGCTGGGCAGCTCGCAGGTTGAGGTCCAGCAGCGCGCACTGAGCTGGGAAGTTGGCGAAGCGCTTGGCGACGAGTTGGCAAGGTTGGCAAGGCGGAAGTGGAGGTGGAAGAGGCGGAGGCGAGGAGGAGGGCGAGGAGGACAGCTAGTCGAGGAGGAGGAGGAGGAAGAGGCGGCGAGGAAATACTTAAAGGTTGCTTTCATTTTTGTTCCCTTCCAGTTCCCCTCCCTTGTCCCCCTGTTCTGCCCCTGTGTGTGCACAAGCTTCTGTGTTTAAAAGCGTCTTTGTGTACAAGCATCTCTATGCAAGAGCGTCTGTGTGTAAAGGCGTCTGTAGGCTCAGTAAAAGCTTCTGTGTATAAAAGCGTTTTGCTCCCCTTCTTGCCTTATGTCCCCCCCCTTGTTCCCCTTTTCCCCCCTTGTTCCCGTGTTCCCGCCCCTTCTCCTCTGTCCCTTTCTGTTCCCCTAATTAAGACACGTACCAAAAGCTTACTTTTCTTTATGTTTTCTTCCTGTTCCCTTCCTCTGCCCCCCTTACCATGTTCCCCCCCTGTTTCCCTGTTCCCCCCTTGTTCTTCTAATTAAGACACCAAAAGGTTGCTTTCACTTAGGTTTCCTTCCCGTGCCCTCCCCTTTACCCCTCCTGTTCCCACCCCTGTTAACCTGGGAGGATGCATGCATGTGCGCCATTGAATCTCTTTTCCTGCGCGCGTACCGACACCTGTTTCCTGCGCGTAGGTGATTAAGGGATCCAGCTTGTAGATAAGCTAGATTCATGTAACCAGGTGAGCTCCTTCCCCCCTCAAAGGTGACTTGATTCATAGTGGCCGACCAAATAGGGTAACAGAACGTTAAAACAGTGATATGGTCATATGATATGTTTTTCGTTTCAGACCATTTTAGACATCATCTTTTAGTGTGGAAAGATAGATGATAAAGATAATTCTATATCTATATCATACATATTATCAAGAATCTCCTTGAGGTAGTGCTAAGCTTGCAATTGATCCCAGCTCGCTCAGGAGCCCAAACGGGAAGACCCAGAACCTGATGATGCGGATTCGAAACCAGAGAAGGCGTTTATCTAAATTTGCAGACTCATGTCTGCCCACGGTTTCTCCAAACTTTGTTCAAGTCTGTTTGAGGGAATCCTTGGTGTCTCACATGACAGGACCACCCACATGACAGCATAGCCTGCATGCTGAAAGGATTGTTGTTCAGAAACAAAAGAGATCAGTGTAAATAAACACAGATTACAACCGAGGCCTTTTTTTATTCATGGATAATGTAAAATAAACCCTTTACATGATGGACTCTTGGTTATGGATAGTTTCCAATCCCTCATTCCTGTAAGCCAAAAGATTTGCTTGGCAGGCGCAGCGAGCTGATGCAGGTGGGGTTCATGAACCGAAGCGGCCGCACGTGGCCACTGAAGCAGACCTTCCCCCTGGGCTTCAGCTACACCGAGGATACCCGGCAAAATCAAATCCCTTTGTACAGGTTCACTTGCCACCATCTTTCCGGTATGAGGGAAAGGGATCCAGAGCGGTCTCCTACCTACCAGAGGATGGTCAAATGCTTTCCCGTGGCACAGTTCGAACTTTTCAACAAGCTTTGAGCTGTGTTGTCAGCTGGAGTTGGATGTGGTGGAACACGTTGTCTAGCACGGAGCAAAGTGCCCTCCGAGCTATGGACAGCAAACCTGTTGGGGGTTGTGCACCTTCTAAAAGAAGGAAGGTGCAATAGAAACGGTACAAGTTTGGAAAGCAACATGAAAGGGGAGAAAAACAGAATCAAATTGAGTGTGGGTATTGCCAGCACTGCTTGCACAAGATGTGTACCTAAAACAACCTATGATATTCCCAAAAAACATAAAGAATGGTCAGCTTCACGAATGCAAATGTGAGAGTTAGAAATATATATATATATAACTATATACATACAGTAAAAATAGAAGTGTGCGACCCAAATGTACTTATAGCAACTCCCAAAGCAAATGCAAAAATAAATCATCATCAAATTAGTAGAGATTTACTTTTGTACCTAGGGGGTGACTTGGTTTTTCTACGGCCAGGCACAGAGCGCCTACCACTGGTCCCCACGTCCCTGCCACCTCCCTTGCCACCCAAGGGTGCTCGCAACCTCGGTGGCCAAAAGGCCGGATCCGGAAAAGCCTGGTGGAGAAATGTGGTAAAGCTACAAGCGGGTTTCAGGGCATATCCAATCTTTATTAGACCTTTCGGTAAACTAACATAGCTATGGAAAATGGCTTTATAGTGAGTTTTCCCATTAAAAAGGTGATTTTCCATAGTTATGTTAGTTTACCAGAGGGTAGACCTTTCGGTAAGACTGGTTTTGAAACAGATTAACTCTCTCTGATTAACTCTCTCTCTCTCTTTCCATTGCCTTCTTGAAAAGAGTTCAACTGCATAGAGTATTTTTTGGGTAATACTGGTTTCAATGAAAGTTTAACTAATGATGAATATACCCAATATGTATTAAGCTTCATTCATGAGAAGCATCCATCCCTTCTACCCTTTTGAAAACTGAACCTTTTCCTGCCCAGCGGCCGTAAGCAAAACTGGGCAGCATATGACTGGAATCCCTACCAAAACGCATCTGGGTACATAGTCACAATTCTCCATATTGAAATTGACATCAATTGAGGGTTCATGCTCCATTTTTAATCAAACCAATCTATATCATCTATCTATTTCTTTCTCTTCGGGGGCGCGGGGATATTCAACAAACGGGGGAGGGGATTATAGCAACTCCAGAAAAATATATAGCAACATCACAACATGAAACATAGATATGAAAAGCACACACATCCCACTAAATAGTGATAAATTGCACCTGTTCTATCTTTTTGGAGGTTACTATGCTCCCCAGACGTGGCTTCAGAATCCCAAAAAAAGGGTCACCATGGACGAAGTCGGGTGCCCCGGGTGCCCCGACTCATCTCCACGATCAACCTCGGTTCCAAAAATGTCTCGACTTTTGGGGAGTTTGCTGAGATTTGGCTGAGATAAATAAGGTACAAAAACTCAACTTATGGGGATATACTGGGATTTCTTGAGATATCAAGAGGTTTCATGGGATACAATTGGATGTAGTGGGAGAAATCATGGAATACCTGCCCGAAGGTAGATATCGTGGGGGCTGAATCCCCATGAGATATCCGAAAATTGTCCAAACGAATATGGAAAACCCATGGGGTTGCCGACCCACAGGGTGATTGTGAGGAACTTGACCTACAAATTAAATGCATATCTCTATTCAAATGCATCTCTATGTTAATTTACTGAATCTGGTGGAATGCTCCATTTTCAGACACAAATGATTTGAAAAAACGCCAGCATGGCCTGTGTTTAAAACAGCCGGCATAAAGAAATGAGCCATTCAAGGGTCTTGAAGGGAGGCACCAAAGGGCTTGAAGGGATGTATAACAATCCAAAAGCAACATATGCAATTTTCCAGTGGAAAATTCAAAATTCCGAGACACTTCAAGTGGACAAAAAATAACCAATTTTTAGAAATCATGCCGTTTTTTAGCCCACGTGAGACTATCCATGGTCAAAATCCTTTTTTTGGTGAACAAATCTCACTGATGCTGTTCGCACCCTCAAAAAATCACGGCCAGTCTCACGGCCGTTCGGCCGATCCAATGAGAATACTAGGCTATATATATATATATCATCCTTGGAGAACCTTCAGTAAAGAAAAAAACAACCTCCCTATACTTATAGAAAAACAGAATCCTTCTAACATAGTGGCAAATTAGTTGTCTCTTTTTGGGGGTTACGATTAAAACTTTGGGGTGGGATGTGATTTTCCCATGACATTCATGCAGCAAAAAAACACAGAAGTTGAAACCTCCATCGCTGATGGAAATCAGGGTCCTCAATGTCATGCAATTTCTTTCATGACAATAATTGTGATAAACCATCAGAAGTTGCATTTGTTCAATCTTCAGACCCACTTGCGCCACTTGGGGGTGGTTACTACATCTCCACAACAAAAACAACCAGCACAGTAGCGGAAACTACTGCCGACCGGGCATCCGGGCCGACCCCAACTTTCCGCCCAAAGGGCATTGTCCCAGCTTCCTGAGCGGGAAAAACACCAGCGCGACTCGTTGGGGAAAAAAACAATATTTTGTTGGGATATTCCCTTACATAGGCCTTATATAGGCCTTATATATGGTAGGTACCTCCAATTTTTTCGGTTCCTGAGTCATGGCCATTGAATTATCAACAGTTTTTTGGGCATCCGATTTTCGGACAGTGATCCATAGCCGGGGACTCACATGACCCGTGGACCAATCCTTCAGGCGCTCCGAAACCGAAAACGCTGGTTGATGTTCGCTAGGAAAACCATCTGACTATAGTTGTTCCATGATATTTTTAATGACCTGGTTGGTGGTTGACCTACCATCTTGAAAAATGATGGAGTTCGTCAATGGGAAGCATTATGCCATATAATGGAAAATAAAAGTTCCAAACCACCAGCCAGTCACCATAAACCCAGCAATTCACCTCGTGAACTATGTGTTAACTTGGCAAATCCACTGGTTCATCGAACCGGCAATCCATGGCGCGACAGAAAGAACGGACTAACGGACTTGGGGGGAGAAAGGCCAAAAAACATTACTGCTTGGTGGTTGACCTACCCCTAGAAATTAGTTGAAATACTATTTGATTGATAGGTTTGACTACTATGGGCATCATAATCACCAAGAAGTTAGAGCCCAAAAAAACACTATGTTTAATGGGTCAATCTACTATTTCTATGACAATTTTCAATAGCAAACTGTGAAATTACCAGAGGGTACTTGATATAGTTACTATATATAATTATCTGATTGGTGGTTGACCTACCCCTCTGAAAAATGATGGACTTCGTCAGTTGGGATGATGACATTCCCAACTGAATGGAAAGTCATAAAATTCCTGTTCCAAAGCACCAACCAGACTATAAATCCACATATCTTTCCGGTGAAATGCCCATTTCTAGTGGTGTCTCACCCAATGAACAGATTGGGGCACAATATAAAAACCACCTTCTACTTGGAGGATCTGTCATTGGGAATGGATAATTCGGTATAAAATTCTTGAGAATATGTTTATCACAAAATATTATATATATATATCTGTCATATTTTAAGTATCATTTGTATACATATATTATATAATGATATATATATATATATATCATTATATATATATGTATATACATCATTATATATATATTGTGATTCAATATCATTGCATTACCCTTCCTCTCTTTGTGTTGACATGAAATAACCAGTTGAACAGGGGTTTTAACAAAGCTTCACTTCCACCAGCACTTGTGGCTCAGGAGGGCCAATTCTGGGTCTGTAGGTGGGAGGGCATTTCTAGCGAGTGCAGAGCCATAAAGCTGAGCGTGGACGCTCTTTTCTTTTTGGAAACCTTGGCCAGGGGCCAGACTTGCATAGCTTGGTGCTCCCAACGCACTTACAGGTCAACCGACCTTGCTGCAGCCTTTGGAGACCTTTCTCCAAAACTTGTGCCACCCGGACTTGTTTGCCTTTGTGGGGAAAACAGGCGGCAAGCCGCTTTTGCTGAGGAGGAGGAAGGCGCTGCTTCCAGTGTGGGATCTTAAGGGACTCACATTGGTAGCGGAGCTCAGCTCCAAGCTGAGCATCCAGGGAGGATTTGGCGGTGGAGATGCCTGAGACCTCAGATGGCTCTGATGGATCCACTGCCAGTACTCTCGTGCCCAATCAAATCGCCAATTTGGTACCTTCGTTTGACCCCGCCAAAGATGATCTCACTGACTACACCAAGAAAGTGCAACTGCTCATGAACATGTGGCCTGATGGAAAGTGGACGGAATTGGCAACCAGGTTGATCTTAGGATGTACCGGGACTGCATTCCAGAAACTGCAACAGAAAAGTGCTGAAATCACGGTGAACGACAAGAAGTCCATACAACAGATAATCGAACTGCTGGGAGGCCAATGGGGCCAAATACCACTGGAAAAGAAGTACGAATCAGCAGAGCGCGCATTGTTTAGATGCACGCAGCGCCAGGATGAAACAAACGACAGCTATCTGGCCAGAGCAGATGTTCTCTGGCAGGAATTGCTGAACAAGGAGTTCAAACTGGAAGAGCTGCAGGCTTATATCACTTTGCGTGGTTCGAATCTCAGCCCTGATGACAAAAAACGTGTGGTGATCGACAGTCAGGGGAGCTCAGACGGCAAGCTTACGATCCCTTGTGTGTCAGCTGCAATCAGAATGCTTGGTGCCGGCTTTTTCCATGAAATCACAGCCGGAAAGAAACCTGGGAAACTGAAAACGTATGATGCCACAGCCATGGTTGCAGACCAGACGGAAGATGATGATGACACATCTCATGCCATGCTTGCCGAATCACCTGATGACATCCCGGAGGATGAAATGATTGACACCTTGGTGCAGGAGGGTGACACCGATGCAATTCTGGTAGCGGATTTTGAAGCTGCAGCCACGGACGTGCTCCAAGGCGACGAGGAACTGGCCAGTGCGCTGAATGCGTACACTGAGGCGCGAAGACGCTTGAGTGAGAAGGTCAAATCCCGTGGGTTTTGGCCGCTTTCCCAGAACTCTAAGGGTAAATCCAAGGGGTATAACCGAGGGGTAAAGGGGAAGTTCCAAAAGGGTCACCACTCCAGCAGAAAATCCCTCCAGCAGCGCATTCTGAGCTCCAGCTGCAGATTGTGCGGCAAGGTAGGACACTGGAAGGCAGAATGTCCATCCAGAAGTGAATCTGCTGGATCAGCCCGACCACAAGCACCCACGTCATTTGTGCAGATGCAAGAGGAAAGCGATGGCTTACCTCTCGAGTTCCTGAATCTGCCAGCCTTTGAGAGCGCTGTGGATGTGCCTTCAACACATGTTAGCCAGTGTTTTGTATGTTATCCTCAAAAGCCAGGTGACATGAATGCCAAAGCTAGACTGGTAGAGGCTCTGAAAAGATGGAAAACCATGCCATCATGCTATGCCGCGCCCAGGACCCATGAAGCTCAGAGTTCATCGAGATTGTCGAAGACGAACCAGTCAGAACCTTTGCAGTTCAAGCCTTCCCAAAATGCCGAACTGAACCTGCCAGGAGAACATGCCGCCATGTTTGCCACGTATAGCTGTATGGGTGTAGTAGACCTAGGTGCAACGAAGACTGTGATTGGTAGCAATTTGGTTAAAGATCTTTTAGATGGACTTACACCAGCTGCCCGTCAATCAGTCAGAAGATGCCCATGTCCCATCACCTTCAGATTCGGTAACCAGGGAACACTTAAGAGTGAGCATGCCTTAGCCATTCCCATTCATGGTTTATGGTTAAAGATCGCAGTCGTGCCAGGGTCGACACCATTTCTTTTGTCAAACACCCTACTGAGAGCAATTGGGGCAGTGATAGATACCAGCAAAAAGACTATCTATGCAGCCAAAATTGGAAAAACAATCCCCATTCAGCTCACAGGAAAAGGGTTGTTTCTTTTGGATCTTAATGACCTAGTGGATACGACCGTGTCCAAGCATGCTGCCGAAACGCACCAAGTGTCCGAAGTGACCAAAAATGTGCCTGCTGAGAAATGTACAGAGCCGCAATGTCCAGAACCACCACCGTCAGTTGCCATTCATGATACCACACACATGATGCCACCACAACACACCACACACACGGCCACCATGACATGTCCAACGCCACATGACACAGCTCAAAGCTCAAGTAAATCCCATGCCAACATGACTGATGAGTTTTTGCCAGCCGAGAAAACATGTACAGAGATGGTGGATCCGCCAGATCCTCACAGCTCAAAGCATACGCAGTTTGCCCGTAGTCTCCGAGTTCCAAAGCGACATGGCAATGTCCAGCCTGTGCCAGAGACTGAAGCAGATCCAGGTGCCCACCGAGACCGTGAAGATGGATTTCAGCCACTTGAGTCTCAATCAACTGGAAGAGACGAGGGTAGACTTTGGTCAGGCCCACAGTGGCAAGACCTATCGCGAGATGTGGGTGAATCACCAAGACTGGATCCTGTGGTTCACGGGTCGATACGAGAAATCGGGAAAAGAAAGCCACCAGAAGATGCTCCACTACATCCAACTGATGATCGAGAGAGCCGAGCTGAATGGAACCAATGTGCCGCTGACCAAGGGCACAGCACCCAAGGGCTCGATGGCCATGACCAAGGCCAAAGCCATGGCCAAGAGGGCCATGCAGCCTCCGACAGAGACCACCTCGGTCTGGGATGCGACGGAAGAGGAGTACGAGATCTTCACAGAGGAGGCCGAGATGGGTCTGAGCGTGGCTGCCCCCGAGGGCAACAATCCCGATATCTCGCATCTGGAACATCGGATGCTGCATGTGGAGACAACTTTGTCTCAGATCATCACCCTGTTGGAAAACATCCAACCCAATGCCGAACAGGCGTAGAGACGTGTCCATGCTGGGCACATGCCATGCATGCTGGCGACCTGGATGCCACTGAACATGATAGGTTCATGGAAGCCCCCGAAACTAATGTGGAGAGAAAGTTGTTCAACAAATTACTCATTCAAATGTCTAGGGAGCTTGAAACATGTGAACCGCCATCCAATAGGTTTCAAAAGCCCATTGATGTGTTGGAAGTGTTCTGTGGGCCTCACAGCCAGCTGACACATCAGTGCCAGCAACTTGGGCATCGTGCAATGCGCTTCGGCCTCGCTGAGGGTGATTTGCAAACTGCTGAGGGCAGAGCTCGACTGTTTACTGTCCTCAAGACACATCGGCCACGACATGTCTGGTTTAGCCCCAAATGTGGTCCCTGGAGTAGTTGGTCTAATTTAATGGTAGCCGGTCCATTGAGTCATGGGATAACCTGCAACAATGCCGTCTTCAACACATAGACCAAGTTGCTTTAGGAATCGTTTTGATGAGGTATCAGAGAAACCTACAGAGGCACTTTCACTGGGAACAACCAAGAAATTCTCACATGTTCAAACTTCCGTACATGCAAGAAATTCGACAGAAATTGCTTGCGTTGGATGTAGATCTTTGCACGGCAGGGGATCTCAAAGATCCTGATACCCAGTTGCACATG